GCCCGGGCCGCCAGTCTGGGCTTCGCGGCCAAGAACAGCGTCTTCCTCCTGGACATCAGGCAGCCCGGAGCCCCCATCACAGGTACCCCCCCATCACTCACCCCCACCCCAGGCCGAGGCCTCCCTCTCTCTCTCTCTCTCTCTCACACCAGCTCCCGGGCCTCCCTCCCCGGAGCCTCACTGTGTCTCTGGCTCTCACCCTGGACCTGTCTGCTCAGCCAGGCTGCCCCACACATGCCAGAGACAGAGAGAGGGGGGCAATTGAGAGTGAGAGGGGCACGAGAAAAGGGCAATAGAGAGAGAGGGGGTGGGAGGGGCAATGGAGAGGGTGAGGGGGCAATACATAGAGAGAGAGGGGGGCAACAGAGAGAGAGTGAGAGGGGCAATACATAGAGAGAGAGGGGGGCAACAGAGAGAGTGAGAGGGGCAATAGAGAGGGGGCAATATAGAGAGGGAAGGGGGCGATAGAGAGAGGTTGATAGAGAGGCAATAGAGAGGGTGAGAAGGGCAATACATAGAGAGAGAGGGGGGCAACAGAGAGAGGGGGGGGCAACAGAGAGAGAGGGGGGGGGCAACAGAGAGAGTGAGAGGGGCAATAGAGAGGGGCAATATAGAGAGGAGGGGGGCGATAGAGAGAGGTTGATAGAGAGGCAATAGAGAGGGTGAGAGGGGCAATACATAGAGAGAGAGGGGCAACAGAGAGAGAGGGGGGGGCAACAGAGAGAGTGAGAGGGGCAATAGAGAGGGGGCAATATAGAGAGGGAGGGGGGCAATAGAGAGAGGTTGATAGAGAGGCAATAGAGAGGGTGAGAGGGGCAATTGAGAGTGAGAGGGGCAATTGAGTGAGAGGGGCATCAGAGAGTGAAAATGCAGAAACCCATCACCATGCTTAATAATAATAATAATAACAATAGTCCGAGCATTTGACACAGGGCCTTTGTGGCCTTGTTGTTGAGACGTCTCAAAAAGCGCTTCACAGGATACACTGCAAAGTGTAGTGACTGTAATATTTTGTGGCCGAAACGCGGCAGCCAATTGCGCCCAAGGAGTGAGCGTCCCACAGTGTTAAGGGTACCCAAACCCAATTAGGAATGCCTTCCATCTCTCGCGTGGAAATCCGGGAGAGAGACTGTCGGAATGGAATGTGGACGCACAGTTTGAGCTGAATATTTTCCTCTCTCTCCCCCCCCCCCACCCCTCCCCCCTCTCTCTCTCGCTCAGGGGAACTCTCAGGACACACAGAGCGGGTCTCTGGCTTCACCTTCTGCCCCCACGCGGGCCTGGAAACCCTCTGTGCCAGCAGCTCGGATGACGGGACCGTCAAGGTCTGGGACACGGAGACCCGGGCTGTGCTCAAAGAGCACACGGCACATCAGGTAAGTCAGACCCCCACCCCCCAAGCGCTGTGTGTATCGCACTCCCACCCTCGCCTGGCTCCTCATCCCCCAGAGTTCACAATCCTCGTCCTCACCTTCAAGGTATGTCTCAAAACCAATCGCTTCAACTGTGCCGTTGGTCACTCTCCTCCCCCACCCCGTGTCTGCCTTCCATCCCTCTTGATCAAACTCACAGCTCCGTCCAAATCCCTGACTGTCCAGCACCTTGGGACGTCTTCCTGACGTGAAAGGCGCCGTGAAATAGAACGTGTTGTGGTTGGGTGTGTGTGTGTGTGTGACTTTCCCCTCTCACTGTGTTACAGGCCATCATCACAGCCCTACACTGGTCCCCTCTGGACAAGGAGTTGGTGGTGTCAGCTGACGAGAAGGGGGTGGTGATTTGCTGGTGGTACAGCAGGAATGACATGCGGCACTTTTTCCCCGAGTCCCGGCACGCCTTCTGCCTGACCTGCTCCCCTCACCGCGCCGAGCACGTGGCATTGGGGTAAGGGACAGGCCTCCCCTCCCCTGAGGATAGCGAGTTTAGGGCATTAAATACATAATGGAAGTGCGTGTGTGTTGTGGCTGTGGTGAGCAGAGTAAATAAAAAAAGAAAACGGGACGATATGGAAGAAACTAGAGCCATGGCACGGACACGATGGACCAAACAGCCCCCCTTTGCACAGACGCCTTGTATGTTAGTATCTGTTGCTCAGGACGTAGAAAGTATTGATGTCAGTGGGTATTTGCTGAACCGCTTACCAGGCGGGTAATGGGGACAGTGTGTTTGGTTGGGGTACAGGAGGCCTTTAGTCTGCCCTCACCTCTCTCCCTTCCCCCCCCCCCCCCACAGGTACAAGGATGGGATGATCATTGTGATGGATATAAGCATGAAAGGAGAGGTGATTCGTAGACTCCGGGGTCACGACGGAGAGATTCACAGCATCGTCTGGTGTCCTGAGCCCGGGGAGGGGGCTTTGCAGGGCCGGGGGGAGGATGGTGCAGGTAATAATAATAATATTACGTGACAGCCAATTTACACACAGCGGTGTCCCGCTAACAGTCGTGGGATGAGTGACCTATTTTTATTTGGGGGGGATTTGTTGGCCAGGCATGGAGTGGGGAGGGGCGGGAAATGTAGGGACAGGTGTAGGCCATTCAGTCCCCTCAAACCTGTTCTGCTATTCTATTAGATCATGGCTAATCTGTACCTCAACTCCAATTTAGTAATAAAAATGATTAATTAATTAATTGGGGGGGGGAAGAGTGTCACAGGGTGAGGGAAGAGCCTGGGGGACAGTCACGGGGTTGGGGGCGCGGGGGCAGGATTGGGGCAGTGCGTGTTGGGAAGCTCCTGTGATTTCCAGATTGTCCGAGTGCTAACACTGTGCTTGTCCTGGCCGGGAAAGGGGGCGAGGAGGAGGAGGAGGATCCAGCCGGGGAGCCCCGCGAGGGAGGCAGCCTCCTCGCCTCCGGCAGCCGCGACCAGACTGTCCGTGTGTGGAGCTTCACCAGAGGCAAAGGTAACCCTCGCTGGCTGGTCACTGGTTTGCCCAGTACTGCTCTCTCCCCTCTCCCACACTCTCTCCCTCTCTCTCTCACTCACAATCTCACACACTCTCTCTCACTCTCACACACTCGTGCGTTCACACGCTCTCCTGTCTGTGTGTGTGTGTCTCCCTTTCCCCCCCTCTCACATACACTCGCGCTTACACACATGGTCTCCTGTCTGTGTCTGTGTGTCTCTCTCTTGTGCACTCACTATGTGTGTGTGTGTTTCCCTCTCCCCCACTTTCATGCACACTCGCGCTTACACACATGCTCACCTTCGCTCTCTCTCTCTCTCTTTCTCTCAGTGGTGATGACACTGAAGCTGCCGTGCCTGAAACGTCGGGGGGGCAGTGAGGCTGGTGTGAAGGAGAGGATCTGGGTGGCTGTACACTGGCCGCCCGCCCGCCCCACACAGCTCGTGTCCAGTAGCTTCGGGTGAGAGAGAACGCTGGCCAGTCACAGCTTAGTTACTCGCTCTACGATCGATACGCAGACTTTTTGCGCGTGCATCCGTGCTTGTGTGGTATCTCTCTCTACAGTTAAGGAATGATCCCCCCCCCCTTCTCTCTCTCTCTCCCCCCTCTCTCCTTGGTTGCAGTGGGGAGCTGCTGCTCTGGGATCTGACAAAGCCGGGGAAGCAAAGGTGGACGTTGCTGGGCCCAACGTCGGAAGCTCAGAACCACAGTCGCATCGTGTTCAACCTGAGCTCGGCCCGGCTGGCGGGGGGTCAGGACCTGCTCTTCTCCATCTCCATGGACCGTGAGGTCAGTCAGCTCCGAGCCATCTCGCTCAGTCGTTCCTGAATCCGTGCGATTGCTGCACTTAGTCGATTGGCGGATTGCTCTCCAGGAGTAACAATCGCATTCAAATAAATAATAATCATTTTGGTCACTTCAGTCCACGACTGTTTGGGGTCGCTGCTGTGCGCAGTCGGCTGCCGCGTTTCACCCTCACAATTCACGGTCAGTTCAATTTACAGTGTATTCTGTGAAGGGGCTTTGAGACGTCTCAACAATAACAACACATGACATTTACACGGCGCCTTTCACTTCGGGAGGACGTCGGAAGGCGCTGGACAGTCAGGGAATTGGACCCAAGCTGAGGGTTGGGATAGGAGGGGGTGGAGGGCAGGGAAGGTGGCGGGTAGGAGGCGGAACAACAACGAGTTATACTTGTATACTGCCTTTCACCTCAGGAGGACGTCCCAAAGGGCTGATGTGATAAGGCACTAAATCAAATGCAAGGATTATTATTATTAAAATGCAAATTCTCTCTCTCTTTTGCTTGTTTGCGAATCCCCTGTGGGTGTGGGTGGTGCTGGGAGCTGACATTGCTTTTCCTGTCCAGGTGAAGTGCTGGGATCTGGAAACTCTGGACTGCCTGTGGACACAGCCCACCCTGGGGGGCTTTGTGTACTGTCTGTCTTTCTCCCCGGTCAGCACGGGCTGCCTGGCCGTGGGGGTGGGGGACGGGATGATCCGCGTCTGGAACACCGTATCCCTGAAGAACAACTACGACGTCAAGACCCTTTGGCAGGGCATCAAGTCCAAAGTCACCTCGGTCAGTGCTCACGCTCCTCACTCACATTCTTCCCTCGCTCTCACCGCTCTCACTTGCTCTTCACTCACTCTCACCACTCGCGCCAACAGCAACAAACTCCGTTTACGCGGTTCCTTTCACATCGGGAGGACGTCCCAAATCGCTGTGTGGACAGTCGAGCGTTTGCACCTGAGCTGCGGGCTGGGGTCAGCAGGGGCGGGTGGAGGGCGAGGGGTTGGCGGTGGGAAGGTGACCGAAACGCAAGTTGAAGAGGAAGGTCTTGACACTGGGGGATGGGGAGCCAGTGAAGCCGGGTGAGGGTGAGGGTGGGGGGTGGTGATCGGCTCACAGAGCTCAGTGCGGGAGAGGACACGAGCTGCGGAATTCTGAACAATCTGCATCTTGTGGCGGGAAGAGTTGGGAAGACCAGCAAGCAGGGAGCTGGCGTAGTGGAGCTTGGATGTTACGAAAGCTGTTGCTCTCTCTCCCCTTCGGTCCCCTGAGGTGGCAGTGTAGCGTGGCTTGGGGTGTAATGTGTGCTGTGTTGTGTTGTTTTGGCAGTTGTGTTGGCATCCAACCAAGGAGGGCTGCCTGGCCTTCGGCACTGACGACGGCAAAGTGGGCATTTATGACGTTTATTCCAATAAGTAAGTGAATGTGCTGTGGTGAGAGCACTCGCCTCTCTAGCCAGAGGACCCGGGTTTGATTCCCGGGCAGGGTAAAATGTTTGGCATATTTTCTAATTCCACGCCCGCCTCTGTTTAACCAGCAGTAAGTGGGAACTTTCCCGGTTGTTAGTCGCGGTTGGCGGATCGCTTTCCGCTGGCAATAATCCCTCAAAGAAAGTTGCTGTGTGCAATTGGCTGCCGTGTTTTGCCCTCAAAATACAGTCACTGCACTTTACAGTATATTCGAAGCGCTTTGAGACGTCTCGAAGATATGATACGACGCAGTATCCCATGCAGAGATTATTATTATATTCACGGTCTTCCACACAGCACTGGTAACATTCGTATCTCAGCGTGCTTCACAGGGCTTGCCGTCGAGTGTAGTGAATGTGTATTTGATAGCAGATGCGTTGTCAGAAATCCTTTCAGAAAGGAGAAGAGTTGTGCTTCGTCTTTGCTGGGGTTCTCTGACGGATTTTGTGTCTCTCTCGCTGTCTCTCTCTCGGCCAGGCCTCCGCAGATCTCCAGCTCCTACCACAGAAAGACGGTTTACGCCCTGGTCTGGGGACCCCCTCTGCCCCCCGTGGCCTCTGGTGAGTCTCTGGGGCTGACTCTGCGTCTCGTTAACATGTGTGTCTGCCTGTTCGTCAGTGACTTGTGGGTGGGTCAGGCAGGGAGTGGGATCGAGCCTGTAATGGCTGTTTTTTCGGGCAGGGGGTGGGACAGGGTGGGTAGAGCTGAGTAGATAGGGCGGGGCCGAGTGGGCAGTGGGTGGGACCTAGTGGACAAGGGGCTGAGTTGGCAGGGGCGGGGTAGACTCTAATTGGCTGTTTTTTCTCTGCAGGAGGCAGGGCTGAGTGGCCGAGGGGCGGGGCGGAGTGGCCGAGGGCCGGGGCGGAGTGGCCGAGGGGCGGAGTGGCCGAGGGGCGGAGTGGCCGAGGGGCGGAGTGGCCGAGGGACGGGGCGGAGTGGCCGAGGGACGGGGCGGAGTGGCCGAGGGACGGGGCGGAGGGGCCGAGTGGCCGAGGGGCCGGGCTGAGTGGCCGGGGGCGGGGCAGGTCCTGTAACTTGCTGTTTTCCTCTGCAGGAGGCGGTGTGGAGCTGCCCGCTGTGACCCTGTACAGCTGCGCGGGGGAGGGCACGATCCTGCAGCACGTTCCCGGGAAACTCGGATCTGACGCCCATGATATCAACCGGCTGATCCGGGAAACCAACGGCATCAAGGTGGGTCCTCGCTCCGGACCACTGCCCTCATCCCTCTCACACTCTCCTTCAGCGGGTGTGTGTTTGGGGGCGGGGGGGGGGTGCGTGCTTTTGGGTGCACGTATGTGAGGTAGGAGGGTGTACGCGTATGTGTATACATCTGTGTGGGGGGGTATTTGCGTGGGGGGAGGGGGGGTGATGTGGGGGCTGGGGGTTGTCTTGTGTCCCGAGTTTACCCCCCCCCCCAAATACCAGAAACCAGGGGCAGGAGGTGGCCACTCAGCCCCTCGAGCCGGTTGACGTCTCTTTTGATGGTTTACCCTCAGCACAAGCTCCCGAGTCACAGTGAGATCAGCTGGAAACCGGACGGCAAAGTGATGGCGGTGGGCAACGAGGACGGGTGAGAGACACTGGGTTTGGCTGGTGGAGTGGGGGAGATGGTGTTGGGGAAGAGGGTAACAAAGCGACATAGACGTGCGCCCGGGGTTGCAGTGACCTGTGGCTTATTTCAGGCCCTGATGAGGGAGGGAGAGAACAGTGGACTGAGGGTTTGTGTTGTGTTGTGTGGGCAGGTCTGTGGAGATTCTCCAGGCCCCGAGTCTGCGGTTACTGTGCACCGTGCAGCAGCACCACAAGCTGATCAACGCCGTGCGCTGGCACCACCCTCACGGCTCGCGGCGGGACCTGGCCTTCCTCCTCGCCTCGGCCTCCAACAACGCCATCATCTACGTTCACGACCTGAAGACCATCTTGGGTAATGTGCTGTGCCTCAGCGATCAGAGATCCCGTCGTGGTTAGCGACTGGAAGCCGATTGGCTGATCGCTTTTCCGGGGGGTAATAGTTCCTTCCGAAAAAATAATAAATTGGTCACTTCAATCCACGCTCCCCCCACCCTCTCCCTCACTGCTGGAATATTAGTTCTGAGCAGTGTCGGGCTCAAACACACCTGGAGGTAAGAATGACTGAGCCAGACTGAAAGAATATCTCAGGTCCAGTCACACGTTGAACGCTCTTCCCCCACTCCCACTGTCCACCTCGGCCCCTACCCCTTCCCCAATCAAACCCCACACCCCTCCTCCCATGGCCCCCAATCTGCGGACACTCACCATGCAGGCTGCCTGCACGGCCTCAGACATGTAGCCAGCATCCGGTTCACACCAGAAGACGTGGCATTGGAAACGCTGGTGCCCGGTGTCCTCGATCAGGGCCAAGGCATGCGGGTCCTTCCCCACCCCCAGGAAGGTCAGGTACCGGACACGGCACTCCCACCAGGGCTGCACCCCCCTCTCCTGCCCCTGGAGGACAAACGGAATATCAGCCTCACACAGCATTCCTGCCAACACGTCACAACAGAGACTCCATTACATTTACACATTGCCTTTCACATTGGGAGGATGTCCCAAGGTTTTGGCAATCGGATTTGGACCCGAAGTGGGGGTTGGGATCAGGGAGGGTGGGCGTAGGAGGGTGACCGAAGGGGCGGTAAGAAGAGGCAAGGGAGGAGACAAGGCGAAAGGACTGTTGGATGGAGTTCCAGAGGGTGGGGGAGAGACTGGAGGGCTGATCACCAATGGTGGGGTGGGCTGGGTGGGGGACTTGGAAATATATCTGTAATAATAATCCTTGCTTTTGATATAGTGCCTTATCACAGGATATACTAGAAAGTGATTTGACTGTGTATTTTGTGGGCAAAACACGGCAGCCAATTGCGCACCACAGTGTTGCACAAACAGTCATGGATTGAGTGACCAATTCTACTTTCAGTGTCCGATCCATACAGGAATGCATTAATGCAGGTTGCTCAGTGAGTCAGGGTACAGTCAATGAGGAGTTATGACCGGCATTTCAGGGTAGATCATGTGTAATCCATTCAATAAATTATTCCTTGGTGGTTTGGCTTCATTGAGGGATGAACAGTGTTTGCTTATTTATTTATTGATTTGGGCAAAAACTGATTCTAAAACCATTTCCCAAAGCAATATGGAACAAATCAGGGTTTAAGTTTGCAGGAATGGCGATGCTTGTGCTAATTAACACAAGGGCGTCGTGATGAAAGGTCCCAGACTTGCTTCAGGAACATAGGAGCAGAAGGAGGCCATTCAGCCCTTCGAGCCTGATCTGCCATTCTATTAGATCACGGCTGATCTCAACCCAAGCCTTCAGTGTAGTGACTGTGAATGACTGTGCTCACCTTCCCCTTACACACAGTCAGTGTAGTGTCTGTCACGTTCATCACAACAGGCTCCCATTCTTGTCTCTCCACTGAGTCCAGTAGACTGCTTATCACGTCATTTACCAGCTCCATTCCTGGGGAAACCCATCACAATCCAGCAGATATTAACAAAAACACACATACACATATAATAAAAACAATCACCCAGGAGGAAAAACATCAGGGAGAGGGTTTCACTCACCCCTTGGTTTGGAGACTGGGATATGTCCCACGTACAACGTGTGGAATGTCTGCACCGACTGTCTGATAGCCTCCAAAACATCAACTGCAAAAGAACAGCAAGTGAGTGGCCCTGACACCCCCTCTGTCAGCCTCACACAGGGAGACCCGTCACTCAGTCACGTACCAACAAAAACAATAACAAATGACATTTACCTGGTGCCTTTCACGATGGGAGGATGTCCCAAGGTGCTGGACAGTCAGGGATTTGGACCAGAGCTGGGGGTTGCGATCAGGAGGAGTGGAGGGCAGGGAGGGTGGGGTTAGGAGGGTACAAGAGGGCTAGAGACACCCAAAATGGCAGCACAAATTGAACCCCAAATCATGTGACTTGAGGAGAGATGCAAAGTGTGGACTGCCCCAGGGGTCGGTGCTGTGGTGGGTGTCTGGGGAGACCGAATGTCTGTTGGGATGTGTGGAATTCTCAGTTTGGTTTGGAGACTCTTAAGCCTGATGATGGGTTTCCACATGTGTCAGACACCCGGCTGAGTGAAAAAAAATCCCTGGCGTTACTCATACCTTGTAAGTCCTCAGGGGAAATGTCATCCTGGGTCTCGGAGCTTCTGGGCGACAGGTTCATCACTGCTCGCTCCGCCATAATCTGCAGTCAGTGCAACAGTGTCAGACTCACAGTGTAACAACAACATTTACACAGTGCCCCTCATGCAGGGGGGCAGGGATTGGGGGGTTGGGGGAGTAACCATAGGCACGGTCAAAGAGGAAGGTATTTAGGCACGACCTGAAGATGGGGAAGGAGGGGACAAGGCAGAGGGATAGAGTTCCAGAGTTTCAGGGTGTAGTGGCTGAAAGCGCAGCCACCAATGGTGGAGCGGGGGCCACAAGTAACAGTATCAGACTCACAGACAGTGAGTCAGATTCACAGACGTTTCCAATGGATGGACTTGCCTTGGAGCACATCTGGTGCAGGGCGGTGGCAATGGCCTTTGCAGGGGTGTCGCAGTGGAAGACGTGACATTTGAGCATGCACGTGTCCTTATCGCTCGCTACGTAGGCAAAGTCTCTAGCAAGAGGGAAAGGAAGATTCAAGAATATTCAGAAGTGAACGCTTCCACTTGCAACATAGCTACAGTGACTCTGGGAGACATTTCTGTGGCATTTATCATTCCAACTCCACACTCACCACCCCCTCCCCACCATCCATCTATCCATCCATCCAATTCTCCCTTGACTTATATAATAATCCTTACATTTGACATAACAGCTTATCGTGTCTTCGAGATGACTCAAAGCGCTTCACAGAATATAAGTGAATTGATTGTATATTTTGCGGACGAAACATGTCAGCCAATTACACACAGCAGTGTCCCACAAGTCATGGAACAATGGACCAAATTATTATTATTTTGGGAAGCGATTATTATCCCCGGAAAATGATCCGCCAATCGAACAACCAGGTTCCTACTTACTGCGAGGTAAACAGAGGCGTTTGGAGTGAGAAAACTTGCCCAATGTTTCGCCCCACACTAGGAATCGAAGGCAGGTCATTTCGCTTGTGAGGGTAGTGCTCTATCCACTGAGCTACTGGATTCCACAGTGATTACAGTGACAGGACGAGGAGAAGAGTAAGGCAGCAGACAGATCGGATTCTAAAAAAGCTGGAGATAGCTCCACAGTGTAAGTAAAGTAAGTAAAATGGAACTCTACCTGTCTCTGTCTCCACGAGAGCAAGAAGGAAATCAATCCGTTAATCAAGCAAAAATGCAGCAAGAGTTGGCACATCGAGCAGTTATGATGCTAACACATCAGCAACAAACAGGAACCGAGCAAACGGGGTTCAGACAGATATCTCTTACATTGGGATCGCGCTCTGAGAATCAGTGATGAAATGTTCTGACAATCTGGCGATGGGTAAGGTGGTCTCCCAATAACAGGACATCTCAGAGTGCTGGGGCTCGCTCCCCCATTCCCTTCTCTCTCTCTCTCCCCATGGTGTCTGTGCTGGGGCTCGCGCCCCCACTGGAGCTCTCTACCCCCATTCCCTTCTCTCTCTCTCCCCATGGTGTCTGTGCTGGGGCTCGCTCCCCACTGGAGCTCTCTACCTCATTCCTTCTCTCTCTCTCTCCCATGGTGTCTGTGCTGGGCTCGCGCCCCCACTGGAGCTCTCTACCCCCATTCCCTTCTCTCTCTCTCCCCATGGTGTCTGTGCTGGGGCTCGCTCCCCCACTGGAGCTCTCTACTCTAACCCCATTTTCTGCTCTTTTCCCCCAACGGAAATCAATATCACCCCCCCCCCCCCCACCCCGTACTCAACTTGTTTTCTTTTTGAAAGCTGTTATCGGCTTGCCTTGCCTTGCCCTGTCTTGCCTTGCCTTTGCCTTGCCCTGCCCTGCCTCGCCTTGCCTCGCCTTGCCCTGCCCTGCCCTTGCCTCGCCTTGCCCTGCCCTTGCCTCGCCTTGCCCTCGCCTTGCCCTTGCCCTGCCCTGCCTTGCCCTGGACAGAGAGTGTTTGTGACCGGGGTTGGGGGGGGGGGTCTGCTGTGTGTTTGTGAGGATGTCTCCTGTGTGGCACCTCGTGTGTCACCAGCAGCGGTGAGAGACAAATCGGTCGGGGATGGAGTCTAACCCTAACCGGGGGTGGGGGGGGGGGGGCGGCACTGACCTGCCGTTGTTACAGCCCACACCCCACACTCGGATGTTGATGATGGGCTGTGAGTGCAGAAGGCTGTGATCCACGGGGTTGAGGAGACTCAGGGTGTCCTTCCTCAGGACCATCACCATGTCCTGTCCCTGAAACAAGTGCATTTCAGCCGTTCCTCTCCCGCTCTCGGAAACTCGCTCCCGAACGAACCCCCTCCACCCAACCCTCCCTCTCCTCTTGGACCATTATCTCCCCCACCATTTCCTTGACCCCCCCCCTTCCCCTCTCCCCCCCTTTCCCCTCTCCCCCCTCTTCCCCTCTACCCCTCCCTTTCCCCACCTTCCCCTCTCCCCCCTCTTCCCTCTCCCCCCTGCTCTCCCCCCTTTCTCTCCCCCACCTTCCCCTCCCCCCTTCACTCCCCCCTTTCCCCCTTCCCTCTCCCCCCTTCCCCACCTTCCCCTCTCCCCCCCTTTTCCCACCTTCCCTCTCCCCCCTTTCCCCCCCCCTCTCCCCCCTTTCCCACCTTCCCCTCTCCCCACCTTCCCCTCTCCCCCCTCCCCCCCTTTCCCCACCTTCCCCTCTCCTCCCCTTTCCCCACCTTCCCCTCTCCCCCCCCCCCCTTTCCCCACCTTCCCCTCCCCCCCACCTTCCCCCCCCCTTTCCCCACCTCCCCTCCACCTTCCCCTCCCCCCCTTCTCCACCTCCCCCCCCCCCTCCCCACCTTCCCCTCTCCCCCCTTCCCCTCTCCCCCGTCTCCCCCCCCTCTCCCCCTCTCCCTGTTATTTCCCTGAAGCGGTTTCTCCTCTGCGCTTCATTTCCGACCCATTGCACTGTGTGAGGAGTGTGTGGGAGATGTTTATTTGGGTGAAATCGGGGGGTTCCGGTGTGTCTTTGCGACGTACCTCTCCCCAGGCGGCCCCGGGGTCCCTGTTGGGGTATTTGCTGTACGAAAGCTGTTGTATGCAGTTGTTCACCGCAATGCTGCTCTTCCCGGGGGTCAGGTCCTCCTCCGGTATCTCCACCCAACCCAGAGAGCGCACCGCGAAGCACTGCGGGGGGAGGGCAGCGACATCACACTCACTCACTCACTCACTCACTCACTCACTCACTCACTCACTCACACTCACACACAGATAGTAATACACACTCACACACACTCACTCACACACACACAGACAGTAATACACTCTCACACACACTCACACACTCACACACACTCACTCACACACACACAGATAGTAATACACACTCACACACACCCACACACTCACTCACACACACCCACACACTCACACACACTCACTCACACACTCACTCACACACAGATAGTAATACACACTCACACACACTCACTCACACACACACAGACAGTAATACACTCACACACACCCACACACTCACACACACTCACTCACACACTCACTCACACACAGATAGTAATACACACTCACTCACACACACCCACACACTCACTCTCATACACTCACACACACACACACACACACACACAGATAGGACTAATACACACTCACACACACCCACACACTCACTCTCACACACACACACACTCACACACACCCACACACTCACTCACTCACACTCACACACACACAGATAGTAATACACACTCACACACACTCACTCACACACACACAGATAGTAATACACACTCACTCACACACACCCACACACTCACTCTCACACACACACAGATAGTAATACACACTCACACACACTCACTCACACACACACAGATAGTAATACACACTCACACACACTCACTCACACACACACAGACAGTAATACACTCTCACACACACCCACACACTCACACACACTCACTCACACACTCACTCACACACAGATAGTAATACACACTCACACACACCCACACACTCACTCACTCACACTCACACACACAGATAGTAATACACACTCACACACACTCACTCACACACACACAGATAGTAATACACACTCACTCACACACACCCACACACTCACTCTCACACACACACAGATAGTAATACACTCTCACACACACTCACTCACTCACACACTCACTCACACACAGATAGTAATACACACTCACTCACACACACCCACACACTCACTCACACACACCAACACACACTCACTCTCACACACTCACACACACACAGATAGTAATACACACTCACACACACCCACACACTCACTCTCACACACTCACACACACACAGATAGTAATACACTCTCACACACACTCACTCACACACACACAGATAGTAATACACTCTCACACGCACTCATTCACACACACACTCACTCACACACACACTCACTCACACACAGATAGTAATACACACTCGCACACACCCACACACTCACTCTCACACACACTCACACACACACAGATAGTAATACACACTCACACCCACACACTCACTCTCACACTCACACACACACACACTCACTCTCACACACAGATAGTAATACACACTCACACACACACACACACTCACTCACTCACATTCACACACACACACAGATAGTAATACACACTCACTCTCACACACTCACACACACACACTCACACACACACAGATAGTAATACACTCACACACACAATCACACACACACACAGTCACACACACACACAGTCACAAACACACGCAGTCTCACACACACACACACACACACAGATAGTAATACAAGTCACACCCAGATATATATATACAAACACTCACACACATAGATACACACATAAAAACACATACACACACAGAGTCACAGACAGGTAGTCTCTCGCACACACACACACGCGGCACCTTGGAGTCGGGGTGGTTGCTGCTGTGCGGGCTGCCGTGCTGCCAGGGCAATGGCTCTCTGTAACACATCAGCACAGTCAGCTCAGGACAACAAGATTTCCACAGTTCTGCACTAATTGACATGGACAGAAAGCGGACTCACAGAGTAAAACTGGGTGGAATTTCTGGCTTTAGGAGTGTTTTATTGGAGCCCTGTATCACCGAGGCTCCAGCACTGTGAGGGTTAAACATACTTACCCTGAAGTGGTTTGGGCTGATTTAATATTAGTCTGTAATACTTCACATGCCATTGCCTCGGGGCAGATTGATTGGGATCACCTTCAGTGCTTTGTGTCAAATTGAATGTAAGTGAAGGAGCAATAGTCAGAACCTTATTACTAGAGATGTGCTGTTCTGAACTCGCTCCTCTGTGGTCTCCTCAGAGCTCCTCCACAGTGGGCCACCCAGAGGTCCTCCACAGTGGGCCACCCAGAGCTCTTCCATCGTGGGCCACCCAGAGGTCCTCCACGGTGGGCCACCCAGAGCTATTCCACCGTGGGCCACCCAGAGGTCCTCCACCGTGGGGCCACTCAGCTTACTCCACCGTGGGCCTCTCTCCACCAGTTTGCGGCTGACAACGGTTTGTAAACAGGTGAAGCTCAAGTCCTTACCTGAGGTCTATTGATGTAGAGGATGGCATTGAGCTCCTGTGTTTCCCTTCTCTACAGACATGGCTGCCCACGGGGCCTCCAGCCTGGGACACAAAGGGTGATAATTACTGGGTTAATTAGCAGCTGAGAGATTATAATAATATTAATAACAATAATAATCCCTTTCGGTTGATATTGCGTCTTTAACGTTGACCAAATGCAGGTGGAAAACAGATGCTGTTAGGAGTATGTGTGAGTGACTATCTGCGTGTCTGTGCGGAATGAGGCAGAGATTTCGGAGAGAGACACAGATGCCAATGGTGTGGTGACTGATGGATAGGGGGGAGGTATAAAGTTTTGGGGTGAGTTGAAGCCTCTGGAGGTCGGTAGATTGGTGAGGTCAGTGCTGGAGAAGGATAGCCTTGAGATGACAAGATCGGGAGTGTGTGTGTGGAGGGGGTGTGTAACCATTACCTTGGGGTCCAGGGATGGAGACATTGCGCACACCATTTTATCTGAGTCCTGGGGGTCCTCTGAGGAGCTCCCTGGGTGCTGCCATTGGGTGGTGCCAGTTGGCACGTGCCAGTAGTACGTCCCACTTGTGTCCCTGATGGTCCGCCAGCCGGGGGGGAGGTGAGGGTCCGTCTCTAAGGCCTGGTCATTCCACAGGTTGTCTGGTAAACAAACCAGTCAATGGTCAATGGCAATCAATTAGGAGATGGTTAATGATATGAATGGAGCCATGTTTGAGGGATTACACTCTTAGCCCTGACACCGTTTGCTTCGCCAGTGTTAGACTGTGTAGGGTTTCAGACAGTCCTCAAAATCAGTCTTAATTGGGAGGAATTTCTGACCTTAAGTGTGGGAAACATTGGCTGGACCCAACAGCAATGCATCTTCACACATAAGAACATAAGAATTTACCAGATGAAAGAAGACCAAGGCCCATCCAGTTCACCTTCCACCGTTCTGGCAGTCGCTTGCACATGTAAATGTCCCAAACTATAGACTGTATCCCATGATACTAATCCCCCCCATCCCCCCCTCCCCCAAAAAAATCTAACTAACCTGCTTTTGAAAGAATGAACACTTGCTACTTCCACCATCTGTCTCCCAAGGCAGCCTGTTCCACACATGTACTGCTCGCTCACTGAACTAGTCTTTGCGCAGATTTGTTTTGAGTTTACTCCCTTCAATCGCAAGCAATGCATGTGTAGTCTGAAGCAACATTGCATTTTCACACCGGGACAGTAATGCATTCACCCACCGAGGCTAAGCCAGTGCTGCAAATACACATCAAGGCCTCGGGGAGCAATTGAGGTTTTTCCACTATGAGCGTTACTAGAGAGCACAGTTCCTGAGTAACAACACGGGTTCGAGACAGATACTTCCAGCTAATTCCCTTATGCCGTTAGACTGACAACACTTGTTATGAATGGGATCGAGCACGTTGGTACCCACACAGCCTGAGGGCATCACACGAGGTGGTTTATTCAGGGAAACGGGAACACACACAGGGATTACAGAGTGAGCACACACCAGGAGCTGTAGCAGCTCTCTCTCTCTCTCTCTCTGTGTCCTCACACACTGTCTGGGTCTCAGCTCACAGCCCACGGGGATGGGTACAACGTCACTGGAATTAACCTTTGTCCTCGGTGCTTTGCTTCATTCTCTGCTTTCAGATTTAATAGAATCACAGGAGGAGGGCACTCAGTCTGTGCCGGTGCTCGTGCCCCCACTGGAGCTCTCACCTCTAATCCCATTTTAGCAGTAAAACCATTCAGCATTAGACCGCAGCTCTGCGGCAGACTGCTGCTGTTTACGTTATTGAAGCTTAACAACAGGCAAGAACTTCCCATTAAACACTGTCATCGACCCCCTCTCCGCCTTCAAAATCAGCATTAATATCTATCTTTTCGACTGTGCTTTTAGCCACTTTCCCTCCCCCCCCCCACCCCCCACTCTCCCCCAGTCATGCTCAGCTGTTAAACCACTCTGAAACATCTTCCCATCATAAAAGGAGCTGTGCAGATTTAAATCATTGTTGCTGCATTTATACCTCTGGCACACACGATTTGGTGTGTGTGTGTGTGTGTATGGGTGGGGGGGGGGCGGGTGTAATCTCCCAACTCATTCCCACACACTCTGCCACTGACAGGTATTTTTCCCCCTCTCTCTCTCTGGCTGCTCTCACACCTCCAATACAATCAGAGAATTCCCGTCAAAACAAACACAAGCGATTGCGGGTGAGAGGGAGAGAGAGGGAGACACGCACACGCACACGCACAGCCCCCAGCCAGGCTTGCCATTACATTCACTACAGCCTGCTGCAGCCTGGCTGGAGAAATTAACTCACAGATTCCCTTTAGCACAGCGAAACAACAACAACAACAGCAACAACAAATCATGCTGCGAATGGGAGCTGCGGTTTGCCTTCGCTCTGTGCTGCATTAGTGTCCGGTGCAACCTGCGATGCTCCCGCTCAAATGTGACGTTTAGCCTTCGGTAACATAGCTGCGACTAACCGATCAAGCTGAGCGGGGTGTCTGTGAGCTGGGCAGAGAGACAAGCATGAGGTTTACAGCCAAGTGATTAACAACACTCTCACCATCATAGTTGACAATAATAATCGCCAACATGTAGTCTTTCCCCAGCATGGCCTGTCCCAGAGCAGCTCCGTGTTGTTGCCATAGGATGTGGGACTTCTCTCTTTCTCTCTCTTCTCTCTTGCTCTCTCTCTCTCTCTCTCTCTTTCTCCGCAGGCTGTCCTGAGAGCTCCGACCTGCACACAGCCCTCCCGCGCAACGCTCGCTCTCAAAGTCACTCTCTGCAATGGCCTCCTCACTGCACATCAGCTGGTACCCGGCAACAGCTGCCCTCAGCATCCCTTCAACATCCATCCCCATGGCAACAGCCGGCTTACGATCTTCTGGCTTGTGCTATTTTTGGCTCTGAGAAAACAGAGAGAGAGAGAGAGAGAGAAAGGGAGAGAAAGAGGGAGGGAGTGCGTGTAACGAAGAGAGAGCAAGACAGAGAAATAATGATAATAATCCTTGCATTTGAATAGCGCCTCATCACGTCTTCGAGACGTCTCAAAGCACTTCACACTATATACTGTAAGGTGAATTGACTCTCTACTCTGTGGGAGAAAGAGCAAGCGAGGAACAAAGGGAGAGAGACAGAGAGAGTGAGACAGAGAGAAAGCAAAATAGAGTGATAGAGGAAGAAAGAAAAAGAGAGGGGAAGAGCGGGGAGATGGGAAATAGATCTATACTATTCTGTTCGAGGTGTAACCGATTAACACGAAACGCGTAAACTAAACGCCTTGTGTAACGTAAATCAATGTCATCTCTCAATGCCTTAATTTCAATCTGGGAATTGAAAATCATCATTAATTCATTAGCCATTAATGTTGTTTCAACAGAAACAATAACTCTGCAGTGGGTCTTACAGTGAGAGAGAGTAGGGGAGTAGGGAGTGGGATTAAGAGTAGAGAGCTCCAGTGGGGAGCGAGCCCCAGCACAGACACGATGGGGAGAGAGCAGGGAATGGGATTAGATCCTGTGGCGCTATTCGAAGCGAGAAGGGAGTTTCTCTCTCTCGATCTCCTGGCTGACAATCCCCCAAATCAGATTGGTCACTCAATCCACGACTGTTCGTGGGACTTTGCTGTGTGCAAACTGGCTGCCGTGTTTCACCCACAATTTACAGGGCCCCTGTACTTTACAGCACATCGTGTGAAGCGCTTCGAGACATCTCAATGACGTGATAAGGGGTAATATCAAATGCAAGGATTATTATTGTTATTATGATGTACGACACCCTCCGGAGGGCACTTCAGCGACTGAGCAGCAGCTTTCTGCTCTCATCACTCTCAATAAACTAGGCTCTGGCTGCCCTGGGCGCCAGCGGTATCTATAGAACCCTGATCGATCCGCTGATAAAATTAGCCGAGAGGACAAAATGTTTATGATATTTATTACCATTCCACCCTGCGTTCTCCAGGAATCCAAATCCGCAAACATACAACTTTATTTAACTCTGAAACCCAGCAACAGGAAAGTTCTCTCTGTCTGTTTACCTGCTCCCTCCTCCCCACACCTCCCTTTGCGACAGTTACAATGGGCCAGATGTTTTGGTGGGCCACATGTTCTTAAATATTCTACATCAAAATCAACCGAGTCGGTACAGAGGTCACACTAACTTCACGTCATAGTCAGTTCCTGTGCCCTCACGAAGGTCCCAACTCTTCCCCCCCACCCATCGTCTCTGAACACACAGAGCGCGCCCCCTAGACTTGCCTGTCATTGGGTGTTCGTGTTCAAGCACTCTGGGACACTACCCTACGTGAGGGGCGCTGTATAAATGCAAACTGTTGTTGTTGTATGAACCGACATTCAGGGATTAATGTCTGGGGATTACCAGGAAGAATAGCAGCCGGGACACTGGGACTTGGTTAGGAAACAGCTCGATGCTGTAACAGGAGGACAGTCGGGCAGGGATTCTGGGAGTGTGAGATTGAATGGCCGCTGGATCTTCTTCACCCCAAACCTCTCATGTGATCTTGTGATGGTGGGAAGGTCAGTAACTATACTTTGCGTTGGCTCCAGACAGGAACGATCAATAGCAACCTGGCTCGAGACAGGGCCCAGCCACTGCTCCCAGGCAATGCTCTCTGCTCACTGAACACCTTTGCACATCAGTGAGATCCACAGTCAGCTCGACTCCAACCTCAAATGATCAATTCCTCATGAGGAACTCAGTGAAGAGCAGTATCCATCCAAGACTCTACACCAATTCAACAACAAAAACAAAAACTTGCATGTACACAGTTCCCCTCAGGCAGCGTGGTGTCCCAAAGCTCCGCAGTGGCAGAGCCACAACCGAGCCGGGGGGAGGGGGAGGTGACCGAAGGCTCGATTGAAGAGGAAGGTCTTCAGGTGCAACCTGAAGGTAGGGAAGGAGGGACCACGGTGGAGGGATAAAGGGATAGAGTTCCAGAGTTTCACTCTACGGTATATTCTGAAAGCACTTTGAAACATCTTAACAATGTGATAAAGTGCTATGTCAAATGTAAGGATTATCATTATTATTATTATTATCTTTTGCTCTCCTCTGGACTGGAGCCAGGGCTTAGCGAGCAGAACTGAATCCAAGTATTTACACTCACACAAGCGCAGAGGGAATGAAAGATCAGCTAAAGTAAATGGAAGACTGCGCTCAGCAAAATCTCTGTCGACAATGGCCGGGATTCTGAATATTGGAGTAAAAGATCCATCTTCAAAGAGAATCCATTCTGTCGCCATCTGATGTTATTACTTTGGCGCGTGTTCTGAAGCTGGGTTTAATTTACTGTAGTGCTACCTATGGCAAAGGGCAATTGAACACTGGCCAACAGAACCATCAGGGGAGTGTGTGAGGCTGGATTCCTGATACTCAGAAGGTCTCGGTAACAAGAATGAGCTGATCCGAGCTGAGTGGATGTGCGGACACTGTCATTACTCTGCACTGCTGGTCAGAATCCAGATCACACACAGCATTCCTGATAGCACTCTTCTGATTGCTTCACGGCAACCACAACCCAACCTCACTCCCTCCCCCCACACCTTACGCCCCCATCCCCACAACAACACTTTGCTTTTACACAGAGCCTTTCACATCGGGAGGATGTCCCGAGGCGCTGGACAATGATGGTTGTGCAGCCGAGCTGCGGGTTCGGATCAGAGAGCGATACATAGGTTATATATGTAACTACATGTGTGTGTATATATATATACACTCCCCTCATACCCCACTTTACCCCCATTTTATTTAGAAAAGAACTTGTTTATTTAAAAATATATGTAACTACATATATATATATATATATCCAAATCCCTGACTGTGCAGCGCTTTGGGACGTCCTCGCGACGTGAAAGGCATTGCGTGAATGCAATTTGTTGTTATATAAATATATACACACATGATGCCTGGGGGGGGGGGGGCAACGTGCTGCCGCGTTTCACCCACACAACGCACAGTCACTACGCTTTACAGTGTGTCCTGCGAAGCGCTTTGAGACGTCGCGGAGACGCGATCGGACGCGATATCAAATGCCAGAATTATTATTATTATTATTATTATTATTATTATATAAATGTATCCTCTGGGGTCTGTTTACCGCATTGCACATCAGAGCCCCACACTCTCACACAACACTTTAGCCCTTTTTTTTAAACTCAGAAAAGAACCCGTTGTTGTTGTTGTTGTTGATTTAAAGGGAAACAGATGGCGGTCAGTGAGAGCGCCCTCTGGCGGTGTGGGGGGGAGAGGCCGCGCTGCGCATGTGCGGGCGGTTAAGATGGCGGACGACAAGGTCAGCGGCAGTGAGGCGGGGGGGGGGGGGCCCGGGGGGGGGGGGGGGGGAGAGGGGAGGGGAGAGGGGTCCTAGGGAGGGGCCCTGGGGGAGGGGAGAGGGAGGGGGAGAGGGCCTGGGGGGGGGGGGGGAGGAGGGAGGGGGGGGAGAGGGGAGGGGGGGGGGGAGGGGGGGGGGGAGGGGGGTGGCAGAGGGGACGGGGAGAGGGGCCCTGGTGGGGGGGGGAGGGAGGGAGGGGGAGAGGGGCCCTGGGGAGGGGGGAGAGAGGGGAGAGAGGGGCCCTAGTGGGGGGGGGGCGGAGGGGGAGAGAGGGGCCCTGGGGGGGGGGGGAGGGAGGGAGGGGGAGAGAGGGGCCCTGGTGGGGGGGGGGGAGGGGGAGAGGGGGCCCTGGTGGGGGGGAGGGGGAGAGGGCCTGGGGGGGGGGGGAGAAAGGGAGGGGGGGGGGGGGGAGGGGGGGGGGGGGGCAGAGGGGACGGGGAGAGGGGCCCTGGTGGGGGGGGGGAGGGAGGGAGGGGGAGAGGGGCCCTGGGGGAGGGGGAGAGAGGGGCCCTGGGGGGGGGGGAGGGAGGGAGGGGGAGAGTTTGGGACCTGAATGGTAATTGGATGGCGGTGACAGACAGACAGACAGAGTGAGTGGAGTGGAGTGGAGTGACTGAGGGTCACTGATGTGGTTATATTCAGTCCATCTTTATCTGTTCAGGACTCGCTCGGCAAACTGAAAGACTTGGCGCAGCTGAAGGGCCAACTGGAGGACATCCAGCGGCGGGTGGAGGAGGAGGTGCAAGCGGGACTGCCATCCGTGAGTCACAATGAACCCTCCATTCCCCTGCGCCCCGTAACGTACTGCTTAGCCCTCGCCCCGCGGTTTGATTCCCCCGGGGAGGGGCGCAACCCATAGGTAAATTTCCTCACTACACCGCCCATGTTGATCTGGCAATAACTGGGAACCCGGCTGTTAGTCGATTGGCGCATCACCTTCCGGGGATAACAACCCCTCAAAAAAATAATTGGGTGACTCAGTCCACGACTGTTTGTGGGACATTGCGGTGCGCAATCGGCTCCCTCTTTTCGCCCATAAAATACGCAGTCACTCCACTTCGCTGTACATTGAGTGAAGCGCGTTGAGTCGAAGACGTGATAAGGCGCCGTATCAAATACAAAGATGATGATGATGATCATTATTGTGCAGCACATTGTTTAAGCAGCAGTGAGTGTGAGTGTTTGCCAGCCCGTGTCTGTGACCCGGTGACTTTGCTGTGGTTTTAGGGCGGCACGGTGCTGGCCTCTCCGTTCGTGAAGGGTTTCCTGGCGGGATACGTGGTGGCCAAACTTCGTTCCTCGGCCGTGCTGGGGGTGGCCATCGGCACCTGCACAGGCATCTACGCCGCCCAGAACCTCAACATCCCCAACATCGAGAAGACCGTGAAGGATTACTTGGAATCCATGAAGAAGAGGCCAAACTGACTGCTGGGGTACACTGGACGTCTGCGGTGGAGGCGAGGGATGGGGGCCGGGGTTGGGGAGGGCGGGGGGGAGAGGGAGAGAGGTTCAATCGCGAGATCTTTCCTGCCCCCCCCCACCCTTTGGAGAATCAACAGAAAGTCAGTCGCTCTCTTGCTCTGCGCCTGGTGAATGTACTGCTTGGGAAGGCACTTGGGAACTTTCAATGAGCTGAGCTGAAAGAGCAGCCTCTGAAACCAATTTGCTTTCTCTCTCTCTCTCTCTCTCTCTTTCTCTTTTTTTTGCTGCCTTAAACCTCACAGGTCGACCCAACCCAAGCAGAGCCGCTCCTGTTTCAATCTGCGCGTTGGACGAACTGAGTTTACAAGTGAATACAAACGTTCTTTTAGCGATATTTAAACTGCGATGGTGAAGATGACCGGACTGAAGGAGCCGGGGAGTCCGCTCGGCTCGCCCCCGCCTGGCAAGGGCCGGGCCCGGAGCCGGGTGCGATGGGGTTTCCTGCTGCTAGTGTCTGTGCTGGTGTACGGCTCGCATGCCCCCCTCATCAGCTGGTGTAAGATCGACGGGCAGATTCCCTTCAGTTCGTCTTCAGTCGTCGTCCTCATCGAGCTGGCTAAGCTCCTCGTGTCAATCGCGCTGTGGACAGCCCAGGACCGCGGTGGCAAGGCGGGCGTTACGCTCTCTGCCCGTGGTGTGTGCCCCCTGGCCATCCCCGCTCTCCTCTACGCCCTCAACAATAACCTGGTGGTGCACATGCAGCGCCACATGGACCCCAGCACCTTCCAGGTGCTCAGTAACCTCAAGATCGCCAGCACAGCTGTGCTGTACACCATCCTGCTGCACAAGCCCTTGTCTCTCCTCAAGTGGCTGGCACTGTTCTTGCTCATGGCCGCCGGCGCTTGCCAAACCTACAGCGGCTTCAGCAGTCGGCAGGAGCCGTGGACGGAAACGCACCTGTACATCACCATGCAGGGGCTGGCCATGATGCTGGTGTATTGCACCATATCCGGCCTCTCTGCCGTCTTCACCGAACGCATCCTGAAATCCCAGCAGCTGCCGCTCAACCTGCAGAACCTGTTCCTGTACCTGTTTGGGTTGCTGATTAATCTGGGGGTTCACCTGGCCAGCTCTCCGGACGGAGGCTTCTTTCAGGGGTACTCGGTGTGGGTGGGCCTGATAATCAGCACTCAGGCCCTCAACGGCCTGCTCATGTCCGTGGTCATGAAGTACGACACCAACATCACTCGTCTCTTCGTCATCTCCTGCTCCATGTTGGTCAACACCACTCTCTCCGTCTGCTTCTTCTCGTTACAGCTCACACCGCACTTTCTCGTGGCTGTGCTGCTGGTGTCTCTGGCCATTCACCTGTACTATCGGGTTAAGTAGCGGTGAGAAGGGGAGGTGGTGGTGGTGGGAAGGCAAACATTCTCTCAGACAGAGGCTGAAAGCCTGGCGGCTCATTGTGAATACGAAAACAATGCGGATATCAGGTCTCGAGTGCTGCGTCTCTCGTTCTCTCTCTAACTGTCTCTGTGTGTCTGCCTCTCTCTCTGTCCATGTACTGACCTGGATAAGATCTTTCCAACTTGCGCTGCTTGAGTGAAACCACCGCCCTGGTTAGGCTGGTGCTGTGGTAGCTCTCACCTCTGAGTCAGGAGGTTGTGAGTTCAAGCCGCATAGTCTTAACGCCACTCTGGGCATGTGTTGCATCATCGGAGGTGCCGTACTTTGGAAGAGATGTTAAACCTCACTCCCCGTCTGCCTATTCAGGTGGACGTTGGAAGATCCCGCAGTGCTATTCGAAAAGAGAAGGGAGTTCCTCTCTCTCTCCCGGTGTCCTGGCCAACAGTCCGCAAAATAAAACAAAATTGATCTCTCACTCCATGGCTGTTTGTGGGGACGCTGCTGTGCGCAATCGGCTGCCGCGTTTCGCCCACAAAATACACAGTCACTCCACTTTACAATATATCCTGTGAAGCGCTTTGGGACGTCTCAACGAATGCAAGGATTGTTGTTGTTATTGATTATGCTCGCGCCGAAAAGCTTTGCCCATTTTACTGCCAATTCTGATGAATAAGGGAACGTGCAGTTATTCACGGTGCGGCTATGTGGTTTTTACCTTACGGAGACTGGCTGATGGCCTGGGTCACTGGGTGACAATTATCTGCCTTAACCTGACCAGGAGAAACTTGAAGGCGTTTGATTTACTCGGGTTACACCAGCAACGCTTAATGTGGGCTGGAATTTCTCGTCTGTACCATTGCAAGGATCTTATTCGGTAGGTTTACCACTTAATAAGTCTTATACCCGTGACTTAATCACTGCACTTTTACATATTAAAAAAAAACCTCGCTTAGAAAGCGTCTGAATGTCAGCCTCAGGTGCAGGTTATAAGTTTATCTTTAAAAAGAAAAAAAAAGATTCCGTGTCTCATTTACGCCGTCTGTCGCAGTGACTTTGGACAGTGTTTTAGTGCCGTGTTTACTGTATCTGCAGCCTGAGCTGCCTCGGGTTTACACTCTGCTGTTCGTGGTGCTCTGTGACGCGCCGATGTTTCTGTGCAGCACTCTCCATTTAGCTGTCATTCTGATTCTAATTTAAGCAATACATCTGAATTGCTGAGTGAAAGCTGTGTGGTGTTGGGGTGTGTGGGGGTTGGCGCGGTGCAAAGAAGGAGTGAGGCTGGTTCATTGCCATCGTCTGCAATGGGGCAGACGCCCCTGTCAGTATCAGGAGGTGTTGTCCTGTGTGTTACACTGGTGTTCAGTGTGTTACTCTGCACAGCTGTTACTCCCAGGATAGCAAGCCCCGATACTCAACAGCTGACAGTTTCAACATCCTACTGATATCTTAGGCTCATGTTATGATTTGAGGTCTCCGGGGGACGTGTTACAGGGACACAGTATAGGACCCCCGGTGCCGTTGCCACTGCCATCCCCTCTACTGCCATGTAAAAAGATCAACGTCTTTTTACAGACGTCTTTATTCCGATTTTCTTTAACCTGCCAATGCCGTTTTCACGGCAGCAAAATAACCGCGAACCAATAGAGTGTGTAATTCGCAGTTTGCTTTTTTTAAACTGTTTGGCTCCTGTGTCCAATGTTTGTAGAGTGCTTGGAGGCCGGGGCAGGGAGGGTGTGCAGGACTGTTTGTGGGACACTGCCGTGCGCAATTGGCTGCCGCGTTTCGCCCACAAAATAAGCAATACAAAATTCCATTTGTATAGTGCCTTTCACGTCGGGGGGGGTCGGGACATCCCAAGGCGCTCTTTCCAGTCAACTCACTTTACGGTATATTCTATGAAGCGCTTTGAGATGTCTGGAAGACGTGAAAAGCGCTATATCAAATGCAAGGATTGTTATTATTAGTATTATTAAATCCACTTAAACTCTTTATAGACTGAAGTAGCTTTCACACCCGGTTACCAAACTGGTGTTTTGCCTCTCGTTTCCGAATGGAAAGTTTGTGATTCCAAGCAGAAACCGGAGGGTTTTTTTTAATACGGACTTAAAAAGTCAACGCATTTCAGTTTATTGATAAATATGTACTTTAAGCCTCCTCCTGGTTTCCCCCCCACCCCTCCACACATATACACTCCAACCCCCCCACCCCACCCCCGCCACACATTCCCCCGTCTGTGCTGCAGTGTCAGTGCAACAGGTGATGAAACCCATGGGGGCGTGAGGATATTTTGCATGGTTTGGTTTAGTTGATATGATCCGGTGCTGTGGGTCCTTTCTGTTCTGGCAATGAGGCTGCGTAGACTTCTCTCCAGTAACTTTAGCAGCTGAAATATTTATTTGCTTTATTGATGCAACCCCAATGAGTTGGGCTTTCTTCAGCTCGTGGCTGATTCCCTCCCACCAAGCCCCCCCACCCGCCGCACGATATAATGCAATGCTCATCGCAGAGGCTGGTTTAGTCTATCGGGTTATCTTGTTGATCGAGTGCTGTAGTTGATGGAACATTCGCTTTACCAAAATAATCAGCTGGAACCGAACCCTCTGCTTGCTCGATCGCTCGCTCACTGACTGACGCTTGTCAACCAGATAATCATGAAATGTTAATTTGCCAAAGGAGGGACCATTTTCTCCTCTCACTGTGACCAGCATCATGGCTGCTATCTCAGTCCCAGTCTCTTGCTCTTATTCCAGTGTTTGCCATCAGACTCCTCATCATATCCTCTCCCTGACGGAAACGGCATTAGCTTTGATATTTTTATTTCAATGTTTCTATGATATGAGGTTCTGAAATGTGTTCCTTTTCTCTTGTCAAGCAAAACTGGCACAATGTATGGGTTCCTATGATCAGCTCAGTGATATAAAGATATTTATAATCCTTTTCAGACTCCAGTGAAGTCATTTCCATGGTGTAAGCAAATGCACTGAGCTCACACACGCTGAACCGGTTAGTGTGAATTGATCAGACAGAATCATTCGTTAAACCACTGAACTCTTTGCCTCCAGGTCGTGTTGTTAACCTGTCCTCGAGGGAAATCTCTGCTCTCCTGGGCTGACTGTTCCTCTCTCTCTCTCTTCATCTGGTGTTAAAAGAACATCTGGATACTGTTACTTAGACACTGCGATAGCTTTATTTCAACATAAAATACAAGAACACAGGACAAAAACAACTCACACTGCCCAGCCTAGAGACCATAGATACCACGTCAGTTGACAGTTTAAAAGAGAGTCAGACACAAATGTGGGGTGTAAGTGTATAATGGGCTATGGCAAAGGGTTGGCGAAATGAGATTAAAAGGTCGTCCACAGTGTAATGAAAACTGGTCCTCTCCCAAGTGGCCATTATTGGTGGGCGAGTCAGGACGGTGGAGCGTAGTGGGTATTCGGCCACTGGGGAAGACCTGTTTTTTTTGGCCCACGAGTGGGTTATGTTGGTGAGAACTCTCCGCTGTCTGGCTGCAGGTGGACAGCCTGCTGCTCTCGCTGCTTCATCGCTGCTGGAAAGCAAAACCACACCGGGTGATGGACTTGGGAGAGAGATTTAACCCACAACCTGCCCACATCTCCCGTCATCTTAAATAGTGCATCACGCCCCTCGAATTTGACGACATCGGCGTGTCGGAAACGCTCCCCAGATTTTCGTGAGGAAGATCTTTGCTGGCCGCCAACGCAGTAACATTCCGATCAGAATCTCTCGCACCCCGAACCCTTACCGTCTTTCAGCTGTCTATTCTCCAGCTCCAGGTGCTGTGTTTGGGCAGCGAGGTACAGGGTGTCCTGTATGGCCTCCTCCAGCAGCTTGCGGTAACGTTTGTCCTGAGCTTCCCGCTGATTCTCGGACACCTCGCGGAACATACGGAGCATCTTTTGGGACGAGACGGGAAGAGGTGTGTCAGGAGGCTTCTGCTGGCCCAGCCTGCAAACCCCCAGACTTCTTACACAACAGCAACGTGCGTTTACATAGCGCTCTTCACGTCAGGAGGACGTCCCCATGACACAGTTTTACTTTTGACATACTCTGTTACGGGCGGTTGGGGCTGAGATTCCCCCCAGCTCTGATTTTCTCCCGTAGAAAGCGGGGAAAAAAAATGAACAAGGGAAGGAAAAAAAACTGGGACAGACTGACCTCGAGACTTTGGCACCTCTGTCTCTCCAGCTCCAGTCTGCATTGCTGGTACAGCGCCCGCAGGTCCCTCTCGGCCTCGGCTTTCTCCCTGCGCAGGGTCACCAGGTACAGGACCAGCAGCTCCTGCTCCCTCCGCAGCCCTGTGCTCCCCTGTGGCCCACCCGCAGCCTCGCTCCCCCCTGCCTGACAGAGGGATCCTTGTGACGACAATAGCCCTTACATTTCATGTCTTGCCCGTAACGTCTCAATGTATTTCACAGGCATTTGCTGTCAAGTGAAGCGCTTTGAGACGTCTGGAAGCCACGATAGGAAACTACATCAAATGCAAGGATTACTGTATTACTATTTGCAGCCAAACTCCTGTCTCTTTTCGAATAGTATCGCGGGATTGTTAACATCGTCCATAAAGAGTGGTCGGGATTCCAACCGAGAAGTAGTTTAACAAGTGGAAACAAACAGGATGTATTTTGCGTGTATTTGCAGAGATCTCTCTCTGTCTCTCTGTCTCTCTGTATCAGCTTTACCTTCTCTGCTCTATGCTCATCCATTTTGGACAACTCTCTCTCGATCAGAGCCATGTTTTCCTCCTCTAAGCACTTCCTCTTCTCCAGCCCCGTTGCATACAGGAGGTCGATTTCAGACTCAGCCGATGGACTGCCCTTTGGGGAGCAAAGCAAGAACTTCCATTGTAGAGCTTCACCTTCACGCCTCGAACATTGCATAGCACCCTCAACCCGCCAACAGCCATGAGGCCAATCACCAAACAGTCTCCAGGATTACTGTCAAGGAGGTCGGGAGAAACTCCTTTCTCTCCCTCCCTCCTGAATTCAGGTTCCATAAACTCTGTCTGTATTCTCTCGCGTTTAGAAGATTGAGGGCGGATCTAATTCAGGTGTTTAAAATAATATAGGGATTCGATGGGGTGTAGATACAGAGAAATAACATCCTCTGGTGGTTGGTGGGAACCCAGAACAAGGGGACATCATCTTAAAATTAGAGCTAGGAGTGAAATCAGGAAGAACGTTTACACACAAAGGGTTGTTGAAATCTGGAACTCCTGAGCAGGCTCGAGGGGGCTGAATGGCCTCCTCCTGTTCCTGTAACTGGACAACGGGTCAGATATAAAGGGAGAATCCCAGGACAGAGAGAGAGTTTACAGCCAGGACGACCCCCCCCACCTCGTAGCCGGCTCTGGTCGCACTGTGCAGTTGGTCCTGTTTGTGTCTGAGCCCCTTCAGGTTGCTCTCACTCTGCTTCAGCCTCGTCTGCAGCTGCTGGATGTTCCCGATGATGACTTCCAGTTCACTCTCGTCCCCGTGTTCAGCTTCGCAGCAGAAATCCGGACAAAACATTCAGGCAAGTTTTGTCACTTATTTGAGAAAATATTTCCCCTTTTCCAACAAATTGCTTTTACACATCGCCTTTCACATCGGGAGGACATCCCGAGCTGCTGGACATTGAGGGGTTTGCACCCGAGCTGGGGATTGGGATCAGAGAGAGGTGGAGGAGGGAAGAGTGACCGGAGGCACAGTCGAAAAGAAAGGTCTTGAGATGGGTCTTGAAGGAGGCAAAACAGGAGGCAGAGGCGCCCTGGGATGGAGCTCCAGAGGGTGGGGGCAGAAAGGTTGACAGCTTGACCGCCGATGGTGGGGTGGGCAGAGCGGGGGACGTGCATCAGGCCAGTGCCTGCTGAGTGGACGGAGCGAACAGGTTGGTGAAGTTTCAATAGGTCGCAGAGGCAGGGAGGAGCGAGACAGTGGAGAGCTTGGCTGGGGTTGGGGTGGAGGGAGTTGTGGGGGGTGTGGGGGAATGGTCAGTGTTATTGACTGTGCTGCTCCCAATAGGTTTCAAATGAAGTCTCGGGCCGGCGGCGCTGACCCACCTTTCAAATACGCCCCAACCTCGTTCTTGAGACGCTCCTTAACCTCTCTGATCTGCTGTTGTGTCTGTCTGAGCTCCTCTGCCAACTGCACTCGCTGCTGCTCGCTGCACGTCAGCTTCAAGGCCAACTCCAGGAACCCCTGCCCACAGAAAAACATTGCAGCAGCTGTGGGGAGCGGAGAGGGGGTGTGCGTGTGGGAGAGCAGGGGTGCGAGGAGGAGAGGGTGCAGGGTGGAGTGTGAATGAACAGGGCTGTAGGCACAGAGTGGAGGACTCTCTTACCAAACAGCAGAAACCAACCTTAGCAATGAGGTGCTGCTTCCTCTCTGCCCGGCAGTGTTGGGACTGGAATCTCTTCTTCTCCCACCGCTGCTTCTTCACCACCTGTCCAGATAATATAAATATGTATCCGTTAGAGACTTATAGTGAAGGGCAGCGAGGTTTGGGAAGGTGGGAATGGGCGGGGGGGTGACCGAGGAGTTACTCGCCTGCAGTTCGTGTACGAGCTGTGCCAAGTGCTCCGCCTCCTGCTGCGACACGTCCTTCCCGGAGCCGAGCTGCTCCCGGGCCTGGCGGATGTGGAGTCGGAGCTTCTGCGTCAGCTCTGGGGGATCCCAGCGGTTCTGCCGGACCTGGTTGGTGAGGAGAGCAGCGCTTCGAGCCAGGGACAGAGCCAGGGCAGCCTCGCCAGGCCAGGACTCTGTCAGCGCACACAGGTACAAGCCTCTCAACTTCACATCATCCACCAAAAGACACACGGTCAGAGAGGAGAAGGTTTTACACAACAACAACGACGACACATGACATTTACACGGAGCCTTTCACGTCGGGAGGACGTCCCAAGGCACTGGACAGTCAGGGATTTTCACTCGAGCTGGGGTTGGGGATCAGGAGGGGTGCAGAGTAGGGAGGGAGGGGTTAGGAGGGTGACAGAAAGCGCGGTGGAAGAGAAGGGTCTTGAGACAGGCCTTGAAGGAGGCGAGAAAGGGAGTGAGGCGAAGGCGGAGGGAACACAGAGGGTTATCCTGATGCATTGTTAAACCAATGTGATTAAAGCACAATCCGTAATAACGCGACTGTAGTATGTGTGTTCACAACGATGGCTCGTGGGGGTATCGGGGTGTTAGAGTTTACTTGTGTTTCAGTCTGAACGGAGACGCACCTGGCAGGTGTAGAAAGGATATCAGCACAGAGCACCTGTTCCCTCCCAGAGCCTGACTCAGAAGGGCATCTGTACAGCCGAGCCCTGGCTCTGTGTGAATCTTCGCTTCATCCACAGCGCGCTTCAGAGGAGACACACTGCAGAGAGAGAGAGACACACACATTAAAGGACACACTCCATGGAACAACAACAACAACAAGATTCCATTTATAAAGTGCCTTTCACGTCAGGAGGACGTCCCATGGAGATAAGAGAGAGAGAGAGAGCGCAGGTAGATTCACTGCAAAACAAAAACAACAGCACTTCTTTGTAACTTTGGGAAACGCTTACGTTCCACCTTGAGTTGTTATCCGGCTCTTCAAGAGCTGCATTCTAGAAGGAACCATTGCTGAGAGAGGACACTTACCCATTCCCAGCGCTGCCCGGCAGCTCATAGACCCGGACAGAGGAACGACACACACTCACGCCAGCACTGACCTCCCGCTGCTCCAGAGTGACTGTGAACAATGAACTGCACCTGAAACCACCACAAAAACTTACATTTATACAGCGGACTTCACTAGGGGCAGTGTCTCGGAGCGCTTAACAGTGGCGGAGCCTGACCCAGAGTCACAGGGAGGGAGGAGGAGATTGTAACTACGGTCGAAGAGGAAGGTCTTTAGTCGTGATCTGAAAGAGGGGAAGGAGGGGACAAGGTGGAGGGATGGGGGTGAGAATTCCAAAGCTTCGGGGGTGTAGTGGCTGAAACCACAGGAGGGAGAGAGAAAGGGAGTGCATTGTGTAGTCCTGAAGGCTCTGGCATTTTGTTCCTGTGGTTTATAAAGGTCGGACGGAACACTGTGCTCCCAAACCCCAAACCAAACCCCCTACCTGTCTGCGAGGTCTCCTGCCAGCCTTTCAGCCTCTCTGCCTTGTCGGTACAGGCTCCACGCCTCCTCACAACTGCCCACCACAAACTCGCTCAGCTCCTCCACAACTCTGAAATCAAACGAGGCAAAAACCATCAGCTCTTGTGAGATCCCACCTTATCCTGAACACTGTATCTACACCTAACACACCCACTAACCAGCCTCCACCCACAGCGCCCAGACAGTGAGAGGGTAAAACACAGGCTGCACTTACAGACCCAGCACTGGGTGTTGGACACATCGCATTGTTCTGTCGTGTGGGTTCAGTAGATCGAGAGCAGAACCGTCCGTGTGTAGCTGTGATGGCAGGCGGTGCAGGAAACAGAGAGACAATCGTTTATCACAGTCACCAACATGCACCAGAACAAGGGGCCGTCACCTTAAAATCAGAGCTAAGGCCATTTAGGAGTGAAATGAGACATTTTTTCTCCCTCTCAAAGAGTAGTGGAAATCTGGAACTCTCTAATCCTGTTCCTATGTTCCTACAACACCGGGAACAGGAAAGGACCAGCACTCGCACTCCATCCGACCAGTGAGAAAATAAACAGCAAGAGTCCTGCACTCTATCTCTCAATGTCTTCATCATTTCTTCACCGATTCCCCATTTGAATTGGCTGACACAATCCGCCTGCACCACCTGCCTCCCTCCCAGGGTTGTCCACCCACTCCCCATGGACCTCATTGGTCAATGTTCCGAGCTCTCAATGCACGAAACTTACCTGAATGTGTGAAACTGTGGCGAGTGTTTTCTGTTCTTCGTTTAGTTCCAGATCTTCAAACAAATCCTTCAACAACTGAAAGAAGCCCACGGTGCATTTACTTCCAGTTAACAAATCGAGTATTATTCTAATAAAGGTCAGTACTCCCGAACGTGAAGGATAAATGTGATCCTTGACTTTTTGTTGCTGTGCACAATTGGCTGTCGTGCTTCGCCCACAAAATACACAGTCACTACACTTTGCAGTATACTCTGTGAAGCGTTCTGAGACGTCTCGACAATGTGATAAGGCGTTGTTTCAAGGATTATTATTACCATTATTATTATGTGTCCCTGATGATCAGTAGGAGTGTGACCGGTTATCCAGTCCCCTCACACAGGAGAAAGTCTTACCTTGTGCATGATCCCTGTTTGAAGCTCGTCTCCCAGTAGCAGCCTGGCTTTACTGCCTGTGTGTGTCCCTGACACAACCAGAGATGTGTTGTAGCCCGTCCTTGCTTTACATATCAGCGGCCTCACCAGCTCCAGGTACACCCTCTCCTGAAACACAGCCCTCGTTATCGGGGTTTTACACTGGAGGCCAATTTGTGAGATACACAAAAAGGTTGAATTTGTTTGACTTTAAAACCGAAATGAAATGTCTTACCTGCTCACTGTCCGGGTCGAAGACAACATCGAATGTGAAGCTGTGGCTCTGTGGAGACACAACGCAATACAGAGAGCAAGGGTAGGGTTAACATCTGTATCGAGGCTGGCTCTGGGATGCTACCATGGTTGTTGCTGTAAAGTTGGTCAATGTTCCGAGCTAAAGTTGGCTATTCTTCCTTCATAAACAAGCACTGAATACACGGATGTCTGTCTTTTGACAGCCTGGTACATTTGCTTGTTTCTTTTTTCTTTTTCTCTCTCTCTTTCTCTCTCGCTCTCTCAATGAAGCCTGAAATGTTAACCCACGTGTATGTTCAGTCTTTTAACCTGATCGTTAATCTCTAACTCTCGGCTGTTACCCACCTTCTCTCCTCCGCTGTTTCTACTGGCGATTGACAGACTTTTTGAATCTTTCGCCTCGATGAAGGCCGAGTGTCCATCTCCTGTGTCTGTGAAGTCAGAGAGAGCGACAGTGAGAATGCTGATGATAGGCAGCTGTCCCAATATCTCTAACAAGACGACTCCCTTGCTTTATGCTTTAAATTGCAGCAATCCTTGATGAGGAACTCCACTGGGGTCAGTATTGATGGATCAAGGACAGATAAAGACCCCACTGCGTTATTTGAAAAGAGAAGGGAGTTCCTCTCACCGGGTGTCCTGGCCAACAATCCCCCAAATAAAATTGGTCGCTCATTTTGTCGCAATACCCCACTTTGTTTTATCTTCCTTGCCCCATTTTCTCCTTTGTCTTCCTTGCCCCACAGACCGACATCAGGGGATGCTGACCGTATAGAAGAGCGGCCCCGAATACAGGGAATGCAGTGGAATGTTTTGTGTCGGGATACATGGCAAAAATGTAACAAAAGATGTTGTATTTTGAGTCGTTTGTTGCACCAAAACTACTGTACGAATAAATGTACATTTTCCCCAAAAAACTTTCCTTTCTCCACAGATGCTGCCTGACCTGCTGAGTGTTCCCAGTGTTGAGGTGGTTGTTCTCTCCTGGGTGAGCACTGGAGAGCGCTCTGGGCTAAGCATTGTGTGATCCTACCTGTGTAGGGGTTTGGCCCTCCAGTGTTGGTAAACAGGAGGTCACATAACCCTCTGACCCTCAACCCCTTTCCTCAGGGGACAGTTTTGTTTAGAACTTTCCTCATATTTAACGTGTGACACCGAAAACGAGGGAATTGCCTAAATGTTGCCCTGTCGACAGGGAGTTTTCTGACCTGAAACCTGCTGGAGCCCCACAGCCACCTGCACTGGCACCTCCTCCATGGTCTGAAACACAAAGCACAAAGGCAGAGTCGCACCGCTACGTCCCAGGGAACGCAAACAGGTTTCAGGATTCAGCGCTTCAGTGTCAGCCCCACAGAAAATCAGGCTCCCAGTCATTAACCAACCCCCCACCTCCCCAATACACACACCTGACCTGCACCGGCCAAAAAGGTCCGAGAGAGGATTCAGAGGGAAGCAAATCACCTCATTTCCATTGTTAATAATAATAATAATATTCCTTGCATTTGATATGGCGCTTTTCACGTCTTCTAGACGTCTCAAAGCGCTTCACAGAATATATTAGAGGGATAAACTGTAACTAGGAATGACTAGCCAAGCTGGGGATCTTCAGCCTTGCAAAGAGACAACTCAGCGAGAGATAGATAAGTTTGATGAGGTATATAAGATGGCGAATGGGTTTGAAAAAGTAAACCCAGGACAATCCTTTCAGCTATGCCGTGACAACAGGACAATTGTGTTATTTTTCATTCCGAGGTCGAGCACCCAGTGGAATGGTATCCAGTTGGGCTATTTTGAAGATGATCCTCACCTGTCGGTGCGCTTTCCCTCTTCGTATATTCCTGATCGTGCTTACAGCGGAGCAGCGGCCGGTTACACTGACTCCCCGATCAGGGATCCTGTAAAATGCGCTTCAATAATTAAAAGACGGCAAGTGCACACACAGCTCCTCGTCTGCAAATCTCTTGTCAATTTTTTATCAGGTGAACGGCGTTGTTTTACAATCGAAGGAATTAACTGTAAATTATTAATAACCTGTTTCACTTTTATTCAAGGCCTCTGTTTTGTCTGTTTGCATTGCTCAGAAGCCCCGAACTCTGTCTCCCCCTCTCGTCTCGAGCTCTATTTAAGAGCCATACACACAAGTTCACTCCGAGACACTATCCCGTGTGAAAGGTGTTATATAATACGAGTTGTTGTTAATACTAATCCTTGCAGTTGATATAGCGCCTTTGCACATCTTTGAGGCATCTCAAAGCGCTTCACGGAATACACCGCAGAGCGAATCGACTACACTTTGCGGACGAAATGCGGCAGCGAAAGGCGCGCAGCCGCGTCCCACAGACAGTCGTGGAACGGGTGACCGAATTATCGTTACTTTTCCTTTTTTTTTGAAGGGATTATTAGCCCCGGAAAAGCAATCCGCCAACCGCCGGACAACCGGGTTCCCGGTTACCACTCGGGAAACGGGGGGGCGCGGGGAGAGCAGGGAAACTGTCCGGCCAGCGGACACGGGTCCGCTCGCCCCCCGGGTCCGCTCGCCCCCCGGGTCCGCTCGCCCCCCGGGTCCGCTCGCCCCCCGGGTCCGCTCGCCCCCCGGGTCCGCTCGCCCCCCGGGTCCGCTCGCCCCCCGGGTCCGCTCGCCCCCGGGTCCGCTCGCCCCCCGGGTCCGCTCGCCCCCGGGTCCGCTCGCCCCCCGGGTCCGCTCGCCCCCCGGGTCCGCTCGCGCCCCCGGGTCCGCTCGCCCCCCGGGTCACGGCTCCACCCACTGAGCTGCAGCTGTTGCCAGAACTATTGAAACAGCTTTGACTCTCCTTTGATCAGGACATTGGTCGTGTAATGTCCACCGACCACACACTGCGGACCGACAGACACACAGACACCAGTCCCTGTGCAGCGCTTTGGGCCATCGCTGGTCTCGCACGACGTGGCCCTGAGCCCTGTCGTTCCCCCCTCAGCCTGAGGGCGGCAGTGCGGAGCTGTGGCGCTGCAGTACCTCGCGGTGGCCACGGGGAGCCGCTGCAGCGCGACATTGGTGGCGGGTGACGCCGGGTCTCTCAGCCTCCAGCCCGGGCTCAGCGGACAGCAGAGGCCGAGGCTCAGACCCCCCCCAGGCCCGGCCCCCCCCCAGGCCCGGCTATGCTGCGAGGAAGAGGTCGTTACCGAGCGCACAGCATAGAGGCGTTCAAGTGCCGCAGGCGGGAGCAGGAGCAGAGTGAGCGGCCCCGGTCCCCAACTCCAGCCCCAGGCTTCAGTCTGTCACTAGGCCCCAAACCCCGGGAGGGGTCTGACCCCCGGGTGGGGGGTGGGGGGGTGTCTGACCCCCGGGTGGGGGGTGGGGGTGTCTGACCCCGGGTGGGGGGGTGGGGGGTGTCTGACCCCCGGGTGGGGGGTGGGGGTGTCTGACCCCGGGTGGGGGGGTGGGGGGGTGTCTGACCCCCGGGGGGGGTGGGGGTGTCTGACCCCCGGGTGGGGGGGTGGGGGGGTGTCTGACCCCCGGGTGGGGGGTGGGGGGTGTCTGACCCCGGGTGGGGGGGGGGGTGTCTGACCGGGTGGGGGGTGGGGGGTGTCTGACCCGGGTGGGGGGTGGGGGGTGTCTGACCCCGGGTGGGGGGGTGGGGGGGTGTCTGACCCCCGGGTGGGGGGGTCGGGGGGGGTCCACACACTATAATAATGGCGGCGGTTGACCCGGCGCCTCCTCCCGTCTTCGCGACGACTCTTCACGGGACACCGTGTACAGTGCAGTGACTTTGTGTCGTGTAGTGACTGTGCGCTTTGTGGGCAAAACGCGGCGGCCAATTGCGTCCCCGGCGACGTCCCCACAAACAGCCGTGGGGTTGAGTGGGCAAATCGTAATGTTTGGGGGTGGGGGGTGGGGGGGGGGGACCGTTACCCCCGGAAAGCGCTTTGAGGCGTCTCATCGCCGTGAGAAGGCGCTGTGTGTCGAGTGAAGCGATTATTATTATTACGATGACCCGATGGTTGCGATTGCAGTTGATAACCCTCGTGGTCCAGTCTCACCCTCAGCCCCGGAGGGCCAAAGCCCCGATGGCCCTCCCGGGACCTGCGCCGTGTGTTGCGGTGTGAGATTCCGCGCGATGCCGTAGTCGGACGCGGCTCTCATCCCTGCCCTCTGTTTCGAGCGCAGCTCTCAGGAAGGCCCGCAAGGAGAAGCAGCTGGTCAGCAAGAGATTGCTGAGGGACGTGTGGGAGGATGGAGATAGGATGGAAACCGCAGAAAGCCCACTGACCCGAGAGGAGGTCAGACACCATTGCCTGAAACTACCTGCGCTGTAATCAATCCTCATCCGTACTCCGGTCGGAGTCCCTGCTGTAATACCCTCTCGTCTCTCATCGCTTCAGGTTTTGCAGCTACACCAGAGGATCCAACTGGGAACTGAAGACAGACTCGTGGCTTTGCGGTGCCTGCGCCGGGCACTCCAGCAGAAGGAGGTACAGCAGACGTTTCTCAGGTACTCCTGACGTCCTGGGCTCCTGGGTTCTCAGCCCGGTTGGGTACCAGAGAAAAGCACATTGGTGCGTAACCTTAGGCAAGTTTCCTTACTCCACACGTGTCTGTTTACCTCGCATCAACTAGTAGGAGCCTGGTGTTAGTTCATTGGTGGATCGCTTTCTGGTGGTAAAATTTCCTTAAAAAAATTAACAAATTTGGTCATTCAATCCACGACCGTTCGTGGGACACTGCTGTGCGCAATTGGCTGCTGCGTTTTGCTCACAAAAACACTTTACAATACCCTGTGAAGCACTTTGAGACATCTCAGTGATGTGACACGGTGCTATATCAATTGCAAGGATTATTATTATTAAGGCTGACAGATGGGTCTGTACTATAACATTCTGTACTTGTATGATTCAGATTTGTAAATGAGACACATTGGAACCAGTAACAATGTCCGGGCAGTCAGTAGCTTAACGTTCTGCTCTTTTGCAGCCTGGACAGCAGTCTGCATGTCCTGGTGGGTCTGTTCACCAGTAACCTTGCCTCGGTACAGCTGGAAGCAGCAGGTTGTTTGCTGGAGCTCTCTCACTCAGACGACCCCAGTATCTCTCTGCTCTGTTTGCCTGCGACTCCCTATCTCCTGACTTACCTGTCGGGCCGGAGCGTGAGATTCACGGTAAGGGTTTCGCCCACGCGCCAGCGAGACCACAACCGCGCCGTGCTGCGTGAAGTTCTCTCGGATACAAGCTGGGCTTGCGTCACTGTGTTGCAGGAGCTGTGTCTGTACATTCTGGGGAACCTGGCAGCAGAGAATGCAGCGGTCAGGAGGCAGCTCATGGCACAGGGTGTGATTCACGCGCTTGCTACCTGTCTACAGGTGAGTCACGCCCCACACACAGCATTGTGAACGTGCAGCCCTGAATATCGTCATTGTTACAGCACAGAAACAGGCCATTTGTCTGGGCTGTTATTATTTTCTTTGAACTGTGGTTTGTGGCAGAAATGTTCACATTATCACCACCCTCTGCAGTTCGGTGCTATTGCTTGTTACCAAGACATCATCTGGTATCGCACACATACGGTTGACAATCCTGTCTGTGTTACAGTCATCTGAGGGAGCCGTGGTGGAGGCTGCGGCCTATTCACTCTCACAGCTCCTGCAGGGCAAGGAGTCAGCCCACAACATTGTACCGTAAGTGGCTTCTGACGCCCGTAACCCGGTGGGGGTGGGCGGGGGTTTGTGGCTGAGCGCAGAACAAACTCACGGTCAATCTGGCCATCAGACTCCGGAGCGGGTTCATCCAACCCAATCACATTGTCTCTTGCCCTTCAGACACAATGGGATTTTGTTTCGCCCACAAAATACACAGTCACTCCACTTTACAGTATACCCCGTGAAGCGCTTTGAGACGTTTCAACGAGTGATAAGGCGCTGTGTCAAATGCAAGGATTATTATTATTGTAACGCTGTCTGTTGGCCCTCACTATGATTTCGGACGAGCTGTCTGTTATAGACAGTGTCAGAGAACCTGTGGATTGTGGGAGGAAGGGAATAGTGAGTGGGCTCAATGGAATGAAAGGTCTTCTCCTGTTTAACGCTGCTGCGATAGAAACAGGAGGAGGCCATTCAGCCCCTCGAGCCTGTTCCACCAATCGATACGATCATGACTGATCTGTAACTGAAATCCAATTCGGGAGGAATAAGGTTTTCTCTGTTACTCTGCAGCGCTGAGCTGGTGGCTAAGGTGATTCCTCTGCTACTCCAGCTGTTGGTTGCGGACTCCCAGTGTGGGGTGTGGGCAGCTGTGGAGAGTGCCTGGTGTCTGCACTACATTATCAGCAGGTAACTGTCTGTCCTGTGTGCGTGTGTCTGAGTGCCAACAGTCGTCCTGTTCTCCATTACATTGTGTCCACTTACATACTCTCCAGCCAGGAGCACTGAATAAACCGTTGTCTCTTCTCCCTGCAGTGGTGCCATCAGTGAACATCTGGTCTCTCAGGACATTGTGAGTCGAGCAGTGACACTCCTGATCGCTCTGGGCAAACCTGGGTCAGCGACACCTCCGGACACTGTACATTTGGTAAGTACAGGAGCCGAGACTTGTCATCTCCTCTCGTGGGCTGTGATACCAGTCACCACAGCACTCGTCTTAAAGTGCTTCATAGACAGATCGGCATCAGTGTGCTCATTGACAGATGGGTGTGGGGAGATGATGGATACAGTAGTTGGCAATTGAGGTGTGAGTTTAAGACACTCGAGAAGCTGTTCCTAGGATGTACAGTATTATTATTTTGTCTACAAAATATACAATCAATCCACTTTACAGTATATCCATTGCAGCGCTTTGAGACGTCTCAACGCCGTGATAAGGCGCTATAACAAATGCAAGGATTATTATTATTATTATTACTTACACCAGACACTCTGTGCTAATGTGTCACTTGATGCCCAATACAGAGCTGGTTCAAACACTGAGGGCAAAATAACATGTCTGAACCTTGCTTCTCTCCCCCCCCACCCCCACCGACCCCCACTGTGGCTTCAGCTGATCATCCCTGTGGTGCGCTGTTTGGGAAATCTCATCGCCGGCGAGGAGACAAATCAGTGCAAAGCTCAGATCCAACAAAGCGACCTCCTGCCAACCCTCGGTCTCTTCATCACAAGCTTCTTACACACTCAGCCCTTTGTGGCACGGGAGTGTCTCTGGCTCTTCAACAACCTCACAGGTGAGGATTAAGCGCTCTGGGACACTACCCAGAGTGCGGGGTGCTATTTAATGCAAGTTGTTGTTGTGAGCATTTCATTTCACTGAACAAACTGCGGAAATCCAGGCCATTGATGAATCATATTCACCTCTTTCCCACTTCCCATCCCTCCCTGCAGCTGGTGACGCTCTGTTTTGCTCGGCTGTGCTGGGTCTGAATCTGGTCCCCATGTTTCTCCGCCTGATCCCATTCTCAGGGGGAATAAACACTCAGGTAAGTGGGCGCCTGGCGGGGAATCTGGTCTTGTGTGTGGGTGGGTGGGTCGGTGCGCACTGTGTTACAGTGATAGTGTTTGGTTAGCTAGTTTGAAATATCTGTGCTTGATACTGAACGAGGTGCACAGATCACTAGTCCGGTCCAAGTGAAACAGCAGTTGTTAATATTGCAGCGAGTTCTCACCCTGATAAATATGCAGCATGCTCCCCTATGATGTGTGCTGACAGGCACTGCTGGTGCTGGGCAATGTAGCTGAGCTGGGCCCAGAGACCTGCCAGCGACTGTACCAGGCGGACGTCACGCCTGCTTTGTGCTGCGCTCTCCGGATGGCTGATGTGGAAGTGGTGCGTCTGGCACTGGAAGTGCTGAACATGATCTTCTTACACTGCCCAGAGGTGAGGCTGTCACACTCACAAAGCAACTGCTCGGTTTGTTCATAATAGACTAACATATTGACTGAAAAAAAATAAAGGATAAATAATAATAATTTAGTTACTCAATCCGCGACTGTTTGTGGGACACTTCTGTGCGCAATTATCTCCCGCATTTCACCCAGAAAATATAGAAATATAGTCAATTCACTCTGCAGCATATTCTTTGAGATGTCTCAAAGACGTGATAAGGCGCTGTATCAAATGCGAGGATTATTGTTCACAGATGGTGCGCTGTGTTGTACGGAGCTCTGCCTGATAGGCCTGACCCCCCACCTCCCCCTGTCTAATGCTCCCATTGCTTCTCACAGGCCTATGTAGAGTTTGTGAAGCAAGATGGGGTCCAGGCCGTGGAGGCCATTCAGTACAATGCAAACGAGGAGATTCGAGTCCGTGCCCACTTCCTGATGGACAAATACTTCACGCAGCAGAGCGAGGTAAGCAACGAATGCAGAGTTAGCCTCGTTGGGTCACTTTGATACGATTTGCTTTGGACGTCCTCCCGACATGAAAGTCACTATACAAATGTAATTTTGTTGTTGTGTAGAAAAGACTCTTTGCCTGGAGTCTCCTCCGTTAAATCTTTTAATTGGCCTGAAGAGTATCAAGGAACAGCTTAATTAATTTCCTCCCGACACCTTGCTTGAGTGGCCACACGTCGCACATAGTTTTAAGATGACCCACACACGATAGCCTGGTGCAAAAGCTGATCGCCCTAAGCCTAGCAGATGGGAAGAAGCTATGAGCCCTTCTGAGATGAGCTGTCTTTGGCCTCCAGTGTATTTGACCGGAGCTATCTGCGTTGCCATGTGTTTATCAGTTTATTTTCTTTCTGTCTTCAGGGCTCATAGTTTGAAGTCTGGGAATCTTCCGCATGTGGCTAATGGACAGTTCGAGTACACTTCGGGCAGAACAAGAGTTCTGAGCCTCACTTTCAGCAGCTGTGCTTAACTGAACATGAAGCGGTAATAGATGGGTCACGGAATCACTGCACTGGAGGACGCCAGGTACTGTATGTGTCAAATGGATGTGCTGTTGCCAACACCTGAGAGGATATTGCAATGATCTTTCAATCCTGTGGACCAAAAGATCTGCAATTTATTAAACATCTTGTTGCTGAATTAAAATAGTTTTGTGTTTACTGACAACAGATTATGTACAACCCACGATGAGTAAAGGAACCATGGTCTTATTAAACACCTAATACGATCACATTTTTTTGTTTGAAACTATTTTTTACTGAAATTAAATTATTTGAAATGAACAAATGGGTGTGCTGTCTTGTTACAATTAGTGTAAAGTTTCAGAAGACTTTTATTGTAGCTCTGCCTTGTTATAATTAATTGGCAAATGTGTGCATGTGTATGGGACACTGGGCTTGTATCCATTTCAGACAGCTGGAAGTGAAAGGAATAATGGAGTTAAAGGAATCCAAGTGAAAGGAATGTGGGGCAATCTCAGCTCTATAAACAGTGGCCATTTGTAAGACTACAACAACAAAATTACATTTCTTTAATGTCGGGAAGACGTACCAAGGCACTGGACAATCAGTGTTTCGGACCTAAGCTGAGGGTCGGGACTGGGGAGGGTGGATGGCGGGCGGGGGAAGGAGGGTAACCGAAAGTACGGTCGAAGAGGAGGGTCTTGAAGGAGGCCAGGGAGGGGGTGAGTCGCAGGGAGGTGTTCCAGAGGGTGGGGGCAGAGTGGCTGAAGGTCCGCCCGCCAATGGTGGGGCGGGCAAGGTGGGGGACGTAAAGTAGGCCAGAGCCCGCTGAGCGTAGGGAGCGGGCAGGTTGGTAGGAGGTTAGAAGGTTGCAGAGGTGGGGAGCAATGGGGCACATAAATATTTAATTCATTTATAGTGCGCTTTATTAACAGTTTCCCTTTCAGACCAATGATATTTGAAACAAGACAAGTGTGTTTTAAATATGTTTATTATAGTTACATTTTAATTTACTGAAGACCTTCCACTGTGAAAGCAGCCGAAGAACAGCTAATATCCCACGTCCTTTTTTTAAATATCCCTCAGTATTCAGTCCTTATTTTAAAGGATTGCGGTTAATGAGAGTCTCCAAGGCCTTTGCCACTTGCTCGGAGTTTAAATTATCCAGTGGTATGCTTTGCTCTCTCCCAAAATCTAAACAGGAGAAGAAAAAACAATAACCAGGTACAATCTTTCAGTCCCCTTTTCCCACAGATCCAACACTTCCGTCAGAAAAATACTGAGTAACAGGTCTTTCATAATATTTTTCTAATGTAGGATTATCCGTAGCAGCTTATAGTCGTTCAAATGGTCTCCAAGTGTTTTATAGTCAGTATCTCTTACCATATCGAGCCCACAGTTTAGGTTGCACTTCCGCGCACTCCCGGATTAGTATGGGAAATTCTAGATTTGCCTTCTTCAGCGTCACATAGTGCTGTTCAACGAATTCCCTTTTGGAAGAAAAATCATGGAAAACGTTACTATCCACTGACATGCTGACAAGTGGTTGGGGATAAGAATGATGATCGTTGCATTGGACGCGGCAGCTTGTCACGGCGTTGGGACGTCTCAAAGCGCTTCACAGAATATACCGTGAAGTGGGATTGACTGTGTATCTTGTGGGCGAAACGCAGCAGCCAATTTCGCACAGTGGCGTCCGCACAAACAGGCGCGGATCGAGTGACCAGTGACATTTTTTTTGGCGGGTGGGGGATGGGGGGACAGTATGATACAACTTAATATTGTATGACACAATATTAGTACCCAACAAACAAACTGTTAATGGGGTACCTCCCTCACACATTACCCCCTCCACCTTCACCTCCTCCACCCTCTCCACCTCCTCCACCCCCTCCACCTCCACCCCCTCCTCCACCTTCACCCCTCCACCCCCCCCTCCTCCACCTCCTCCACCTCCCCCCCCCCTCCCCCCCCCCCCCCCTCCACCCACCCCCCCCTTCACCCCCCCCCCCCCCCCCTCCACCTCACCCCCACTCACCCCCTCCACCTCCCCCCCCCCCCCCCCCCCCCCCCCCCCCCCCCCCCCCTCACCCCCCCACCTCACCCCTCCACCTCCCCCCTCCCCTCCCCCCTCCACCCCCCCCCCCCCCCCCCCCCCTCCTCCACCTTCCCACCCCCCTCCACCTCACCCCCCCCCCCCCCCCCCCCCTCCACCTCCACCCCCCCCCCTCCACCTCCCCCCCCCCACCTCCCCCCCCACCTCCTCCACCTTCACCCCCTCCACCTTCACCCCCCACCCCCCCCTCCACCTCACCCCCTCCACCTCCTCACCCCCCCTCCACCTTCACCCCCCTCCTCCACCTTCACCCCCTCCACCTTCACCCCCTCCACCTCCACCCCCTCCACCTCCTCCACCTTCACCCCCTCCACCACCTTCACCCCCTCCACCTTCACCCCCTCCACCTCAACCCCCGCCGCCCCCTCACAGGGTGTCAGGAGGAGCCGACCGGCCTCCAGGCCTCTCCCCTGACCCCCGGCCGGTGTGTGTCAGTGTCCGAGGCCCGGCCTCAGGCCCGGCCTTACCCACCTGACCCCCTGACTGGCCGCCGACCTCTGGCACAGGTGCAGTCTGACCTCCCGGAGGTTTCCGCTCAACCGCGAGCCGATGCCTCTGACCACGGCGGCCGCCATGTTGTTACCTGAGCCCCACCGACCAATCAGCTCCAGGTCCCGCAGTACTGCGTCACGCTAATTGGTCCCTAGAAACGTCACTCGTGACTGTCAGCCAATAGGCAGCGGCTCCAGCAGCCAATGGCGGTGGGGAATGCAGGCGGGGCTCTGATTGATCGCTGCCGACGTCACTCACGGGTAACGAATCGCAGCAGAGGGGAGGGTGATTGGCATGTCCGTCAGCCAATGGGGTTGAAGGACGTGGGCGGGGTTCTCGCCCAGCCGTGACCAGTCGACACCGGAGCAGTCGGTGGATGTGCGGCGGTTGTTGACACTCGGCGGCGGGAAAGGCCCAGAGCGGCGGAGAGGCCCAGAGCGGCGGGAGAGGTCCGGGGAGGCGGAGAGGTCCGGGGAGGCGGAGAGGTCCGGGGAGGCGGGTACACTTCACGTCAGATACTCGCGGCCTGAGCTCGAGACCACAGGGGCCAACATGCCGGAAAGGGACAGTGAGTATCTCACCGAGACTGACCCGGTGCGCTGCCCCCCCACACCCCCCCCTCCCCCCACACCCCCCCCCCCCCCCCTACACCCCCTCCACACCCCCCCCCCACACCCCCCCTCCCCCCCACACCCCCCCCCCCCCCACACCCCACACCCCCCACACCCCCCCCACACCCCCCCACACCCCCACACCCCCCTCCCCCCCACACCCCCCTCCCCCCCACACCCCCACACCCCCCCCCTCCCCCCACACCCCCTCCACACCCCCCCACACCCCCACACACACACCCCAACACCCCCACACCCCCCCACACCCCCTCCCCCTCCCCCCCGCCACAGGAACCACACCGCGAGGCCTCAGGCTCTGCCTAACAACACTAATCTCTCTCTCTCACTCTCTCTGTTTATCTGTACAATCTGTCGATCCCCTTCTGTTGTTTTGCCCACAAAACGCAGTCACTCCACTTGACCGGAGATCCTGTGAAGCGCTTCGAGACGCCTCTCAACGACCTCTGTCCTGATAAGGCGCCGCGCGGTACCGCGAGGACTTGTTACCGAGTGGTCCGAGGCACTGCCCCCCCCAGTGTGTGTGGACGCGAGTTGCTGTTCGCGGGGGCGTTGCTGTGCGCCGTTGCGTTGCCGCCTCGTCCGCGTACTCGGTCACTCCGCTTCCCACGTAAATCCCGCGAAGCGCTTTTGAGACGTCCTTCCAAACGCCACTGTAGCGAATGCAGGGATTATTATTAAGGAGAGAGTGGGGGGAACATCCGCAGCGTTGGGGCCTAAAGACCATTCCATGTGTGAGTTTGTAAGTTTCGAGCACAGTTGTGGGTGTCCCGTCCGTCCCTGACGTTTGGATGTTGTGGGGTTTGGAGGGGAGCCTCGTCTGGGCTCTCAGGGTGCGGATGCAGGTTCTGTTTAGTCCGGAGAGGATTTTGGTTGTAACTCGGTTTCTCCGGCCTCGTCTCTCCACAGATGAACCGTTTTCCAACCCCCTGGCACCGGACTCACACGAGGTGGAAGATCCTCGGTCGTTGAACCAGTGAGTATCACCCACTCGCGGACGTCTGCAAGAGAATCGTCGGCGGACGGTTGGGGCGCGGACTTGTCACCTCAGAATGTTCTCAGCAAACATCCTGCGCCATGAACGTTGATAAAGAATGCAACCCAAGTGACTGAATAGCCTAAATGACTGCTGCTAGTGCTTTCTAATGCACCTGGGTGCTGTCACACTGCGGGTGCTTTCAGCTTGTTCGTTGGTTGCCTTTCCTGGTTGAATTACATTTTTTTTTCTCGCCCTCTCTTCCCCCCCCCCACCCCCACACAGGTCCAAACTGACCAATGAGGACTTCCGAAAGTTGTTGATGACCCCACGGTCAACGCCATCATCTGCTCCACCTTCGAAAACACGGCAACATGAGTGAGTGCGGGGCTGGGCAGGACTGGGAGGTGGGGTGGTGCTTGGTTATAGGGTCAAAAATAACGGGCATTAAAATGAACCTCAATTATATTGCTTGAAGATTGGAATCTTGCCTTGTTTTACGTGACATGGCCCTCAGCGTTAGATTTGTTCCTCCACATTCCTTTAACCAAGTGTCTTATTGCAGGATGCCACGGGAATACAACGAGGAGGATGATCCCGCCGCCCGAAGGAGGAAAAAGAAAAGGTACCAAACAGTCGGGTGATCAGTAACTAAAGTCGTGATCAGTCTGTGCCGTCCAGCAATATGACAATGGATTTACTTTCATTGAAGCTAACGAAGGAGCAGGATCTTAGCTAACGATTTAAAGAAAAATGTGAATGAGCAGATGTGTGTGTGTGTATGTGTAGGTATGTGTGTGTACCAGTGAGGATGTCTCCTCTCACACAGCGTCTCTTGACTTTCAGCTACTACGCAAAGCTGCGGCAGCAGGAGCTGGAGCGAGAGAGGGAGCTGGCGGAGAAATACCGGGACCGAGCACGGGAGAGAAGAGACGGCGTCAACAAAGATTACGAGGAGACGGAACTTATCAGCACAACAGCAAACTACAGAGCGGTGGGACCCACAGCGGAAGCGTGAGTAGATGAATGGACACTCGGGCATGGGTTCCACTCCCACTTTGTATATAGAGCAGAGGGGAATTATGATTTGCCTAAACCGGGTTGGTTATGATAATTGCCACGTGCTGCTTGGAAACCTCGGAAACATTTGTCTTTAATGATTTTTTTTTGATGCAGGGATAAATCCGCGGCTGAGAAACGCCGACAGCTGATCCAGGAGTCCAAGTTTTTGGGTGGTGACATGGAGCACACTCACTTGGTGAAAGGCTTGGATTTCGCTCTGTTGCAAAAGGTTAGGAACTGCTTAAACTCTTAAAACAGGCTTAAGATCTGACAGCCTGAGACCTGGGGGAATTTCAGGCTCTGATTTCCCTCTCGCAGAGGCTTGTTTCAAAATGGCAGCCGACATACCGGAAACATTCTGCCTCCTAACCTTCCCAATTCACATTCTCCCCCCCCCCCCCCACTTTAGGTCCGTGCGGAAATCACCAGCAAAGAGAGAGAGGAAGAGGATCTGATTGAGAAGGTGCAGAAGGAAGTCAAGTAAGTGAGCTGTGGATGTCCCAGTGCTTGTGGGTGGAGGGTTGATCCGGGTGGTTGGTGAAAATCTGCTCAATGTTCCAATTTAAGACAGAGAGATCTTGACACTACGGCTGTGCATATTCTGGCTATCTGGGGCTATAGATGTGGCCAGACTCCAGAGAAACTGAGGATTTTAAAATCCAGCGACTTGGGATGACCTCCTGACGTGCGCAATTGGCTGCTGAGGTTTACACACAAAATACAATCAATTCACTTCACAGTATATTCTGTGAAGCGCTTCGAGACGTCTTAAAGACGTGCTACTTCAAATGCAAGGAATATTATTATTAACGCACTTTACAAATGTTGTTTACGTTAATTACGTGGAATCTGGTGACAGTCCTGCAGAGAAATGAAACCGCAGAAAGATTTAATCAGAACATTAACTTTTGTTTCCCTCTTTCACTCCCCCGCCCAGAAAAGATGAAGATCCTGAAAACAAGATTGAATTTAAGACGCGTTTAGGTAAGAAACCTGTTTCACCAGAGCCACAGCGTCTCGAAGACATGATAAGGCGCTGTATCAAATGCAAGGGTTATTATTATTATTAACAGTTGAGCCGAACCTTGTTGTCCCATAACCTACAAATGTGCACTTTCATCAGTGGATTTCTGGATAAACTCGCCAAGCCCTGGGGTGGGGGGGGGAGGGTTTAGGATGTCCTCCCAACGGGAAAAGCTCTGAACAAATGGGATTTGTTGTTGTGGATGGGGCCCTAGCGAGTCGTCTCTCAGGCTGTTTCCGCTCTCTGTCTCCGAAGGCCGAAATGTATACCGTATCCTGTTCAGGATCAAATCTCACGAGCGCAATGAGTTGTTCCTGCCCGGGCGCATGGCCTACGTGGTGGACCTGGACGATGAATACGCAGACACTGACGTGCCGACCACCCTGATCAGGAGCAAAGCCGACTGCCCCACCATGGAGGTACGCACACGGCCCTCAGCGCACAGCTCGGAGCATCGTCAACCCGCAGGCTCACGGTGCTCGTTCACATCTTTGCAGCACCGCAACAATTACAGCACAAGAGGAAACCTTTGGGGCCTTCACGCCTCGGCTGGTGTGTGCAATTGGGTCCCGGGTTTCACCCATAAAATACACAGTCAATCCACTTTACACTCTATCCTGTGAAACGCTCTGAGACGTATCGATGACTTGATAAGGCGCGATATCAGATGCAAAGATTATTGTTGTTATCAGCTCAGGGCGAGAACCTCATGTTTTTGCTGTGCTGTTGAAGTACTCCTATTTGCCACAAGGTGCTGCTGTAGAGTTGTCGTGATGATGGCCCAGGAAGGCACTATGTTTGGTCTAGTGACTGTTTTTCATAGTTTAAACATGGCCGCCCTCACGTCCTGCTGGCAAGTTGTGTGACGTGTGCTTGTGTCCTCACAGGCGCAGACCACGCTGACCACAAACGACATCGTGATCAACAAACTGACGCAGATCCTGTCCTACCTGCGACAGGGGACCCGCAACAAGAAGCTGAAGAAGAAGGATAAAGGTGAGGAGGGGGTGTCACTGAGCTCGAGCGGCCAGTGAAGGTGTGTGTTAGGGACAGTCACAAGGTAACCTCCATCAGTAAAGAGTCAGGGCAAGTCCTAACGACAGGAGAAGCCCCTCGATCCTGTGTTGCTGTTTCACTAGATCGAGACAGATCTTTGATAGATCTGTGTTACTTGCATATCACAGTCTGTGTGTGTCGTCCGTTGTCTTTGTGACAGCCAAATTGCATTGAAGTTTTCTTAGAGCCAAAACAAGGACATTAAGGTGATCCACATTTCTGTGGTGACATTCATCTCTGCTCTTTTTCAGGTAAACTGGGAGCCGATGAGAAGAGGCCTCCAGAGGCTGATATAAGGTATAGCATTTGTGTCAAAAAAGCCTCCAACAATACAAGTTACTGTGAAGATAACCCCTCGATGTCAGGTGTATGTCATGAGCACATATACAGCTCTGCTCTGTGGTGTTCAAGCACTCCGAAACGCTGCCCTGCTTGAACAGCAATATATAAATGCAAGTTGTTTATTGTCTGCCATTTGAAAGTAACCGGTGATCGCAACCCTCAGCTTGAGTGCAAATCCTTGACTGTCCAGCGCCTTGAGATGTACTCCTGCGTGAAAGTTGCTGTATAAATGTAATTTGTCGTTGTCGTTTGCGATGTGTTGAGACACTTTGCGGAATCAAACTTATTATACTGCCCTGGGCATTGCTGCGAGTTTACCTTTCGTATGCCTTTGTTCAGCATCTTCGACGACATTGGGGATTACGTGCCGACCACAGCCAAAGTCGTCCGAGAGAAGGAGCGGGAGAAATACCGGGAGAAGGAACGGGAGAGAGAGCGTGAACGAGAGCGGGAGAGAGAGAGAGAGCGTGAGAGGGAGCGAGAGAGGGAGAGGGACGAGGAGAAAAAGTCTAGACACAACTATTTTGAGAAGCCAAGAGTGGACGATGAGGTATGTACATAATGATGACTCGGATGAGAACAATAGGAGGACTTGTGTCTCGTTCAGTGACTCAATGTGAGTGGTTAGGAAACACTGAGCGATGGGACGACAACCCTAATGGAATTCCAGATCATTTGTTAATAGGAGAAGAGGCATCTGGGGGATATTGTCCTGTCTTAACATAAAAAATCTGAAGAGATTTTAGATTCAGCCGTTGAAAAATCTGTGTTTTACTTAATAAACCTTGAACCTCTTCTGGGGTTTGGGGTGGGGGGATGGTGCAGAAGGGGGGGATTTTGAGGTATGTTCATTGAACACTGCAGTTTCTGCTCTCTTCAGAGCCAGCGGCTTGGAACGTCCTCCCGACGTGAAAGGCGCTATACAAATGTAATCTTGTTGTTCTTGTTTGATCTGTACTTATTCTGTCCACACTTCACACCGTAACCTGTGTTTTTTTNCTGTTTCTTCTAACAGCCATTGGAATTAGAGAGCGGTAAGTACATTCACTGGATCAGTGCTTTCTGTTAACTCTCTCTTGATCATTGGGGTTGTTCTTTACACAGAAAGGACAGGGTGATTGAGGCCAAGAGACTAGAAAACAGTAAGAGGATTCTGGAATGAATTGAAATGGGTTGAAGGGCTTTCTTCCTCTGATCAGTCAGTTTGTGGCTCTTGTTGGTGTCTGAGGGTGAGAAGCCAGGTCAGCGATTGAAACCTCTCAACATGGTTTGAGGAAAGACGCCTGATAAACAATCCCTTCTTCATTTTTGCCCAAGTATTGCGTGTTGGAGTGGTGTGCTGTTATTTTGTGTGTGTGCTGCCCAATAAGCACAGTGTCACTTGCTGATGTTCTTATCTTTATTCAGGTCCCGGAACAGCCAAAGATCTGATCAAATCCATCAACGAGAAATTTGCGGGAACGGCAGGGTGGCAGGGAGCCGAATCATATCCTTCCTATAATACACCGTCTGTGTGTCCTCACTCACCAGCCAGTACACTACCACACACCACTTCTCCCTCCCCCTGGCGTCAGGCTCCACCACTGTCAAGCACTCCCAGACGCTACCCCGATTGAAGGACACTGTATAAATGCAAGTTGTTACCGCAACATCCATACAATCCTCAGGGACTGAGCTTTCAGCCACTACACTCTGCATCTCTTCCCAGATCCATGTTGCCTTGTTTCTTCTTGCCTTTGAAAATCACTTTAAAAACATATTTTGTCGTCTTAGCATTTGGTCAACACCCAAAAATCAACCCTTTTTCCTGCTCGGTGTCCTTACTTATAGCTTTATATACTTCTAGATGTTTGCCCTCAGGAGAGGAAAAAGTGTGATTGCAGTGTTTGCTGTATGTTTGCGAGTTGATGCTGCTGTTGTATTGATGTGGTGCCGAATTTTCTGGGAGCGACTTTCCTTAACTCTGGTCTTAAGGTGAAGAGACCGGATGACAAGAAGCGCCTGGGAGATTTCTTTGGGACATCGGACAGTTATGCGGAATGCTACCCTGCCACGTAAGTATTGGTGCCGCACTGGACAAGTGTGGCATTAATTTAGAGAAGCCTGTGTAAGGTCAGTGCTGGAGTTCGCTCGTTGCACCCAGTGTGACACTGTCTCCTTCCTGTCCTCGCAGGCTGGACGACATGGCAGTGGACAGTGACGAGGAGGTGGACTACAGTAAAATGGATCAGGTACGATTCACAGAACTTCTCCATCTGACGAACTGATGTGTCTTTGAGTAGGTCAAGTTTCTCTGCAAGCAAACAATCGGCGCATTGTTCTCTGCTGTAGTGAGATAATGCGATGGTTTTAACTTTAAACAAATGGAAGAAAATGCGCAGTGACAGCCCTATGCGAGGGACGGGTAGGAATATTTCTGTGATTTGTGTGGAATCTGCAGGGAAACAAACTCCTTGTCTTTACTGTCCTGCAGGGCAATAAGAAAGGGCCACTAGGACGCTGGGACTTTGACACTCAGGAGGAATACAGTGAATACATGAACAACAAGGAGGCGTTGCCCAAGTGAGACCCCACTCCTCAGCCCACGAGACCTTACCCCGCTAGACCCCGCCCCCNACTCATCCCATAAGATCCAACCCCTCGCCCCGTGAGACCCGTCCCCTCGCCCCGTGAAACCCGCCCCCTCTCCCCGTGAGAGATGAATGTTGAGTACATGAACATGTGGATTATTGTTCCCCCAGAGCTGCTTTCCAGTACGGCATCAAAATGTCTGAGGGACGTAAGACCCGGAGGTTTAAGGAAACAAACGAGAAAGCGGAGCTTGATCGACAGTGGAAGAAAATCAGTGCGGTGAGTACCATCCCTAAACCTCACGATACCCAATAACACTGACCCTCACATTCCCTGCCACTGACTGTCCCCATTGACAGCACTCATGGTAACCCTCTGATTGCAGAGTTTACACCAATATTTAGACTCTCGTACTTTGTTCAATATGATCCACAGGGCCCACACAAGCGGTCATGGTCTCAAAATCTTGGGGTGGGGGTGGGGTGTTGGTGAATGGGCCCAAAATCAGACCCCATTATGTTAAAACTTTTGGTCAACAAAGCATTCATTGGAAGACAATTGTACCTGGATTTGGGTGATGTTTATCTCTTGTGGTTTCATTCTGAGGAGATCATTGTCTCATTCAAACAGGAGATAAGTTTTGTTGAATTGACAAAGTGCCTTTTCCTTTAGTAAAGATTGTTCAAAGTTTTCTTCCCCTCTTCTTCTCTTCACCTCCTTCGCGCACCCAAAGCAATCACTTTTCAATACATTACACCCTAACATTCAGTTATAGATTATATACAACACACACCCACACATGGAAATGTGACAGACAGATCTGATTGTTATCTGTTAATGTTATGTTCTCCTGTTGTTTTCGTGCAGATCATTGAAAAGAGAAAGAAGATGGAGGCTGAAGGGTGAGTGAAGAGCATCTTCCTAAATATTTTTTTCCTTGTTGGATTTTCTGCTGTCCTGAACATGTTTGACTTTTTCAATCAATGGGCAAAGTGTGTGACTGTGAGCTCCTGACCCATTGACTGTCTGCGGGTTGGAATTATCAGTGGGAGAATCAGTTTAGCTAAACTCTCCAGTGTAGTTTTGTGTGATCTGTAACTGGTGTCTTGATGGCCAGCACCCACTTGCCTGGGCAGTGACATGAGTGATACAATGGCAGTGACTTTGGAAGGGCAGCCTGTGTGCTGAAATCGATGCAGTAGCCGGGATCATGTGCTTTGTGTCGGATTATGCGCTGTGGGACACTACCCCGCATGAACAGTGCTGTATAAACGCAAGTTGTTGTTTGTTTGATAGTGTGGAGGTGAAGAGGCCCAAGTACTGAGAGCCGGGCCGTGTTTGCCACCTGGTGTGTCACGTTCCTGCATCCTGATCCTCATCCACGTCACCTGCGTTTAACACCATCTCTGACTTCTCTCCCGCTCCTCTCTGGGAATGCACAGCGGACTGGGACTTGGGAGCGCTTAACCCTCGGAAGGTTCAATTCCAGCCTTTCTGAGGATTCGAGTCTTGAACCGGGAAGAAAACAAAAAAACAAACCCACACGTTACCGGGAGCCTCAGAAGCGCTGAGTATCTGCAGTTTGAAGCAAATACTTTTTTAAAATATTCTCTAAATTGATTTTCAGTGTAGAATTAGCCCTTTTACCATTTGTGTTCTCTTTGTACTATTCTGTAAATGCAGTAAAGACAAAATCTCTGGTTAAATGGGTTTGATGTGTTTTTCTCTGTATAAACTTGGCTTGAGTGGTTTTCATTCCCCCTTCTCTCCATTTTATTCTCTCTCCCACCCCACCTTCAACAACCTCTCTGCTAATCCTAGAGGAATGGGATTAAAGAACTCCAGTGGGGGAGCAAGAACCAAGACAAAAACTGGGCTGAGGTGGATAGTTTCCTGTACTGTTGATTTCAATGATTTATCGACTTAACCCCCTGCTGAATAATTATCAATCCAAGTCTGGGATTTAATATGAAATATAAAGCAGCTCGTTGTTACAGCTGGAGATTCGAATACAGACCAATCACTGACAGGAACAGAACCACAAGCAGTTTGCCCACCAACAAAATACTGTTCATTATTTACTGACAAACGGAATGGCAGTTAACAGTAGCTGTAACAGTGGTGGAGGTGCCTGGCCAGCCTCGCTGCAAGAGTGGAACTGGGGAAAATCACCCTATGAGACATTCATGCCTTCATTTGTAATGATCGGAGTATTTATCCAGAGTCTTGGAACTCCTTCCCTTCCCTCTCCCCCATTGGGATTGAGTTGCCAAGAACCCACCCAGTAAAGCATGATTCAACAGGAAAGCTAACATCTGGGACTGGTTTATGGACCAAAGGGTTGGAAGAGGGAGGAGCAGCTGAGAGCTGGCTGTAAGAATGACATTTAACAGGCATCTGTGTCAAGCTCTGGCTGTGATCTGACCTCATTAGCTCAGCTCAAGAGTCTTAATGATTGAGTCACAGCTGGTTAGCAATCTTCGTATTGCTCAATAATTATGTCTGGAAAACTCAGATGGTCCTATAAGAAACTTGTTTCCACGTACAGTAAGTTATTTCCGGAATCGCTGCCCCATTGGCCAAGCAGAGATAATAAACCTTGCATTTGATATAGAGGCTCATCACGTCTTCGAGACGTCTCCCAAAAGTGCTGCACAGGATACACTGCATAGTGAATTGATTGTTTTTTGTGGGTGAAACAATCTGTCTTTCCAAAGCTGATGTCCTCTCTCACGCCTGAACCTCTCGTCTTGCTGCTTTGTTGTGGATTTACTTTCTCAATCCTATTGCTTGGGACAGTGGCCTATTGCTAATGTGGCTTGGGACGTCCTCCTGACGTGAAAGGAGCTATACAAATGTAAATTGTGAACTTTACACACCTCTATTAGATTCCCTCTGTGAATCATCTCTTTTCAAGGCTGAAAAGCTTTAGCTGATAATAGTCCATCCTCAGAGCTCACCCATCATGAGGATCAGCCTCTGTGCTCTCCTCTACGCTGTCTCGGTTCTGGGAAGTCCCTTGCGTTGGAAACAGAATTGTAGTGTACGCAGTATTCCAGGTGCAGCTTGAGTATTTTTACCTTTAAGACCATTTTCTGGGATCTGAGCTCAATTGATTTGGCAATGTAACACGGTATTCCATTTGCTTTGGCAGCAATGCAGTGAATTGCAAGGTGGGGGGGGTGGGCGGAAAGACTGCCAGTGTGAAATGCCCCCCCTCCTCTCCCCTTCCCCCCAGGGGAGTGCTACAGTCGTACTTTATTGTTGATGCTGATTAGAAAATAGTCTGAACTTCTCACTCTCTTGCGAGCAGAGAACACGAGGCTAATTAAAAGCAGACTGTTTGGAAATCTTTTCCCAGCACGATTCGAACCAGGAGCATGTTAGCCAGACCTCCAGGGTTCAAGTAACATGTGTAACATGAGCCTTCAGCCTCTCCTCTCCAAGGGGGCCTCAAAGCTTGGAGCCCACTTTTGAATGAAGTCCAGCAAGTTGCCAAGCTTGTTGCACATCAGTGTGGCTATTGAGGTGTATCGCGGGAGTTCCAATAGGCTGAGATAAAATCGTCACATACTGTATGTTGGTTGGTGTTTGTGCACACGCTCAATCAGTTGTCTCCGCGTTTTGAATGAATCGCACAAATGCAAGTCGTTCTTGTTCTATGTGCACAGCCCTGACCTCCAGACAGGTGACCTGAATAAGAGCAAACAGACAAATCTCCTCAGACAGAGAGCAGATCCCTTCCTTCTTTATCACACAGGCTCAGACGCTTGCATACTACAGCTGTAGTTTATTGTTGTTGATGATAAGAAAATAGTCTGATTATTCAGATGGAGATTAATGATCCCGTTTCATAGACATCCTTTGTGGGAGGATTATTGAACCGGACACCTGGAGTAACCGCTCTGTTTCAATCGTGCTGTGGGACCTTTACCACTTGGCCCACAAAATACAGTCACAGTATATCCTGCAAAGCGTTTTGAGATGTCTCAACCATGTGATTAAGCGCTATTACCGAATACAAGGATTATTATCATTATTCACCTGAGCAGACCAAAATACACCAAGTACACGTGCGGGGCTCTGAGACGTTTCGATGTTGTAAGCACTGTATCCAACGTGAGGGATATTTCACCTGATCTGTAGTCAGTGTCTGTGAGAGGAGTTCGGCTGTTTGTTTGCTTTCTCTGTTTTCTTTGACAGCTTTCTTCAGCAGCCTGTGGAATGGGCCAGATTTTCTGTGGCATCAAAAAAAGGAGCACAGTGCAGAAAGCTGGTTTGTGCTGGAGAGAGAGACTGCTGCCTGCATGTGTGTTTGTTTTCGCTGTCAGGCCCTGGGCCGTGGGTGTAAGTGGAGACTGAGCGGAGCGACTGCGAGAATGTCCAGTTAGCAAGGATGAGATTACATCACACTGCTGTTGGTCTGTCTAACGTCTCTCCCTTTCTGTAGCTTGTGCTCTTCCAGATGAAAGATTTCCGACATCATTTGTTGGGGTCAGCCAGGTGTCGGACACGTGCAGATACCCCGTCACCGTGCTTCAAGAGTCTCCGAACCAAACTGAGAATACCGTACATCCCACCGAGACATTGGAATTCCAGAGGTAGATTTTGGAATGGAATGGAATGCACCGCTCTCTCCCTGGAGGGACACATCCTGTTTGCCTCATTCCGGAAAGTATTAGCTTCCGGAATTCCAACATTTAATATAGAAATATCTAAAACCAAGTACCACAAGCTCGGAGGGTCCTGAGTTTAATCCTGGTCTGTGCTCAGGCTGATCTCAATTGGGAGCAGCACTTGGGGATTCAAGTGGCCTCCATGACCCTGGTTATGGGAGAGAAAATCAACCAGGGTTCCAGAGCCAAACATGTATTAAAGCGGGATGGAATTCTGCTTCTGATTACCATTAAACAATATAATAATCCTTGCATTTGATATAGCACCTTATTAGTTGTTGAGAAGTCTCAAAATACTGCACAGAATGTACTGTAAACGGTGTTGACTATATTTTGTGGGCGAAACACGGCATCCAATTGCACACAGCAGTGTCCCCACAAACCATCATGAATTGAATGATCTATCATGCCCAAAATGCCTGTGGAGAGGCAACATGGAGAAGGAAACATAGGATTAAAATGTATTCAGGAGATGAGGAGGGGGAATATAAAAAAATGCACATATTGAATCATTGATGGATAATTTCATCTCTGAAACAAATGAAGGCTTCAGTAATTTTTAACAGAAGCAGTGTTGAAGCAGAGTGCCTAGCTTGGGTTATTTCATTGAAAGTCACTCGCTGTGCTGTTAAAGAGTGCTCTCTCTGTATTCCAGATGTCAATCACTGCACACGTGTAATCATAGTCAGAGTCTTGGCCATCTCTCTCTGCAGAGAAAGTGACTGACACAGGCATCGTTTGTTAGGGGTATTGAGAGGCTGTTCACTAAGCGAATCCAGATTTGTGAACCTTGTGAATGTTGATGAACCAAATCTGGAGACACGTTGGGGTTCGGTGTTTCTAAATGTGTAAACGTATGTTTTTTTTAAAAAAATTCTTGCCTGGTTTCAATTCCTACTGAATATTTTGCTCGTTCAGGTTTGATCAGGTTCTGGGGGTAATAATCCCTCCAAACAAAAATGTGGTCACTCACTCCACAACTGTTTGTGCGCAATTGGCTGCCGTGTTTCGCCCACAAATGCACAGTCAAACAATTTTACAATAACCTGATCAGGCACTATGTCAAATGGAAGGACTAATATTGTTTGGAAGGCATTTCAAGAGCTGTGGAAAAATGGCATCCGCGTGACAACTGAATTGAAGAATCTTCCACAAATGTGCACAGTCTTAAAACCAAGAAATTTGGGGACTCAAGTCATCAAAGAATGTATTTTCGTGTTGAATATCCCAAGCGTTCTTAGATTGCGCAATGACATCAAAACCCTGAACCCCGAATGCTTGTTAATCCGTGTGAATTCCAAACCTCACAGGACAAAAGTGTAAATTTATAAATGCCCTTAAACAGCAGATCCCCAGACAGACCGTCTCCAAGCCTTGGATTGTCTCTTTCACACGTAGACATCAAAGAGAAGGGAAGTCCCTTTCATTTTTGTTAACCTCAGCAAATAAAATAACAAGTAACAAGGCTCCCTATGGAGAAGGTGGAAGCAGGAAGTGTCAATCCTTTCAAGGAAAAATTAGATAGATTTCTGTTAGGACATAATATCTCGGGATACTGTAAATAGTTTTGGACACGACATATGCAAGCGACTGGCAGGATGGCGGAAGGCGAAACGGTTGGACCTTGGTCCTCTTTCGTGCGGCAAATGGTTCTTATCTCCTTTTTAGGTTGGAAATTGCAGGTCTGTAAACCCGAGAGTTTGGGGAGAGTGTAGAGAATGGGCTTTATTGTGAATTGGGCAGTTTACTGTGAGATTATTGGCCAGGATTGCTCATAATTTTGCCTGTAACTGTCTCTGACACCTTTCCCGGTCTTGGATGCCCGAATTGTACAGAGTGAACCAACCACAGAGCCACAGAGCAAACACCAGTAACAGTTACCGGAGATTTCGGATTTGGATACTCTGTGCTCATGTTACATGTATACTTTTGTTACCTCATCAACCAAAAGATGCAACAGGTTTATTCACCTGTCTCAATTCTACAATCCGCCTCAGTTGAGCGTCTTACGTCGCGGAAGATATTAAGTAACACGTTAATAGTACTTCGGGAATCTCGATCACAGATTCTTTGCAATAAAATTATTGCTTTTGATGACCTGACAATGTTGAAACGACGACGGGGATTTTGTTCTGCTGCGGTTCGCCCACAAAATGCACAAAAAAATATCCGAGACGTCTCGAAGACATGATACGGCCCTGAAGTCAAATGTCAGGATTATTATTAACGTTAATAATAATAATAATAATAATAATTAACATTGAGGTGCAACTTCAAATGCAGGAACTCGCTCTGCCCGCGGACCCGGCTGGTCAAGGTGGTGGGGGGGGGGGGGGGGGGGAAGGGGATGGACAGGGCAGAGTGGGGTCTGACCCCACTGATGGGCAGGTCCGGGGCACAGAGACCACCCACAGCAACGTGACGCCTACAGGACAGACCGCGCCTGCGTGGAGATGGGCTGAGAGGAGAGACAGAGAGAGGCTCAGAGAGAGGGGGAGAGAGGCTCAGAGAGAGAGAGGGTCAGAGAGAGGGAGAGGGGCTCAGAGAGAGGGGGAGAGAGGCTCAGAGAGAGGGGGAGAGAGGCTCAGAGAGAGAGAGAGAGAGAGGCTCAGAGAGAGGCTCAAAGGGAGGGGGAGAGAGGGAGAGGGGCTCAGATAGAGGGGGAGAGAGGGAGAGGGGCTCAGAGAGAGGGGGAGACTCAGAGAGAGGGGGAGAGGGGCTCAGAGAGAGGGGGAGAGAGGTTCAGAGAGAGAGAGGCTCAGAGGGATAGGGGGAAAGGCTCAGAGAGAGAGGGGGAGAGGCTCAGAGAGGGGGAGAGACTGGGTCTGAGATAGAGAGAAGGGCAGAGGGAGAGATAGAGAGAGAGACTGAGAGGAAAGGGGTCAGAGAGGCTCAGAGAGAGAGAGAGAGAGGGGAAGGAGAGCGGTTGAGAAACAGCACATTTCGGAAATTTGCCGTCCGCTGTTTGGCCGAAGATCCCATCCCTCCCCCCGGGGTTACAGCGGAGCCTCTGGGTTCAAGGTAAGAGTGAGTGTGTTGGGGGTGAGGGGGGGTTAGGGTTTGGGGGGGAGGGGGGAGGGTGTTTGGGGGTGGTGGGTTGGGGGTGGGTTTGGGGGTTGGGGGATTTGGGGGGTGGTGGGTTTGGGGAGGTGGTGGGTTGGGGGGTGGGGTGGTGGGTTTGGGGGGTGGAGGGTTTGGAGGGGGGGTGGGGGGTTTGGGGGTGGGGGGTTTGGGGGTGGGGGTTTGGGGGGGTTGGATTGGTGGGGGTGGGGGGTTTGGTGGGTTTGGGGGTGGTGGGTTGGGGGGTGGTGGGTTTGGTGGGTTTGGGGGGTGGTGGGTTTGGGGGGTGGTGGGTTTGGGGGGTGGTGGGTTTGGGGGGGGTGGTGGGTCTGGGGGGTGTGTGTTTGGGGTTGGGGGTGGTGGGTTTGGGGGGTGGTGGGTTTGGGGGGGGTGGTGGGTTTGGGGGGTGGGGGTTTGGGGGGGTTGGTGGGTTTGGGGGTGGGGGCGGTGGGGGGTTTGGGGGGGTTGGTGGGTTTGGGGGGTGGTGGGTTTGGCGGGAAAGAGAAGGTGGGGGTCATTTTTTAGTATTTAATATTATTGTAACACAACACTCGGGAGGTACTGATCATTGGATGATAGTAACTCCCTCCCGGGGTCGCGCCCCATTGCTCGGGTGCCTTTCCTCCCCAGTGAGGCGGCTCTGACTCCTTCCCCACAGATTGGGGTATGGGGGTCCTCACAGCCCCCGGGGCAGAGGGAAAGGGTTCACACTCTTTGGGGTTTGGGGGAACTTCCAGCCAAGTGTCACGTCAACTTTGTGGCGAAAATTTGGATTTTATGATGTTTGATGTATATTTTTATGCATTAATTTAATTAATACATAAAATACATAATAATATTATTAATTAATAATGATTGGGTTACTCAGTCCACGACTGTCTGTGGGATGCTGCTGTGCGCAGTTCGCTGCCGCGTTTCGCCCATGAAATACACAATCAATTCACTTTACAGTATATTGTGTATACTGTAAAGTATACTGTAGACGTCTCAAAGACGTGATAAGACGCTGTATCAAATTAAAGGATTATTATTATTATAGTTCAGTTAAGACTGGGGTTAGACAGGAGAGAAACAGAGAGAGTTACACAAAGTTTCTAACAGTTACTGGGGACTGAGGGTGTAAGCTGCAAACTCTGCAATATGTGGCACTCAGCATTAGGTGTGGCTGGTTTATATCTGGCCAGTTGTGTCTTGAAATGCTTTCCTTAAATTGCAAAAAAAACCCAAATATGTAGTTAAAACTCTTTATCGTTTCACCCACAAAATGCACAGTCAATTCACTCTACAGTGCATTCCGAGAAGCACTTTGAGACGTCTCAACGATGGGATAAGGCGCTATATAAAATGCAAGGATTATTATTGTTGTTGTGTCCTAAAATGACCGAGGATGTGGAGAGCTGAGCTGGCGACTTAAATCCATTGGTTACTGGTTGGAGCAGTTTAGCTGGTGACTGGAGTCGTCAAAGGAAGCATCCCAATTGCAATGATCAACTGCGCAAGAAATGTTTTGGGGGAAGGAAGGGCTAATGTCTTCTATTGCTTTGCTTCAGTAAGGAACTGTAGGTACTGTTAATTACCCAATGAAATAACTGTGAACTTGCATGGGATCCTTTGCCCTGAATGCACTCTAGTGCCATCTGTCGGTTTTAATTATGTTTGTCTTTATTGCCCTCTTTCACCCCTCCAAAAAAGTTAGTTAACGCCAATCTGGAACATGACATGACATGTGCGTGCGACTGCCAGGCTGGGGGAAGGCAAACTGGATGAAGGCATCCAGCATTTCTTACGTGTTTTGGATTTGATGTGGGAAGAGAGTTGAGCGGAAACATTAATGCGTGGTTGTAAGGGGGGGGGAGGGGGAGTTGGTTGCTGGCTGTTGCTCCCGTACTGATCTTGAAGTCATTTATTAGTTATCTTAAGCGTTTCACCTACAAAACACACAATATATTCTGAGAGGATCTTTGAGACGTCTTGAAGACGTGATAAGGCGCTATTTCAAATGCACGGGTGATTATTATTATTAAATGGGTCAGTGTGCGGGAATGCAATTGGTTTCCATGAGTGTGCGCGCGCATGTGAAATCAGCCAGGAATCTATTTCTGATCACTTTCCAAGCTCTCCTCTGCTCACTCCCTGGAAACCAAGAACACTACACTTACTGTATGTCATGTCTCAAATCACTGTATTCCCCCACGTATCATTTTCCAAAAGAAATCCATCTTAATGTGGACTTGAGTGAATTAGTCAATGTTTTCCTCTCACAGACAGGTTGCTCCCATGGTCTCAGTGCACAATATCTGCTGTATCGGTGCGGGCTATGTGGGGGGCCCTACCTGCAGCGTCATTGCACAGATGTGCAAAGACATCACAGTGACTGTGGTGGACGTGAACCAGGATCGGATTAAAGCCTGGAATTCAAACCAGCTCCCCATCTTCGAGGTGAGGCTAAATTTCACCCGCAAAATGTCATTTTTTCCCCCCCCCACCACAAAATACAGTCGATTCACTTTACAGTATGTTCTGTGAAGCGCTTTGAGATGTCTCGACGACGTGATAAGGCACTGTAACAAATGCAAGGATTACTTATATTATTAAATTCGCTGCTCTGCCAAATTGTCTCCATCTGTGTGGAATTGGGGGGAGAGTGAAAGAAAGGACTGAAATTTGGGGATGTTTTTTTTTAAAAAATCTAACCATTTGTCGTGAGTTAACAATTTTCCTTACGTCCAAAGATTTGCCCAAAGATACATTTGTATTGTGTCGTAAGAGTACTGTACTTATGGGAGTGACTTCTTAGCCTCTTGCCACATGGAAGCAATTGTCAAACTCCCTTGGGGTGGAATGATGTGGCACATTTCCAAGACACAGTTTAAGAATCATTCCATCCTCCCAAGCTTGATGGTAGGCACCCCACCCTCCCTGCCCTCCACCCTTCCTGATCCCAACCCCCAGCTCGGTTCCTAATGCTTGGCTGTCCGGCGCCTTGGGACATCCTCCCGATGTGAAAGGCGCCGTGTAAATACAATTTGTTGTTGTTGGAAGTCTCTGCAGGTTCTGGTGGAAATAGCTGAAATCCTTGTGGTTTCGGGCTCAGTCTCTGAGCTGCTGGACTACCCCAATGTCCCTGTCTCACTGCACGACCTGTGCAGCACTGCCCATCGCCTGCTGAATGGTCTCTGCTAACAAGGCACCATCATGGCTTTGTGGCGTTGCAGTTGTGGCACAATTAATTGCTCAACATTCACGTGGTGCGGGGAGGGCGGTAGAGAGCAACAGGTACAAACTGTCCGTTGCACAAAGCACTCACTGTGCGATTGCAGGACGTGTGGTGAATGAGACTCATTCATTGCATTAGAGTTGTAGCCACGAGCTGCTTGCGTTCATTCAGCAATGGAGGTAAATAAATGTTCTATGTAAGCACCACATCGACTTGAATCACATTCCCCCACTCAAATCCAACCGAGTGGTCAAGGATGATTGATGAATAGTGGGACAGAATTATATGAGAGAGGTTTGACGTTGTGTGTGGGAATGGGGTAAATTTCTGATTCGGTGATGGTCAGTTAGTTGTTTTGTTCCATGTAAAATTGGACCTAACATGAATAACCTCTTGTCGCAACAGCCTGGCCTGCAGGAGGTGGTGGAGTCTTGCCGTGGGATCAACCTCTTCTTCTCCACAGACATCGATGCCGCCATCAAAGAAGCTGATCTGGTGTTTATATCGGTAAGAAAAGGAAGCGATTCTCTCTCCGCACATACTTGTGTAACACTGCTTCCTGCTCACAGAATTCCCTTTGCTCTAGTGCGGGAGACAAACAATACAGTCAAACCTGTTAACAACCATTGGTGTAGTCCGGACAGTTGAGTTCGCACAGCACAGCCCTTACTCAGAGGCCACCCTTTTATAAAGGCCACTGAGAGGTTGTTGAAGACAGTATTTGGATGTTGGGTTCTGAGTTTAGTCTCGATGTTCCTCAGATAGCCAATGTGAATGATCTGCATGTGTCAGAGTGGTACCCCTTTGTCTCTGTGGCAGGTAAACACACCCACAAAGACTTTTGGGATTGGGAAGGGCCGAGCTGCTGACCTGAAGTACATTGAGGCATGTGCCCGCAGGATTGCCGAGGTGGGCAACGGTTGTAAGATTGTGGTGGAGAAGAGCACGGTGCCCGTTAGGGCTGCAGAGAGCATCCGCAGGATATTCAATGCCAACACCAAGTCCAGCCTCAACCTCCAGGTAAGAGAGTAACACTGCCTGCACGTTCATAATAATAATCATCCTTGCATTTGGTATAGATTTGATTATCATGTAATTCAGGCGTCTCAAAGAGCTCCACAGCATATGTTGTAAAGTGGATTGACTGTTTATTTTGTGGGCGACACGCGGCAGCCAATTGTGCACAGCAGGTCCCCACAAACAGTCGTGGATAGAGTGACCGCTTTTATTTTGGAGGGATTATTACCTTCCAGAAATCGACCCACCAATCGACTAACAACCGGGTTCCTACTTACTGAGGCGTGTGAAGTAAGGAAATAAGGAAACTTTCCTAAGGTTTCACCCTGCCCAAGAATCGAACTCTGGTCCTCTCGCTTGCAAGGCGACTTGCTCCAACCACGACGCCGCAGGACTGCAGGTTGTTTGATACTTTTTGAAGATACTTTATATCTTTATGTTGGGAGTATAAGACAGGGAGTATAAACTGGATATGCAACTGATTTCTTTGTAGGTGTGATAAGAGTTGAGCAGCACAGTGATGGGTTCCCTGCATTGGCTTTTTTGACAGGTACTTTCCAACCCTGAGTTCTTAGCTGAAGGAACGGCCATCGCTGATCTGAAGAATCCAGACCGGGTCCTGATCGGTGGGGATGAGACCCCTGAAGGACAGAAGGCTGTGCAGGCTCTACGCAGCATCTACGAACGCTGGGTCCCCAACAACAAGATCATCACAACCAACACCTGGTCATCTGAACTTTCCAAACTGGTACAACATTCTCTCTTACTCTGGGTGGCACATAGTCTTTAATCTGCAGTGAGTGGTACAAGGTTAAAGCACGCTGTAAACTTGTCTTATCAGATTTGTATTGAAACAAATGCCAGGATTTATGTCGGTCGGGACTAGCATTTGAACCACTGGGTGACTCAGGAAAACTGCGCGATATATAATATTAATCATAATAATAATTCTTGTATTTGATATTGCAGCTCATCACGTCATTGAGACGTCTCAAAGCACTTCACAGAATATACTATAAAGTGGTTTGACAGTAAATTGTGGGCAAAACTCATCAGCCAATTGCGCACAGGAGTGTCCCACAAACAGTCGTGGATTGAGTAACCACGTATTTTTTTTTGAGGGCATATTACCTCTAGAAGCCAATCCACCCATCAGCTAACAACCGGGTTCCTACTTACTGATAGGTAAACAGAGGCTTGTGTGTGGAGTAACAAAACTTGCCTAAAGTTTGCCCCTAAATTTTATCTTCGCTTCCCGCACTGAACAAACCGTTCGAAAACTGGCTTCTGATAGTTGCTTAGCATAGCTCCCTGCATGAAGAATGAATTAGATTTCGACCTGTGAGGTGTGGTCCTGTGGCCACTTGCCTCTGTGTTGGTGTGGGTGATGCTTGAAGATCTGTGTGGTGTTTTCCAGGCCGCTAACGCTTTCCTCGCCCAGCGCATCAGCAGCATCAACTCCATCAGTGCCCTGTGCGAGGCCACGGGAGCCGATGTGGAGGAGGTAGCCCATGCCATCGGCACTGACCAGAGGATTGGCAGCAAGTTCCTCAAAGCCAGCGTCGGTAACCACACTGTTCCTTTCTTCAATACAGTTCCTTTCTTCATTCTTATGTTCTTATTATGTTGGGATACAGTGTATAGTCCTGTTTGGAGATGTGACCCCTCGCTTGGCTCATGAATCAGACGCTTTTTGTGTTTAACTTCCCAGGGTTTGGAGGCAGCTGCTTTCAGAAAGATGTACTGAACCTGGTTTATCTCTGTGAAGCTCTCAACTTACCAGAAGTAGCGAGATACTGGCAGCAGGTACGATCATGCTCATGCTAAAGAGCACTGAACAGCTGAGTATAAGTAAAGTTGGACCCAAGTTTCCTTATGAGACCTGTGTATAATCATCCAAGAATCTCATCCAAAGACAGTTTTCCTTGTGCCCTCCACTGCACCATTGGTGGCTGCGCTTTTAGCCACTGCGCCCCGAAACTCTGGAACTCTTTGCCCCATCCTTCCCCACCTTCAGGTCATGCCTGAAGACCTTCCTCTTTGACCGTGCCTATGGTCACCTCCCCTAGCTTGGCATCGTGCTCTGCCACCGTCAAGTGCTCTGGGATGCCACCCTGTGTGAATTGGCACTATATAAATGGCCAAATATAAATAAAAGTTGTTATTGTTCTATATGATGGGTATTTTCATGATCTGTTGGACGGGAAGGTGTGCCCTCTACTGATATTGGTTATTTCTCAGGTAATTGAAATCAATGACTACCAGAGGAGGAGGTTTGCGGCGCGGATAATTGGCTGCCTTTTCAACACAGTCACAGACAAGAAGATTGCCTTGTTGGGTTTTGCCTTCAAAAAAGACACTGGGGACACAAGGTAAGGTTCTCCCCTCATTCAGCTGAGGTCACCCCACCCATTAGACTATGTCTCCGTGTCTCCCGTCTACATCTCCAAGTCAGTCATGCAAGAGTAGAAGTGGGAGATCTTCCATTCCTGAGGCTTTGCTCCTCTGCTGGATGGGCTACATTACCTTCCCAGATTTTCGTTCCATTAAAGTGTTAATGCAGCAGATATCTCAACTTTCTGGTTTCCATTGCAGGGAGTCTTCCAGCATCTACATTTCCAAGTACCTCCTAGATGAAGGAGCCAAGCTGCACATCTTCGACCCAAAGGTTAAGAAGGAGCAAATTGTTCACGATCTGACCCACCCCAATGTTTGTGAGGATGATCCCGAGCGAGGTACACGTTCAGTTTAATGGAATACTTTGTGTATGAATACTTTGTGTGGAAAACCCAAGCTCAGAAGAGGGAATTTGAACAGACAATTCAAATTGATTACTTCACGTCAGTGCAATGGTGGAGGGAGCTTTGTATGAGCAAATTCAAGAGACAATACGATAGGTGTTTGGAGATTAAATTAATTGAAGGGCGTGAGACCCAATGCTTTCGATGTAGTTTTAGTTTAGTTTTAGCTTCTGGGCTGATCTTCATTCGGCCTTAGTTTAGGGGCAGTAAGGGGCTTTAGAAACTCATAAGCGGGAAATTGACCTCTCATCTGAAACTCCTTGTGTTTTTGTTGATGTAGTTCCCCGTCTGGTCACGGTTTCCTTGGATCCGTACGAAGCGTGTGAGGATGCCCACGCGATCGTTATCTGCACAGAGTGGGACATGTTCAAGGTAAAAAAAAAAAAACTGGTCCCTTACGTCACTGCCCATGTCTGGGTGAGGGGTTGATTTATTTTACTTCTCCTCGCAAAGAGAAATTGGGAAATACGATTTATTGTTGGTTCTATGTTCTTGCCATCTCCTGCTTCTTTCTTGTGACATCCCTCGCTTTATGCCCTCTTGTTGCCGTCTCACTCATCAGTCTGGATAGTCTTTTCTCATTAGTGTCATTAAAATCAGTAGCAATATTATGGTAAACTATTGATACCCCCTACCTCGCCTCAAGATCTTCCTCTTCAACCGTGCCTTCCTACCCCTACCCTCCCTGGCCTACACCCCTCCGGATCCTAACCTCCAGTTCAGACACAAAACCTTAATTGCCCATTGCCTCGCGACGTGAAAGGCGCTGTGTAAATGTCATTTGTTGTTGAACACCTGGTGCTTGTCTGGCAACAATCCATGTGTGGAACCAGGAAGTTCTAATGTACATTCCTGATGACTTCATACATTAAAAAACATTGTGTACTTCTTGCACCTCGAGTTACTGAGTGAGTGCTGAAGGAACATTATTTTAGTGCGGAGGCTTGGCTTGTCATCTGGCATCTTTTTTAAGATGATGTTGTCTTCCAGGAGCTTGACTACGAGCGGATTTATAAAGGAATGCTGAAGCCAGCCTTCATCTTCGATGGCAGACGCATCTTGGACAGTCTTCACCAAAAGCTTCAACATCTGGGTTTCCAGGTAATAAGAGGGGATGGAAAAACAGAAGGAGAATATGAGGGCATTTGGCTTGAGGAGCCTGTTCTTGTGACTGTTTACAGTGCCTCGAGATGCCTTCCCGATGTGAAAGGCGTGATACAAATATCATTTGCTGTTCTGTATTCTGTTAAGATGTTTTCTGCCTTTTCTTCAAATAACTTTAATATAGAATTGGGGAAGAAGGTCCTCTTTATATTCTTCCTCTTCACGCTTTGCTTTCACTTCCATTAACAGGTGGAGACAATAGGAAAGAAAGTGACGGAGCGAATACCGTTCGCAGCCAACAAAGACATCTCCAGGATTGACCTTCAGGCTCCTCCAGCAAAGAAGCTAAAGATCTAATGGATCAACTGGGTTCACAGTGACTTTAAACTGCATATTTTATACACTTCAGTATTAGTTTTTACATGTAGTCCCCAGGCATAACGACGACACTAAGGCAGTATTTTAGGCAACTTTTAGAAGAATGTGATGGATGAATGATTAGACTGTGTATTTGGGATGGGACTTACACAAGTTCCTATCAGTTGGTTGTATTGCAGGAGAAATGATTGTGTTTCATTGATAACTAAGATGATGTCAATGGAGAGTGGGGTGGGTAAGAAACTAGAGCAATTCAAACCATTTTGCACATGGACCAAAGGGTCAGGACCTCACCTATAATTCACTCTGTCCACATCATTTGCACATCACATGTAACTGAGGGTGCTGTGCCGAAGGTACTGATGTCTAAACTTTGTTTTATCATGAAAGCCACGAATCGTAAGCTTTGAACAATCATTGTGAGGTTAAAGACTTGACTCGTCCCATCGGTACATGGAGAGACAATGGAGTATGTCTTTCTGTCTAATCCTCATCATTGTGTAACTGAGTTAGGAGAGATGATGGTTGCCAGGTAAGGTAGAGTCCTCAAAAAGCAGTGAACCTGTGGGTTTTTAACCTCAGATAATCATCATTTACCTGTATTAATACTGTAAAGGAAATGCATTGTGTTCACATTCCACGTTCATAATGTTTTGCTCTTGGCGAGCAAGATTTTTTTAAAAAAAAGAAAACTACGTGACTTCCGTGTTGATGAGATTTCACTCAACTTATTGGTTACATCTTTTTCCTAATAAAAATGTTTTTTCTAAATGTCATGAATTTTGCACATAGGAATTTTGGCTGGGAATTCTCTCTCGCTCTCGCTCGGGGACAAAGGCGCTCTGTGTTTGTCGCAACATTCTGTTGTCTATCGCTTTGTTTAGTCTTTCTTATACTTATAACAAATAGACTTGTGAATACAGAGTAATATCAAGACTCGCAACTTTATTTTCTCTATGTTGAGTAATACAGTCTGATGCAAAACGCATTTACAGAGCAAATAATCAGTGGAACAGATTTGTGGGCAAGATCTCTGGGTGAATATATTCTGTGAGTTGTTCTGGTTTGTTCACGAAGACAACTTTCTTAGCAGTGGTTTCATCCAGCCTAAAGAAATGGAATTCCCAAAGTTAATACCTAGTTGAACTTGTGAGTATATTCTCGAGTCGCTAAAGCTTTCCCGAACCCGGGAATTCTTCTCTGGAAGTGGCAGATTTCCTGTGGGTCGGAATGGCACGTTACCAGTCAACAGAAGGAACCCCCAATTTGTGGAGCTCAGGATTCTTTATTGGGGAATCTCTTTTAAGCAATGCCACAATACAGACCCCCCCCCCGTGCAGTCATAAAGAAAGGAAACTTACCAACCACGTATAATTATCCAGCAGCCAGTAAAAAGAACCGGAGGGTTGACGATCAGCCAGACTCCAAGTCGCTCGGGGTAGTAGTTAGAGAGGAGCCAAATTAGATTCTTAACAAACTGATAGTCCATTGTGTTCATGGAAAAGTCTTTCATGTCAAACAATATGCAGAAATTATCGCACATGTCATCATTACATTTCTTGGACGCAGACTCCTGTGGAGGTGGAGGTAGATTTTATCAACAGGAACCAGTTAGTTAATGAAATTATGTCTCACTTGTGTTTGACCCTAGTTATTGCAGTACTGACTTAAGTTAGTGCAAAACACGGTCCCATTGGGTACAGAACCTTCCGTTTTCCTATCAAGTATTGCCTTTGGACACAACTACATTTAGACTCCAATGTATAGGTTAGCTGTGGTAGTTTCTTGTATGTGATATTTTTAAAATCTCTTGTGGATAAATTAACTCTGGTCAGATCATGTTCAAAGAATGGGGAAGAATTTGCAGTATTTTTTAATGCGATGCCTTGATGCGGTGTCTGCATAATTCATGTTGACACGCAGAGCTTCCATTTTGAAATTAGAGAAGGTTTACCCCCAGGAGAACCTCTGATCTGGTTAATGGAAGCTGTTCCCAATTTGTGTGATTTTCTGATTCCACTTTAAGGAATGCTACAAATTGAATCCCCAAATTAGTTTTAATAAAGGCCCATTACTAGATGTAAAGTAACTGATTCTGTTAAAGCTTTTATGTTAAAAAAATACTCAAAAGCTCTTTTACGCCCTCCCCTCTGCCTGAGCTAAAAGCAATCCGTGCTCGGTTGAATGTTAAACTCACCAGCAGGTACACGATGAATCTCGTTAGATTCTGGAGGTTCCGCTCCTTTGGGTTGTGCATTCTGGCTCTTACCATTATGATGGGCCTGAAGGGAAAAAAGGCCATTTTAGATGGGAATTTCTACGCCTAATTGTTAAAAAAAAACTGTAGATCACATCTCTCCTTCTACAATCTACAGGGTCTTTTCAATCCTACTGTTCCCCCCCCCCACCGACTTCCGAAGCTGCCTCCCGAAGTGGTCAGTGCCGTTTTCAGCGATGCAGAAAATCTCTCAAATGCAAGGATTATGATGACGTTACCAATGAGAGTGGTGAATGTGTGGGAGGGAAAGTTAAGGGAGACAGATTGGGTCAGCAAATTAAAAATGAATTGCCCTTGTATTTGGTGAAGAAGGCGCTCGAGCAGTCAGTATGAGAGATAAAGTATCGGATGTCTTTTTGACATCAAGTGAGTCAGATGGACCGTAATGTTTTTCCCCTGTCCTGTACATTCCTGAGGTGCTATATAATACCTACCTGCTCATTAAGTCTCTTTCCTCAAGAAGCACAGCTTTACCAGATTTCATTTCAACTTTGATTTCGGGGCTATCAGCAGTAATAAAGTCAACGCCAAACTCTTTCCTCCACTTCAGGTAACTGAGGATTGCAGTCAGAGCCTTATCCACTGTGCCAAATGCCCTCAGGAACCGTGCAAGCCCCTTGTCGTTCAGATCCTGCAAGACACAAAATGTCAGTTCTTGTCCACACTGCCCTCTGTCATTGAACCACAAATGTATCGGTGATTTATGCACAGATTCTGCTTAACAAGAAAGCTACGATAAATGAGGAGAATACAATCAATGGTGAGAAAAATACAATTTCTTTATGCTCGGACAGTATTTTGAGACGTTGAAGGTTATGGTGAGAAGGTGAGGATGAGGATTGATGAAGGTTGTGAGGTTTTTTTGCTCTAATCTCACAATGCTTAATCCTCACACAGAATGTGTCCCATATTTTTGTGCCTTGAGAGAGATTTACAGACCTAATCCTACCTCTGGCAAAGTTCTGCAGGCAACCTGGAAAAACAAAGCACAAGTGTTGAAAGCGGAATTTTCATGTGAATTTTCACAAATCAAAATTGTAGCCAAATTCCAGATTGTGTCTTAGGAATCTTTAACAAAAGCAGATAATACAGTATCTAACTTGGCACAATACTTGTGCATGTGACTGCCAGTATGGTGGAAGGCAAACTGGATGGATCTTGGTCTTCTTTCATTGAGCAATTTTTAAGTTCTTATATAATAGTAGTGAGGGTTCTGAAGAAACTCAATGCCCCCAAGGAAATGAGAGGTAGGATAAACGTCATTCTTTCACCATATGGGCAAAGAGCAAGGAAGTAGGATGAGTGGATATAATTTCCAGTGAGGGAGTGAGCACTAACACAGACATGAATGAAGAAAGAGCAGGGGGATGGGATTAGAGTAACAGCATGGGCTAATGGCCTTAATAATAATGCTTTGCATTTGATATAATGCCGGATTACGTCGTTGAGACCTCTCAAAGTGCTTTACGGAATATATTGTAAAGTGAATTGACTGTGTATTTTGTGGGTGAAAGACTGTAATTCTATACTGTGCTGTAATTCTATGTTTTTCACTGGTCCAAACCTCATCTGACTGGTCATTTCTCAAACAGCCCCTACCTTTGTCTTTTTCTCCAGAAGTAACTTATTTGCTTGTGAGTCAAAATGGGCAGAATTTGAGTTGTCATAGCTACTGTCACCGATACTTTCTTTCTTCCTGATAAAATAAGTAACATTAAATAATAATGAAATCATCAAAAGTAATTAAAATAGAACCTGGTTGGATGTGTAGTGGGGAGCAGAATAATACTGTGTCCCATTCACTTCACAATTCCAACTGTACACGGTGTCTGCAAAGTCCTGTTACTCTCATGTTTTTTTTTCTACAGTGCACTGACCAACAACTGAAACATATGGAAAACTGATGATCATTGTATTTAGAAGTGCTTAATTGTATTCAGTACAAGAGTTTAACTGTATTTAGCCGTCCAGAGGATCAGTGTGTGCGTGAGTGAGGGTGCGAGAGCCATGACTTTCATGGCGGACGATCATCTCTCGCCACGTTCGGTGCGACATCTTCCGTAACATGGATGGAGTGCCGCGGCGAAATGTGTCTCTTGTTTCAGCTCCTCTGCAGACTCGCATCGCTGTTTTGTCACAGGGGGGTAACAGGACTTTGTTGGCGCCCTGGAGAATAACTTTATCCACTTTTATCCCAATTTCCATCTAGTTGCCCACACCCTTTTTATATTGCTCCTCTGGGCAGCCACTTCTGGGTAAGAATGAGCTGTGTGAGAGCACCATGTGCCTGGGGACAGACAGACAGACAGACAGACACGTGTACTGGAGTCCACAGTTTAGATCTGTCCCCAACGCTTCAAACCAAACCTTTAATGGCGTCAATACTTCCCAAACCTGCAAATACATTGCTATCACTGTGGACAGTCACGATCAGAACTGCTACTTGAGTGCGATGACACTCTCAGGTTAATGTGGTTACAGTGAGATCACATAACACTCAGCCATTACCCTGTAGCGCCCACGTTCTCGCACTTTGAATAGTTGAAGTTAGTTGAATTCATGGTTACATCTGTGGCCTCAGGGGGTGGCGGTGGCGGGGACTGTGGGGAAGAAGCACAGAACCCAACCGCCCAGAGCGGAGCTGAGCCTTGTGCCGTCAGTGCGCTTCACAATGGGGACAGTGTCACAAACACAGCGTAGCTCTGCGCCACCCGCGTTCCTCTCAATGTCACCCACACCCCAGGGCACAAGCACAGCCCCTCGCTGGCAGTGCAACACCCACATACATGACCACTGCCAATCCATCCATTCGCACATCTCACTGTCAGAGCAATGCCACATCTCACTGTCAGAGCAATGCCACATCTCACTGCCAGAGCAATGCCACATCTCACTGTCAGAGCAATGCCACATCTCACTGTCAGAGCAATGCCACATCTCACTGCCAGAGCAATGCCACATCTCACTGTCAGAGCAATGCCACATCTCACTGTCAGAGCAATGCCACATCTCACCGTCACTGCAATGCCACATCTCACTGTCAGAGCAATGCCACATCTCACTGTCACTGCAATGCCACATCTCACTGTCAGAGCAATGCCACATCTCACTGTCAGAGCAATGCCACATCTCACTGTCAGAGCAATGCCACATCTCACTGGAAGCCATATCTGGTTCCTAAGTAAGTACCTCCTTTGGCAGCATCCAAAAGTGCGTGTACACATCTGTTCTCATTGTGGAGCTGACAGCAATGTGTGGGATATTTTTTTATATGCAGTTTTTGCACTGTTCCATTTCCCTGCCAGTGCTTGTGAGTTTACACAGGGCACGTCGGGGGCGAGGGCCGCTCGTGTGCCGTTGGTATCGTTATTTATTTTGCCCCATAAATGTCTGGCAGTTTGACATCAAAGCCCACAGCGTCAGTTGCAATTATGATTATTATCAGCAACTCGTCGTGGCCGGGACCAGTGATTGACAGGTGGGCGGGTCCGGCGGCCCAAGACCGACAGGCGACTTGGCCAATGAGAGGCCCGGGAGGGCGGGGCCGGGGGTGGGTGGGTGGAGCGGTGGGTTCCGGTTCCGGCCTGTCAGTCACGTGACGTCCAGGCGAGCGCGAGCCGCACGGTGCCGGGTGTCATGGCGGCGGTTGGAGGCGCGGAGCTGGAGGTCGCGGTTAAAACGCAGGCGGAGCGGGTCCGCCAACTGAAGGCGGAGAAGGCCGCTCAGGACAAGGTCAGTGCCCCCCTCCCCCCCCCTCCCAGCGGCGGGGAATGGCGGCAGCACGTGGCGGGCGGGGGAGGAGAGCCCCCCCTCACACAGGCTGTCAGCCCCGGGTACAGCGGGTCTGCACAGGGGCTGGTGAGGGGCTGTGTGGGGGAGGGGCTGTGTGTGTGGGGGGGGCTGTGGGGGGGGGGCTGTGTGGGGGGGGGGCTGTGTGTGGGGGGGCTGTGTGGGGGGGGGCTGTGTGGGGGGGCTGTGTGTGTGTGTGGGGGGGCTGTGTGTGTGTGTGGGGGGGGGGCTGGTGTGTGGGGGGGGGCTGTGTGTGGGGGGGGGGCTGTGTGTGGGGGGGGGCTGTGTGTGTGGGGGGGGCTGTGTGGGGGGGGGCTGTGTGGGGGGGGGGCTGTGTGTGGGGGGGCTGTGTGGGGGGGGGCTGTGTGGGGGGGGGGCTGTGTGTGGGGGGGCTGTGTGTGGGGGGGGGCTGTGTGTGGGGGGGGGCTGTGTGGGGGGGGCTGTGTGTGTGTGTGGGGGGGCTGTGTGTGGGGGGGGGCTGTGTGGGGGGGGGGCTGTGTGTGGGGGGGGGGCTGTGTGTGTGGGGGGGGGCTGTGTGTGGGGGGGGGGGTGGTGGGGGGGGAGGCTGTGTGTGTGTGGGGGGGAGGCTGTGTGTGTGTGGGGGAGGCTGTGTGTGTGTGGGGGGGGGCTGTGTGTGTGTGGGGTGGGGGGCTGTGTGTGTGTGGGGGGGGGCTGTGTGTGTGGGGTGGACCTGCAGTGCTCCGAGCTCTGCTGTGTGTTCCAGTGCAGTGGTGGACTGTTTGCAGGACCTGCGGTGACAGCAACAAACTGTCAATCTGTTTGACATGTCCTGTAATAAAGGCTCCACATCCCGTCTCCCCCCCACCACCACCATCAGCGCTCGGGCCTTCAGCCTTTTTGCACTCCACCTTTTGGAACTCCTCCACACATTCCCTTCGCCTCGCTCCCTCCCTCCCTCCCTCGCCTCCTTCAAGTCGCGTCTCAAAACCCTCCTCTTCGACTGCGCCTTCGACCACCCTCCCCGATTCCGCCCCCCAGTTCGGGTCCAAATCCCTGACTCTCCAGTGCCTTGGGACGCCCTCCCGATGCGAAAGGCTCTGTAGTACAAATGTCATTTTGATTTACTTATATTCTGATGGATTCAAGAAGGCACATTATGATGTGGTCCCTGTAATCAGATATCTCTTGATACCTCGACTGGAGTTTGCTGTTGATCAGAGATGGTCTCTGCAGCCAAAAAGATAGTGGTTTCGTTGGGTTAGTGTTACAGCTGAATTCTGCAGTTCTGCATTCATTGTGAATCTGTTTTTATTAAAATCTGTTTTTCAGAGACTATTGTCTCTTCCTTAATGGTGAAGGAGGTATATGTAGATGGTAGAACCAACATTGAGCTAATTCTCTAATCTCACCCTCTTATGTTTGCTGTGTTGAGTGAAGTTATTTATGGCTGGGTGATGCAACCCTGAATTAAATTGCTTCACGATCCAGCACACAGAATCATCATGGGAATTTTTTAATCAATCCTTTGCTTCTTTCCCCTCCAAAAGATTCAAGTTTTGATTAAATTAGGGCTTTTGCTTGGGAAATCAAGGTTTCAAGTGTACACCCAGCACAATACCGTAAGCCCACAACTGTCAAAACTGTTTGTTTGGGGGCCGATGCGATTGTTTTATATGAATGTGAAAGGCACCTGAATATAAAGCTCAATGTTGTACTGTTTACTGACATTCAGAGTTGATAGATATTGGTATGAATTGGTATTGGTGGTTCAGATACAGAGGTTAATTCCAATTGTTGCTCCTTTCCACCATGTTTTGCTGCCACACTGCACCACTGGGATAGTGGTAATTGCTGACCAGTTTTCTCCTGTTCCTTCATGCTCACCCACTGCCCTGTGCTACGTTTTGCTTTCGACCCGATGAATTCTTGATGACGGAATGGACTGGACCTGTGGGAATAAAAATTGCTGCTCTGTTGGGACAATGGGTGGCATTTAATGGAATTTCATTGCCAATACTTTTGCTGGGACACTTGTGATTACGTGAACTGTGTGCTTCATCACACTGAACTGGTTTAAAACCTCAAAATGAACACATTTGGAATGGTCGTCTCTGTGAAATTCTGGGCTGGATTCATGTGCCGACGGGTTGGATCCTACAACACCACCGTGCGTGCGATGTGCTGTCGGCCTAATGAGCAGGTGTGTAATCTTTCACGAATTAGAAATGTTGTATGTTTCAAAGAGCTGTGAGAACTCATTGATATCCATCCATTTCCACACTCGCAGGTGGTTAGTTATTATTATCATCAGGGAGATTGAATGGCACTGATTTAGCAGAGTTCTGCCTATTATCCTCCCGATATTGTTTGTTACTGTGAAAAGCATGTGTATATTTCTATATTTGGTTTTGCGTGGTTACCATATAGGATAAAAGATCTTGTGCAAAAACCCTTGGGCAAAGGATTCCTGAAAGTCATCCTTTCACTGTTTCTGTAACATGTGAAGATCATTTTTATCTCACCTTACAAGCAGCTGTGAGGTGCCAGAACAGGAGAGTCCCCGTTTGGTACATCTTGTCTGTTCTACCAATTTTTTGAATTATATAAGCTGTTTTAATTCCATCTCTCTGCTTTACCCATACTGCCCAAGTATCTCTACTTTTGCAACATCCCAAATAATTCTGCATCCAGAATTTCTTTTTATTCATTTCTACTTGGTGGAGAGTAAAGCGAAGGGTTGTTTTATCGCAGGTTTTCCTGAGTTGAAGGTATGTGTTATTTATTCCATTCAGATCACAGAGGAAGTGAGGAAGTTGTTGGAACTGAAGGCACAGCTGGGATCGAATGATGGAAAGCACCAGTTTGTTCTCAAAACAGCAAAGGTAAAGGAGACGGTCGGATAGTGTTAATGTTAACTAAACATTAGTTGGACGACAACTTAAAGGTTAAACTTAAGAATCCCTCTGCGCAGTCACATCATTCAAAGTTATTTTTCTAAAAAGCATTGGTAAAAGCCACACAGCTTCAGGATTGTTGTCAATGTCCTCAGGGAAGGTCTGTTATAATAATAATAATAATCCTTGCATTTAATATAGCGCTTTTAACGTCTTCTTGCCGTCTCAAAGCGCTTTACAGAATAGACTATGAAATGAATTGACAGTATATTTGTGGGCGAAACGCGACAGCCAATTGCGCACAGCAGTGTCACAAATCAGTCATGGATTGAAAATGACCAATTTTTTTTATTATTGTTTCTACTCATAACAGTTGTGTTCTATCTTCTATACCTCTCAAATCCATTTCTTTACCAAAAAGCTAACTAATTTTCTTTGAATTGCTGATATAATCTGCTTCTGCTTTCTCCCCGAAATTTACATTTCTCAGGGAACCAGGGATTATAACCCAAAGCAGATGGCCATCCGTGAGAAGGCCTTCAGCGCCATCATTAATTGCTTCAAACGCCACGGAGCTGAGACCATCGACACGCCAGTGTTTGAGCTGAAGGTAAAGTTCTGTGTGAAGCTTTGCAACGTGAAATTTTTGTGCTTTGTTTGGTATCTAAACGTCCTGAAACTTTATTGGAAACGAGCAGGAGTTTGTCCCCATGTCCTGATGGGGAGGACTGCAAATTAATGGCTCATTCACCTCCTGGCAGTGGGTGTGGTCTTGCTGGTGCAAATTGGGGGCATGTTTTCTGGCAAGAACAGTCGATACACTTATCAGTAATTGTGTGTGAAATACGAGGTGTTTTGGTGTGATTGTGTCACAAAACTGTTTCTTCTTTCTTTCTTTGAACTTTGTTCTTGCATTAAGTGGGTTCCCTGGGTTCTTTCAATGTGTCAATGCCCTGCAGAGCTGTTTGCACAGATACTTCAGTGTTGATGGCAGACGTGTATGATTGATTACTTGGGTGCTCCATCTCTACTGCAGCGGCATCACATTTACAATACAAAATGGGGAGAATGACTTGTTGACTGTGCTTGTCTCATTGTGCTCTGTTGGATCTCTGTGTGTTTGTTCTTCAGGAAACGTTGACTGGAAAATATGGGGAAGACTCGAAGCTTATCTATGACTTGAAGGACCAGGGTGGTGAGCTGTTGTCACTGCGATATGATCTAACTGTATCCTTGATGGGTTCTCCCTAAACAGTGAAAGAACGGGGGAAATAATCTTCAAATCCACAACTAAATGCCCTTTATGTCAAAGCAACTTCAATGAAGTGTTCCTCTTTTTCTTAAATGACCAGTACACTGTATATTTTGTATAGCATTTGAAATCTATAGAATTTAAATGATTAATTCTGAAATTAAGTCCTCTGAATATTGCTGATCTTACACAGTGACGGGTTAAAAGTTGCTATGTTGTTACTTAGGTATTAGGATGACACAGAATGTTGCAGCCCAGAAACAGGCAGTTCTGCCCACCAAAGTCTGTGCTGGTGCTTCTCTCTACTTGAGCCAGTGGGTTCCGTCCTCTGCTCCCATTACCTCCTCATGTTCCACTTTTACAAGCATCTGTCTATTTCCTCTTTAAGAAAATTTATAGTGTCCACTTCAGTAATCGTTTATGCCAGAGAATTGAACCCACTCGATGTGAGTGGGATTTGAACCTGTTGCGTTCGTGTGTGTCCAGTGGAGCCTTTACCCACTGAACTACTGAGGGGTTTTATTTAAATAAAACTTTTGAGTCCCTCAGGAAGGTAAGTATTGATGCAATATTGTTCCCTTTGACATTGCTAATAGCAGGCTTTACAAAGAATAAAATCTCACTGAGACCAGCAGATCGTGTTTTTATTGTCAGATTTACCCTTAACTACCAGCTCTCAGGTTCCCTTTGCCCGTTACTTATCTATGAACAAAATCACCAATATTAAGAGATATCACATAGCTAAAGTGTACAGAAGGGACAACCCAGCCATGACCCGGGGGCGCTACAGAGAGTTCTACCAGTGTGTGAGTATTTACTGCTCTGATGTTAAAATGTGGGTGAAAAATGCACTTATTTATTTAGAGTAGTTTACTCCCCAGAAAAGGAGCAATTTGGAACATTCTATATATACATATGTGTGTATGTATATATATATATTGTGTGTGTATATATATATAGATAGATAGTGATAGGAATTGTAGAAAATTCTACATATGAAGTATTCACATACACCAGCATTAAGTCTCACTTGTACACACTGAACCTTGGCTCAGCTTTCCGCCTTAACCCTTCCCTTATCCACCTCTATATTGATATACAGAAAACTTCACATAAGTCGTATCAGTTGGGACCATACATTTAATATGACTTCTGCAAAGTATGAGTTATGTGAAATGTATAAATAATAGGAAATTCAACGGGAATTGGGCAATTATACGATTTATACAGATTAGATGTGTCTGAGTTTTACGCTAAAATAAGTGGCTAGTAACTGCTGATTCTATAAGAATCTCGCCCCAATCAAGTTAGTGTTTTGTATTAAGACAATTCAAAATAAACAGTAATAAAAGGAGTTCTCCTTTCTCAGGACTTTGACATCGCAGGCCAGTATGACCCAATGATCCCTGACGCCGAGTGCCTGAAAATCGTCCATGAGATCTTAAGTGACCTGAAGTTGGGTGATTTTTGTATTAAGGTAAAGGAGTGACGTTTGTATGATGTGTAATTATAATCTGTGGGTTCCAGTTTAGTACAGGGTGGGAGGCCACTGAACCTATGACAGACTGTGTTGGAAACACTAATACTGCACTGATAATTCAACTCTCACTTACAGGTTGAATACTAGAAAACCTTTCTCTACGTCAGGGTAGTCCAACTAGCGACCCATGGACTGAGTCCATCTGTGTCCCCCGTTCCCATCCGCCCCCCCCATTTCATCTGACCGACCCGCTCCCTGCACAACCCATAAATGTTCTGTTTCTGGAAGGCAAACACAAAAATTTTGCTTATGCGGCCCGCGGATGTTTCTCAAAGACGCATCCAGCCCTCGGCAGCCAAGAGGTTGGACCCCCCGCTGTACATTACCTTTCCAAACTTTGAAGAGTAATTGTTTGTCTACGCAGGTGAACGATCGGCGCATTTTGGACGGGATGTTTGAAGTCTGTGGCGTCCCTGATGACAAATTCCGCACAATTTGTTCGTCTGTGGATAAACTGGACAAGGTGAGGGCTTTGCACCTCACTGACTGTGATCTTTACGACCTTTATTGTCTTTTTCACAGGCTTAAAATTTATCACACAATTGGTGGTCAGGTGCTATTTAGCATCTCTGCATGTTGGCTCGATTTACTTGTCCTCTTAAATGCTCTTGATTCCGCTCTTAAATGCTCTTGATTCCGCCCCGGACAACAATTAAATAAATAATTTATCTGTTGATATTAGTTAATGTTAGTCCTAGTTACTGCAGGTCTTGTGTTCAGTCAGTGTATAGTCAGAGGAGAGCCTAATGTGGATCTGGTTTCTCCCACAGTTGCCGTGGGAGGATGTGAAGAATGAGATGGTTGGGGAGAAGGGCCTGGCTCCAGAGTCTGCTGACAAGATTGGAACGTATGTGCAGCTCAATGGTACGTACTTCCTCCATATAGACCTCCTTGTCCACACTGGCTTTTCAGGCTTATAGTGAATGGTCCGATTTACTCAGTCAAAATAAAGGCTTTGTGAGCGCCGTTGATGGGGTAGAACTTAACCAATTGATTCTATCCCAATTCCCCGTTCTTTTACCTTGTTCCTTTTTATATTGTTCCTTTTGAATTTATCCTCCAAAAAAATCTTCCCGCTTCCCACCCCTCCTCCTAAGCAGGATGTCTGTTTCTGGGATTGAGAAATGTCATTATGTGTAAGTAGGATCTTAACCGTGTTTCAGGATTCCGTCTATCCCTGATTTGGGTCAGTCTGTCACAGGGGTCTCTCAGTGTGAGCATACTGTTCACATATAAGGGAAGTCACCCATTTTTCACAGACCTTAGCTGATACGGGTTGGGCTTAGTCAGTTTATGAACTGAAATTCATAGAGTATCAATATGTCTACATTATTTAATATTTGAAAGTGTGCACAGTTGAAAACACCTGACATAATAATCCTTGTATTTCATTTTGCGCCTTATCATGTTGTTGAGACGTCTCAAAGCACTTCACAGAATATACTGTAAAGTGAATTGACTGTATTTTGTGGGCGAATATCCCAATGCCAATCTGTTCACGGATGTGGCTTTAAACCATCTTCAAGGATTATTATCTTTAAAGCATCGCACATCTCATTTTATCCTCTGCTTGTCTGTGTATGAAGACTAATCTGTCTTTTTCAGGTGGGGCTGAGTTGATTGAGAAACTGCTGAACGATATCAGCCTTTGCCAGAGTAAGGTGGCCTTGGAGGGGCTGAACGACCTGAAACTTTTGTTCCAGTATCTCACGCTCTTCGGAGTTGGGGAACAGGTGAGCACAGTCTGACCAGCATTTCTTTGCACCAGCCTCGCCACTTGTGTGCTTTGCTTAAAAATTATATTCCTCCTTCGATTTTTCTAAACCTTTTGAAATTGTAAAGTTGTTAATTCAAAGTTGTCACTGCCTTATTTTTGCTTTAGCTGGTTAGACTCCAGCAGTTTCCCCAACGCACATGCTAGGCTCCCCAAGCCTTGGATGTATTGCCAACCTGTACTTAATACTTTCCCGAAGCAGGATGTGTCCCACCAGGGAGAGAGAGAGCGCATCCCATTCCAACAATTTATCTCTGCAATTTGCATATGCAGGTGGGATGCATGGAAATCGCAGCTTGGTTTGGATATTCATTAAGCAAAGTGATGGGATTCTTCATGTGTTGAGACACCCGGCTGACCAAAAAAAAATCACTGCCAACATTTATTTTAAAATATGCCTCTTGTGTTTCCCTGACCAGGTTAAGTTTGACCTGAGCCTGGCGCGAGGGCTGGATTACTACACGGGTGTGATTTACGAAGCCGTGCTGGGGCCGAGCCAGGGGGCAGCACCGACACAGCAGGAGGAGCACACGGAGACGAGTAGTGTGGGCAGCGTGGCTGCTGGGGGCCGTTACGACAACCTGGTGGGAATGTTCGACTCCAAAGGTCGGAAGGTGCCATGTGTGGGAGTCAGCATTGGAATGGAGAGAATATTCTCCATACTGGAGCAGCAGGTTGAGGTACAGTATATCCTGTGAAGCGCTTTGAGAAGTCTTGACGATGTGATAAGGCACTATATCAAATGCAAGGATTAATATTATTAAACCTGTGTCCAACTCCCAGGCTCTCTTAGAAACCATAGGCCAATTTTAAAAAATATTTAAGAATCTTGTTAACCTGTGAGGTTTTGCTCCTCACATGAACAAAGTTCTGTGAATTCAATCAATAAATTTAAGTTTTTAGTCTCGCTGAAGCCAGTAAAACTGTGGCCTCTCCCTTTTATTCACTTGTTCTCACTTTCAGAAATTCAAACCCTTTCAGAGCAGTAAATCACAGCACATCTCTGGTGTTTACATTTCAACCCAGAGCCCCAATTAACTGGGGAGAGTGCGACCAAGTGCTATCTTATATACAATAGATTTGGGGATCAGGTGAAAAGTAAATCACTTGGCACAAGCCATAAATAATAAAGCTGACCTTGCTGGAGACTTTTATTGGAGGTTTGAAGATTGCCTGTTCAGGTGGCTGTTAAGGATCCCATTCAAAATGAGAAGGGAGTTTCTCTTCCCTGGTGTCCTGGCCAAAAATCCCCCAAGTAAAAATTGGTCACTCACTTCGTGCCTGATTGGGGGTCACTGCTGTGAGCAACTGGATGCTGCATTTTGCCCTTTAACTCTTTGAGAGGTCTCGATGATGTGATAAGGCATTATTATCAAGTGCAAGAATTATTAAGAATAAATTCCTGTCTTCATCACTCCAGTTTCTCTCTCTTACCCCCATGCTGAAATGTTACCACTTCAGCTTTGTGATGCTGTCTGTGTGCTGCTAATCTTTGCTGTTAAATGCTATGGCTCAATTCCTGCCCTTTTCCATCAGGGGACTGAACAGAAAATTCGCACGACCGAAACCCAGGTGCTTGTTGCTGCTGCCCAGAAGAAGCTGCTGGAGGAGAGGATGAAGCTTGTGGCAGAACTCTGGAATTCTGGCATCAAGGTGTTGTATATTGTACTGTAGATACTCTGCCTGTGTAACAAGCGAGGCAGGTTTTAATTCAAATAGGGACAACAATTTAATGTGTTTTAATATTTGTTCATATGAAAGCCCAATATCAGCCAGGGCAGGGCTATCTGCGATGCTTAGTTTGCTAGCAGTGACCTTTACGGTCAGCTCTTTGTTAAAGAATAGAATTTTATAGCACAGAAGTGATCAATCTGAAACACTTTCCATTTCCTCTCAACATCAACAACGATGGCTTACATTTATATTGCGCCCCCTCGGCCAGAGTAGCGTCCCAAAGCGCTTGACAGTGGCGGAGCACGACACAGAGTCAGGGAGGGGGGAGAGAGGTGACTGTAAGCATGGTCGAAGAGGAAGATCTTCAGGCACGACCTGAAGATGGGGAAGGATGGAACAAGGCGGAGAGTTAGAGGTTTGTTTTTATCTCAATTTTATCTAAATTGCTACCTGTGTTGTGCTCCCACAGGCAGAGATCACGTACAAGAAGAACCCAAAGCTCTTGAACCAGCTGCAATACTGTGAGGAGACGGGTATCCCACTGGTGGCTATTCTCGGAGAGCAGGAACTCAAGGATGGAGTGGTCAAACTGCGAGATGTGGTTACAAGAGAAGAGGTCATTCCTAAGTTTCACTCTTAATGTAGCTTCCTTGTGTAGCTGCACAACAGGAAGGTCGGGGAGGAATGATGCTCTGTATTCAAACGACATCTATGTTAAACAATACAGTTTGTTATAGAAACTCAGATTTGGTTTCTGCACATTTATATCTAAATTGACCTGACTTAGCTGGAGAAGATGAGTGGCTTTTGAACCTGATTTCAATACAGTTTTTTAAATAGATTTTGACACAAATTGTGAGTCCTGTTACAATAGAACCTAATTGAAAGTTGTCACGTTATCACTGTTTGGCATATAAGGAATAGCATGAATACATTTGGAGTGTGCAGAAAATGTCTGGTGGACATTTTTCAGGAAATAGCTATACTGTTTTACACAACTGCAACAAATTACATTTACACAGCGCCTTTCACATCGGGAAGATGTTCCAAGGACTGGATAGTAGAGATTTGAACCAGAGCTGGGGTTGGGATCAGGAAGGGTGGAGGGCAGGGAGGGTGGGGGGGTATGAGGGTGACTGAAGGTGTGGTCGAAGAGGAAGGTGTTGAGCTGGGAAGGTCTTGAAGGAGGCAACAACAACAAGATTACATTTGTATAGCGCCTTTCACGTCAGGAGGGTGTCCCAAGACGCTAGACAGCATTTCAGATGGAGGCAATGAAGGGTGCGAGGCGAAGGGCCTGTGGAATGGAGTTTCAGAGGGTGGTGGGGGAAATGTTGGTATGGTGGCTGTTTCACTTTTGTGCCCTGTTATACCCGTTGAGTTTATGACCCCAAATGGGATATAATGGGATTGTACTGTATTTCATATTTTCTTCCCGAGTTAACTTTTATTTTCTTACCTTTGCTCAGGTTGATATTCTCAGAGTAAACCTTGCAGAACAAATCAAGAAACGAACAGGTCAGCCCTAATGTACAACATCTGCCTTTCCATCACGCAGCTTCGTAATTTATTAGTCTCTCTACAGCCAATAGAAGTGTAGAATGAGCTCTCTGAAGGCCACCATTGTTCCTAGCACTTATTTACAACTATGACCAATCCTTACTAATAACCTCCGAAAGTACACCTCAATGTGGAACTGAAAGTACTCTGGATTTTTTTTTATTCAGGTGCGTCGAGCACAATTACCATTGTACTACGTATCTTAATTCTGTGTAATCAATAACCTGATTTTACAAAGGCTGTTGCAACTGTATTTGCCAAGTTAACTGAATGAATAAAAGTATGATGATAAGACTGTTTGATGTGTCAATTTTTGACATCTTGGTTGCAGGAAACGATATGGAAAGAGCGCTGTTGTTTTAGGCGAGCAGTTAGGTTGACTTAGAAGAAAGTTGAGGTGGCTGAGAAATTGGTTCACAACACAGAAGCGCAGTGAAATTGGTTTGACATCTACAGGACGATGAAGTGGTCAATCAACATGGTCACATCAAGAAGTTGTCCAGTTTATTAGTTACACCTGTGGCTACTCATTGTCAGGTCAAGGACTCCAGTGGTGCAAGTGGTCAAAGTGCAATGGGGTGGGGGGAAATGAGCAATTTGTGGTGGGGGAAGGGATGTGACTTAAAGTTCCAAAGATTTCTTCCATAATGGATAAAGGATTCAGAAATGGGGAAGTCTTAAAAAAGTTTTAATTCTGAGTGTGAGAAAGAGCGAGTTTCTGTTTTAACAGTTGGACTTGTTAATACAGGAGGGGTCGATTGGGGTCAATGAAGCTTTCTCAGCTGTTGCTGTGTCTGCTAATTTGGAAAGGGGGGGTGGGGGCTGCAAACGGATTCATCTCAGAATCTGAAAGTGTGAACAAGTGAAAGTAAGAGTTCTTTACCTCCTCCCCAACAAAACGGGAGTCTGAGGAGGATTAGTAACGAGGCTAAGGATAGAAGTTGTTTTTCTTAACCCCCCCCACCCCAAGGAATGTTGCTTGCTCATATATTTCCCGGGTACTTACTGCTGTGTCTTAGGAATCAAGGCTGGAATAGTGGACCTGCATCGCTGAGAGAGGAGCCAATTTTATAATTGCAGCGTCCATTGCCCTCCCAACTCGAGGAGTTGTCCCCTTCGCATCCGAGCAGAAGGAATCCAGCCAGGATTTTGTCCGGGGAAACTCTGGTAGAAATTTGTTAATTTGAAATGCAATCGATATAATGCCCTGGAAATGAGTGAGGAAAGGAAGTTCTTATCTGGTGCGCAATGTGTTTTGTGGACTAAGACAGAAAAGAGAAAATGAGAGGGTTGAGTTAAAGAGTTTCAGTGGAACTTTATTTCCAAACTTTCCATCCTCCACATTCTGTGCTGTTTGGAAGCAGAATCTCTCCCATCATCTGGGCTCCAATCACCAATCCAGGGCATGTGTCTATCTTTGGGGGGGGGGGGGGGGGGGTGAGGAGGGGGGAGGGAACCACTGCCTCTCGAGTAATTTGGGGACAGGCGTTAGGACTCAGACAGCCAATGATCGGATGCAGTATGGAGGGGTATAAAGGGATGGGTGAGAGGGGCGAGTTCTGACAGGTATCGTGGAGAGAGAGAGAGAGAGACAATCTGAGCTCAAACCCGAACCCGGACTCAGCCCCCAATCCTGCAGGTATGTGGGTGGGTGGGGTCACTCTTTGCAAAAGGTTGGGATTCAACCCCCCCCAAAAAAAATCTCGTGCTATGCTCTGATACCAATGAGCAGATACCTCTCCCCTGACTTGTTTGTTGGTGCTGTTTGCTGCCCTCCCCCCTCCCCCCGAATAACTGGAACGCGTTGCCTTTTAATCTTAATGCGCGAGTAATCTCTAACCCGCGCCGCCCCGGGACACTCTCCAGGTGGGGTTTTCGTGTGTGTGGCATTTATTTTTTTTAGGGACTTTTGAGGGTTTGTGTAACGCTGTTTAGTAACTTTTAATGCAACTTGTTTGGGGGGTTCACATGTTCGCAGTTGCTGTGGATTCGATTTTGCTTTCAGTAACGTTTGATTTGGCGTTGTACTGAGGCGCGTTAAAGGGATTTATTTGGTTGACACCATGATGGTGGCAGAAAGCAACTTTGTTCCTTCCAACAGCTGGGAGGCTCTCTGTCCACGGACATAGACAACTGTATTCCACTGTTGGGAAACCCTTTGGAACTCTGAATCCATCGTCTTCATTTTAAATTAAAATTAAATTTAAAAGGGATGTTACCCCACAGTCGAATCATATTCGATCTTCTGGATAAGAGCATGAATTCCCCCCCCCCCCCCACACAAAAAAATGTTGTATTAAAGCACGAAACAGCGTTAAATAAACCCTCAAAACTTGACGGCTCTGGTTTGAGATCTGATGTAGATCAGCACTTGCCATAGTTCCTGAAATCTCTACAATAATAGCCCTTGAGTAATAATGAGTACCCTATAGCCCTTGAGTAATAATGAGTATTGGAATGTGCTTGGGTTTGCTGACTCGCTTGTTTACATGCACAGATTATGGAGGACACTTTACTCAACACTGAGAATAAAGTGGCATTCAGAGCATGGGTGGAGGCAACTGGCATCAGGCTCGTGCAAGTCAACGGCCAAAGAAAGTATGGTGGACCCCCTCCAGGTGAGTGGCGCCTGTAACCAGTCAATTCTCTGGTTTTAGTCAATTCTCGGATTGCTTTTCTGGGGGTAATAATCCCTCAAAAAAAATTAGTCACACAATCCACAACTGTGTGACGCTGCTGTGCAAAATACACACAAAATACAATCCACTTTGCAATATATCCTGTGAAGCGCTTTGAGATGTCTCAACAACATAAGGGGCAAATGCAAGGATTATTAATAATATTATTATTTGTTGCACAGGTTGGACTGGTCCACCCCCTTCATCTGGCTCTGAGGTCTTCATCAGCAGATTACCGCAAGATCTCTACGAGGATAAACTAATTCCACTGTTTCAGTCGGCCGGGCAGCTGTACGAGTTCCGTCTGATGATGACCTTCAGCGGTGAGAACCGTAGCTTTGCCTATGCCAGGTACGCCAGTCGCTGGCATGCCCAATGTGCTATCAACATGTTCAACGGCTATCAGATCGAGAATGGCTGCCCCATCACAGTGTGCAGGAGCACTGAGAAGAATGAGCTGTACATGGGCGGTATCCCTAACGGAAGGCAGAGGGTGGCGGTTATATCGGTGCTGAGGGAGCTGACCAGTGGAGTGGCTGATGTCACCCTCTGCCCTGAAACGAGCAGGACCATGTACGCTGTGGTCAAGTATGAAGATCACCGGTCAGCAGCCTTGGCCAAGAAAAACCTGGTGCAAAGTAAGTGTTGGGTCTGTTCAATGAAAAGAAGAAACCTTGCTTATCACTAAGAACCTGGAAACAGGAGTAGACTGTTCAGCCCCTCAAGCCTGTTCCGCTATTCTATAAGATCATGGCTGATCTGTACCTCAACTCCCATTTCCCCGCCTTTGCTCCATATCCCTTGATACCCATATCTAACAAAAATCTATCCTGAAAAGTTTAATTGATCTGGCATCCACAGCCTTTTTGGGGGAGGGAGAGAGTTTCAGATTTCCACTTCCACTATCTTTATTCCAGCTGCAGTTTATAATGGCGTTGTGTGATGTGGATAGCGAGCTATCAGAATAATTTGGTAATGGGATTTGCACTGTTTAGGGGAGGAGGAGAGAAAGGAGAGGAGAGCGGAGAAATGTCTCCTATACCCCAGATATTATATTGTTGCCACCTTTCTTTGGGAGGCTTTGCAATTGTGTACACCATATCAGAGTTAGAACATCTTAGTATTGGAGAAGGGCAACTGGGTAATGTCTTTCTGTGGGTGGTTCATGGCTGTGAATTTCTCTCTCAGTTCATGCTAGTAGTTTCAGTTCAGTTGTTGACTATATTTTGGTTTCTTTCCAGGTTGTATTGAACTGTGGGGTCATGCGATTGAAGTTGACTGGATGAAGTCAGATAATAAGCAAAGACGCAGCAGGATGGTTCGAGCCGAAACACAGCTGCCATCACCATTATTGCCACAGCCGGCATCGAGCCTGGTGGTCTCGGCACCAGCGCTGGACAACACTAAATTCTCTTTGCCCAATATTGACCAGGTGTCCTCTGATTACAGTCCTGTCAATCCAAACAGCAATACGATTGGTGGGAGGTCTTGCCTCTGGGATGGCCTGAGCTCACTAGGCATGAAGGGAGGTGATGCCATTCAACTCTTGAATGAATATTGTTTAAAAAGACGTTGGGGGTCTCCCATTTGCAGCATCCACCTCCTGAGGTCCAGCTGTTATGATCACAGCTACCTGTTTAAAGTTCTCATTCCAGGACTTCCCGCCTATTTTAATGGGACAGTGAATGTAATGCTCTATGATCTGGTTGCCAACAGAGACTTGCCCAAACAAAAGGCTGCACAAGAGGTGCTGCAGCATCTAGGTGAGTCATAATAATCCTTGCATTTGATACGACGCCTTATCACGTCTCAACTTAGAGATGTCTAAAAGTGCTTCACAGAACATACTGTAAAATGAATTGACTGTATATTTTGTGGGTGAAAAGCAGCAGCCAATTACAGTCATGGATTGAGTGACAATATTTTTAATCGAGTTGGTTTAATTGCGTCACTTTTGTCTGCATTCATTCTGATTCATTAAAAACTGGTGTGTTGGCTGTCTCTTGCTTTGATGTACGCCTAGCTTACTCTAAACTCTGGTCATAGAATACGTATTTTCATTGCCTGATGTTTCTCTCTCTCCATAGGTCGCTCTGAGAATATCGATGCCTTTCAAGTAATTTGACTGAAGAGAAGCCGTTCTGAAAACCAAACGAGTTGCTGTCACTCACACTTGCCTCATATCATTTGCAACTGTGCCTTGGTCCATAATTTTGCTTTGACCTGATCTGTGTTGATGAATATAAACAGTCTATGCTTTTTACAATATGCAGTTGCAGGTGCAGAGTGTCAAGTTGAGCTGTCAATATTACTTTAATTTATTACTTTAATTAAGATTACTTTTTTGTTACTTACAAGCCTGTTCCACATCCCTCCATTGATGGTTGTCCCAGTGACTGCATTCATCGTACAAATTTGTTATGTTGTGAGGGATTCTGTTTGTAAATTTATTCCAGTAATGTCTTTGTTTTGTTTGACCGGGAACTAAAACACTTGTAGATTTAGATGATCTAAACCCTCCCCATCAATGGCAAGAAGCATTCGATGTATTAATACAAAAATACAACACAAAATTACATTTGTATAGAGCCTTTCATGCCAGGAGGATGTCGCAGTAAGTTCGTATTGGAAACATTTTGTACCTTGAAATCTTAGTTTAAAAATATGATACTGTTTGGTGGATTGACGGTTGCCTCAATTTCAGAGCCTGGAATTCTACAAGGCTAAAGAATTTCCCTCTCATTGCGTCCCAACATTTTCCCGAAAAACAATTCGGCTGAAATTTTTTTTCAGTCGTTCACCCAAATACTGTTCCAGTGACGGATCAGTAGCAATCCAGTATGACCTAAGGATCCGTGTGTTTAAGAAACCCAGATGATTTATCTTTACACCTCAGATTCTACATTGATGATTGCCCAGGATGTCTGATTGGATTTAGGAGGGATAGAATGGCAAGTAGCTTATAGTTTATGGTGAGTTCGTTTACGGTCATTTTATTGATGAAACGCCAAGATCTAGTTTTTTTTAAATTAAAAAAACTTAAGGTGTCACACTGCATAGTTGTACGTAACTTGTGTTGTTTTGAAAATTTGTGTTCACAGAACTTGGAAGAAAACGGTTGCCATTTTGCTGATGTTGAATTCTTTGTACTCAGACTTTTTGCGGGGGGAAAATTCTATCGGAAGCTTTATTTCCAATGCTGTTTGAGGGAAGAATGTTTGATTTTTTTTTCCGAAAAGTTTATTAAAATTAAAACCAAGTGATAGTTTGGGTCTATTATTGTATCCACCTTACAGACGTGCACGGTATCTTTCCATTTAAACATGACTGGGCAATTACCAATAGATAATCGAACCACAAAAACAGTTATATATATATATATATATATACACACACACAGTCCTTGTAAAACTTAAACACGGTATGAAATCGCATTCACGTATTAATGTCACGTGGTCAACAACTCACATTTCTCCTCAAATAAGTCAATTTACTATTGGAGACAATAATAATAATAATCCTTGCATTTGATATAGCGCTTTTCACGTCGGGAGGACGTCCCAAAGCGCTTCACAGAACACACTGTAAAGTGAATTGACTGTATATTTGTGGGCGAACGCGGCAGCCAATTGCGCACAGCAATGTCCCACAAACAGTCGTAGGTTGAAAATGACCAATTTATTATTGTTTTGGAGGGATTATTATTAGGCTCTGTGTGGGGTAAGGAAACTTGCCCGAGGTTTCGCCCTCTGCCTGGAATTGAACTCCGGTCTCTCACTTGCAAAGCGAGTGCTCTAACCACTGAGCCACAGGACTCCACAAATCTCCCGGCGCCCCATCTTTCACCGGGATCTTTGGGGAACATAGGAGCAGGAGGAGGCCACGTAGCCCCTCCAGCCCGTTCCGCTGTGAGCTCATGGCTGATCTGTACCTCAACTCCCAATTACCCCCCACCCCACCCTTTGCCTCATCTCCCTGATCCCCTGACCTGACAAACGTCCATCCATCCGCCTGACCGGACCCCCGGACCCCGGACCGCAGACGGTCGGGACCTCGGGCTTTGTTCCACCCGTAAGTGAGACACAGCAGTCGCTCCACTTCGCAGTATATTCTGGGAAAGCGTTTGAGACGTCTCAACGATGCGACTCAAGAGCGCAATATCAAACGCGAGGCTTATACCGCCCCCACGGCCCCGCCCCCGGCCCCGCCCCCCGGCCCCGCCCCCCAGCGGCGCCCCCACGGCCCCGCCCCCCATGGCCCCGCCCCCCACACCGCAGCCCACAGGGCATTTGAGTGCTGAAGGCGCGGGGCTGAGCGGGTGCGGTGCCGCCTCCGGCCGCCAGGGGGCGGCGTGTCGCTGCTGAGCCGGCAGCAGGTGCGGGGAGGGCCCTCTTGTCCCGGGCGGAGTGAGCGCGGCGGCAGCGGCGGGAGAGAGAGAGAGGGGGAGAGAGAGACAGAGAGAGACGGAGAGATGGCGTCTGGCAGTGGGGTGAGTGCGAGAGGCCGCCCGGGGGGGGGGCGCAGCCCGACAGCCCGCAACTGCCCGGGGACCGAGGCCTGAAGCCTGCGCCCGCTCGGGGCCTGAGGCCGAGGCCTGGGCCTGTCCCCCCCCATCACCATCCGGGGGAGACTCGCGCTCTCGCTGGTGTGGCCCCCGGGCCTCAGGCTCCCAGTGAAGGGATAATCATAATAATAATAATAGTAATAATAATCTCTGCGTTTGATATAACGTCGACGAGACGTCTCGAAGCGCTTCGCAGGACATACTGTCCAGTGTAGTGACTGTGTATTTGTGACCTGCCCCTGAGCAGCAGGAAGAGAGGGAACCCGGTTGTGCGTCGCTCGGGTTAGTAACCCCTCCGCGTCGATGAGGAAGATTTGGTCGCTCAACCCACGGCCGTTTGCGGGGGAACGCTGTCCGTGCTTCGCCCACAGAATGCACAGTCACTACACTTCTACAGCGTATCCTGTGAAGCGCTTTGAGACGTCTCGGAGGACGTGATAAGGCGCTGTGTCAAGTGCGAGGATTATTGTTATTACATTGATATTTGTGGCAGCCAATGCCCCACCAACAGTCACGGATTGAGTGACCCAATTTGTTTTTGCTGCTCTGGTAGGAAAGTAACAACAGTTTGTGTTTGTGTGGATAATTATACATCTCTATATCCTCTGTTTGTGGATCAGTGAAATAATCTTCACGCTGAATTTGTTCCTCACAATGTAATTCACATGAAAAGTCACCCTGAGCCCGGAAGCGCTGCCCGGCCCTGAGCAAGTTGTCTTGGTCGTGGGAACATCAGAGACGCCGGACGGAAAAAAGACCCCAAGTTCCGTCTAGTTCGCCTTCCGCCTTCCTGGCGATCGCATGCACCTACATCCCGAACACCCTATGTACAATATCCCGTAGAATCACACAACCTTTCAGAAGGAGGCCATTCATTCAGCCCGTCGTACCTGTGCCAGCTCTTTGTAGAGCTACCAACTTGTCCCACTCCCCCGCTCTTTACCCCAAAGCCCTGCCCATTTTTGTGTCAATAAACAGTCGCCCGAGTCTTGACTGAAAATAGGGAGAATGAAGTTTGTTAACGTTTTGGGGGAAGTTGCTGCTAAGTCTGAACTTTTTGGGGCTTCCAAATTTTTGATCAATGTGGTTTTCTTTCTGGTGACTTAAAAAAATCCAAACGTCATTCAGTCGCTTCAATCCCACCACGTATTGACCGTAGTTAGTGAGGTGTTGGGGATGCTTTTATTTGTACGTGTAGTTTTATGCAGTTATTGCAGTGTATATTATTGACTGCCTTTCCTCTATTAGCCCTTTCATTCCATTCCACCCATTATGTGTGGAGGAACAAGGAACACTTGAGGGCACGAGCCACACATTACACTGTCGCTTAGGGATGCGTTCCTTCCAAGTTTTGTTCCTAACAAAGTCGTCTTGTTCCTGTAGACAAAAAACATGGACTTCCGCAAGAAGTGGGACAAGGATGAATACGAGAAACTGGCACAGAAACGGTTGTTGGAAGAGAGAGAGAAGCGAGATGGTAAGTGGAAATGCAGAACAGTCAGTGCTTCAGAGGAAAGCGATGATTCCACTGTACAAATATGTAGTCAGTGAGCATGTTTACATCGCTGTGTCGGCGCTATGCCGGAATCTTCGGTTATGGTTTATTTCAATATTGGATACATTTCAATTTGTTCATTTTTCTCCTTCTTTGTCTTCAAAACTCTTAAAAACCTAGAAGGAACCTATCAAGAATGGGGGAATGGGTTTAGAGGAGAGAGTTTCACTAGATGAGGTTCGATGGGCTGAATGAATTGCCGCTGTGTTGGTATTTCTGTGACTCTTATGACTTTTCTCTTTATTTAAACATGCAACTTTTTGGCCAGCCAGAATCCAATGGATGCGGCTTATTCCCTAGTTTCTTCATTACTGTTGTGGGATCGTTTAGCTTAGAGGCAGTGAAACCTTTAACGTGCTCTGCTTGTTAGCTGGCGATGGGCTGCTGCAGGGAGCCATGCACTATAGTGAGCTGGCCTGGCTCCATCGCCACAAGCAGACAAGACAGTTCAATGATGAAACAAAGGGGAGAGGGAGAAGAGGTGACAGTGTGTACAGGGGGAACACACTAATGATTTGAGGGAAGGAAATCCAGCTCGGATGACGGGGAGATATGAAAAGGAATTTTGAATTAACAAGGGGAATCGAACTTTGTTTGCTTGAAAATTACGCAGGAGAAAACAAAATACTTAAGAGAGGATTTAACCTGTCAATTTCTTATCAGTTAAAATAATCAAGGTCATTAAATAAATGTATAAATTTAGACTTGTTTCTTGATATGACTTATGCGAGTGTGAGAAAAACGGGGCGAGGGTTGGTAGATTATTTTGGGGGAGGGGGGAAAAGGCATCATAGCCAAGCCACAATATTTGTTTTGAAATCACTTAATTCCCTCACACCTCCCCACCTATCCGACCTGCTTAGACCCCTCTACACCACCTGCTTCCTCCACTCAGCTGGCTTTGGCCTCCTAATTGTCCCTCGTGCCTTCCGCTCCACGATCAGTGGCTGTGTCTTCAGCCACTACTCTGCGAAACTCTGGAACTTTCCCTCAATCCCTCTGCTTTATCTCCTCTTTCCCCACCTTCAAATCCTACCTAAAGGCCTTCCTTTACTTGATTGTCTTACGGTTTCCTTCCCCTCCCTCTCCCCTTAAGCTCGTTGTCAGACTCGGCCACTGTGAAGCACTCTGGGACTCTACCCCGCATGACACTAGGGCGCTATTATAAATGCAAGTTATTGTACTCCCCTCGCCTGGGATTCACACTCATTCCACATTCTCTCCTTGTTCCAGCCAAGCCTCCCACTCCCGTTAAGCGGGAGCTTCTGCGTCACCGAGATTATAAAGTTGATTTGGAATCGAAACTGGGCAAAACCATCGTCATCACCAAAACAACGCCACAGTCGGAGATGGGAGGGTGAGTGCCCTGCACGTGTCCTCATTGTTCCACATGAGCAGTCGGGCTGGAGGGGAGGTCCAAATAGCTGTTGTGATTGGTCTGTAAACACATTTTTCTGTTGACAGTAATGTACCCAGGGAATGGACAACTTCCCGCAGTTGACTGTGTTGAGTAGCATGTGATTTCCCCCCGACTCATGACTTTACCGATTGCTTCCAAATATTCAACTGGTGATTAAAAAATCCCCTCTGAAATATTTCCTTTGCCGACTGGGGAAACAAGATCATTCCTGGGACAAGGCTGGACAGAAGTATCCTGCCCACGTGCCTATTATTACTGTGTGAACTTGACAGTAAGGTGTGTTACATGTTAACCATGTGCACCGCGGGAGTTATAGGTCTCCTTCATTCTGGATTGATACCTACCCCACTACAAATGTATATCATAGTGAAGTACAGAAAACAGATTGAATGATAGTTGTGCCCAACGAGCAGACTGTGCTGTTAGAAACAAAATGTTCACAACACAATACAATATGTTCACACATCCGCTGACTTTTGTTACACTCTGTTGTGTAAACGCTTCCTCCCGCAGATACTATTGCAATGTCTGTGACTGTGTGGTGAAGGATTCCATCAACTTCTTGGATCACATCAACGGCAAAAAACGTGAGCAGAATGGACCGACCGATGAGTAAAATTCTATGATGTTATAAGAAATAGCCATTTCTTTCCAAAATTTCTAATCACACCTGATGCATGAGCACTGAATAACTTTATCTCCTATTCCAGATATAATGCAGTAACTCAGAGGCCCATTTTGCTGCCTTATAAACACTTTAAAGAAGGCAATACAAATTCACTCTTGTCACTGTCTGCACAATTTGTGAATGTGTCAGTTCTGTGTCCCTATCATCCCGATGACACCAGCAGAACCAATCTGGTGGAGCTTGTTGCTGGATCGATTAGTCCTGGGCTTGCCTGACAGCTGGAATATGTTTTGTCGAGGGCTAAATCAGAAACCTACTGGATTAGAGTATCAGGGTGAGATAAATTGTAGAAATACCTTTGCTGGTAAACGGCAGGGTTCTGTTACAGTCTGTGGAAGAGGCTAATCGCTGAGTGGATTTACTGAGCAGGAAGAAAAAGTGATTTGGCTGCTGGTTTGAATGGAGATTGATTTCACTTCAGAGGTGATAAACGGAATGACACCTCCCTACCTACCGTTAGACAAGCACATTTCATCTGAACCAGGATGTTCTTCCAACCATTATCAAATGACAGCCAGCCGGGCAGGGGCAGTGATGATTATTTCAGGATAGAGGGATTGAGATTTGATTCTAAATCCCGGGGGCATTAAGACAGAGTGCTACAGTAGCAATAGCACCTGACAGGTTTTACTGGGAGCTGAATTAGCAGGAAGTAAGTAAATGTGATGTATTACATTGTGTGTTTCAATTCCAAACATACTGAGCTGTTATCTGGGCTGTGCTGTGCTTTTACTAAATTGACAATTGCTTTTTCTCCTTGTTATAAATCAAGGGTTGCAGAACTGACTGCACCCTTTCCTCTGATAGAGACAAATGGGAGAATCGGAAAATCATTTGCAGGGAAAAAATCAAATGGGCAAACTTGCTATTTGTTTTAAAGATGGAGTGAAATCCAGAGGGCAACTTTTTGTTATTTGATGCTCCCACTGTAATAAAACAAATACCTGTTGAGTTTAGTGTGAACTGGTTAGAGAATTGTTGGCTCTGGGGATGTATTGAACACAAAACTCAAGTCAGGGTTTACAGAACTTTCTCAGAGTCAGGCAGCGACTGATTGATTCAGGACAGACCAAAATCTCCTTCCTCAATCACAAGCTTTCAACGACAGCCAAGAGATGAATGTGGAATTATTTTTGTCTAGGGCATAATAATAAGAATAATAATGCAAGGATTATTATAGGGGCAGTGGGAGAAATTCTCTTATTTGTACTAGTGTTGAGTGATCTTTATAATCAGTGACCGAGGGCAGATTTACAGAGAAAATTCTTCATCTTGCAGTAGTTTCGCTAAAGGAAGCAGAGGTACAAACAGCAATGATTATGAAATCATTAAGCATTTGATAACATGACCCCAAAACAGGGGAGGGTCGTTATCTATAAGCTTTATCAATACCACTTTAGCATTTCATATAAAATGAATTTTAAAGCCAGACCGAATTGCAACCTCCTGTGCCATAGTTTCTGAACATTCACTTGCCTCTTTGAGCTGTGTTGACTGTAGCACCCAATTTGATGTTTTTTATCCCTTGTTTGACAGACCAAAGGAACCTGGGCATGTCTATGAAGGTGGAGCGTTCCACCCTGGACCAGGTGAAGAAACGTTTCGAGCTAAATAAAAAGAAAATTGAAGAGAAACAGAAGGAGTACGACTTTGAAGAGCGGATGAAGGAGCTGAGGGAAGAGGTGAGAGACTGCACACCGAGAGTGACACTTGCCTCTAGTGCTTAAAATGCTCATTATTAGAATAAGAAATGAAATGTGGAGTCCTGTAGTTTAGTGGTTAGAGCACTCATCTCGCAAGTTCGATCCCCGGGCAGAGTGAAAAGTTGGGCAGGTTCCCTTATTTACTCAGCAGTAAGTAGGAACCCAGTTGTTAGTTGATTGGCGGATCGCTTTTCCGGGGATAATAATCCCTTCAAAATTTTAAAAATACTCAATCCACGACTGTTTGTGGGACGCTGCTGTGCGCAATTGGCTGCTGCATTTCACCCACAAAATATACAGTCATTCCACTTTAATATATATTGTGTGAAGTTCTTTGAGATGTCTCGAAGTCACGATAAAGAGCTATATCAAATGCAAAGATTATCATTAAAATTATTTTTGAAATCCTCTTCCTCGCCTTTCCACTCTCACTACCTAGAACAACCCTCCCTAAATCTACCTTTCTAACTATCAACATCCTTAATTCTCCTTTCATTCCTTCCTGCTCGGTGCTCCCTATCATATTTACAAAGCACTTTGTTTACCTGAAAGAAATGCACATTGTTGTGAAAGATTTATTTGTTGAGCCAGGAGTTTACTGATGTCCTGAGGACAAGCAATTAGACCCAGAGAAAGAACGATTGTTCAAAGGACACATTTATCTATAACCTGAGATTATGTGGAGCATGATTTACAGTGTGACCGGCAATGAGATTTATTGCCCAGGGTGCAGTCGATACTGTTTATTAAAGGAGCAGCCTGGCTTCTCCTGTTTACTCACCAGAGCTTGAGGTAATCCTGCGGCCATGAAATGTTCAGTCTCAGCGCGAGAAACCTGGCGGGGGCTCTGGTGATAAATCAATGCTCTGCTGTTAATTGAGGGAACTTTTTGTGCTGGGAGGAACTGCATTGTTGCCGATGCTATCCTTTCGATAAATGTTAATCCAGGGCCCAGTCTTGGGGTTTGGGTGGATGTTAAAAATCCCTTGGAAAACATTGTCCTGGTCAACAACCCCCCAGATTAAATCTCATTCTCTGCATGATTTATGTGTGGCGATTTGCTGTGTATAAAACAGCAGCGATATTTGCCGATAAAGACAGTTGCTCTATGTGACTAATTACTAAGACAATTTCTTTGTGATGAGCTGTGATAAGATTGCACACTCTCCTTCATTGGATGTGGGAAAGACACGAGGGATGGGTCGAGTGGTCTGTACCTGGGCACCGATCTAGTGCTTATCCTTCGTGCCCTCCCTCCATTCCACCATCGGTGACCGCACTTTCAGCCACTATACCCCGAAACTCTGGAACGCTCTTCTATCCCTCCGCCTTCCCCTTGCCATCCGCATCTTCAGATGGAGCTTGAAGGCCTTCCTCTTCGACCGTGCCTACAATCACCTCTCCTGGCTCCACGTCATGCTCCGCTAACCTTCAAGCGCTCTAGGACACTACATTGCGCGAGGGGCGCTGTGTGAATGCAAGTTGTTGTTGTGATGTTGCTTGATTGCTAGTTTTGCCTGTTATTTGCAGGAAGAGAAAGCTAAGGCTTACAGGAAGGAGAAGCAGAAGGAGAAGAAGCGAAAGGCAGAGGAAGAGCTGACGTTTGAGGAAGACGACGAGATGGCGGCTGTCATGGGTTTCTCTGGCTTCGGGTCAACAAAGAAGAGCAGCTGACCGACCCCACAGGACCCACTCGGTACTGCCTTTGGCGCTCCATTGACTGAATTTACCTCCTCCTCTCCCTCCATGCCCCACCAGGCAGTGGCAATCGCTGTGCTTAAATGTGGACGAACCGAACATGTCACGGTTGTGGAAGGGTCCTGGATTGGCAAAGTTGCAGTGGCCCTTTTCCTAGTTTGAAATGCATTTTTTTTTGTTTTAAAAGAAGGAAAAAGCGCATGGTTCACGGCTGTGTGTGGAGCAGATTCAGCCTCGGGAGCAGTGTAGACGTCATGCCTGTGGGTGAGTTAGCACAGCTGGGAGATTTGGACTGTAGGAACCCAGTGTCTGGTCCTGTGGTGAACTGTAAGGTTCTGAGACTACCCCAACTCTTTCCCATGTATTTATTGTAATGTGCAAACTTTTGAGGGGGAAGTTTTTTTAAGTTTCAAGTTTGTGTTAATTTTAAGAGGGAGACAAAGTGTAGAAGGATTGCTGCTTCGTCCCAACTGGGGTCAACTGGGTAGATCAGCTGGGTCAGGCTTACGACCAGAAGCCTTTGGACTTGAATCGTGGTGGGTCTCACTTAGCCTTTCAACATCAATATAAAATCACCACATCCAAGAATGTTATCGAGAAGGGAAGTGGGAACGATTGAAGCAAAGGTTTCTTGTCATTGCAAAATTATAGATTTTTTTCTCCATATATATCTATTGGGAGTATTTTGACCCAGGATTGCTCCCGCTAGACTTCGCCTCCCTCAGGCTGTGCAGGGAATGCAACTTATCAGAAGCAATTGCTGTGATCTGGTATTGGAAAGGGGATACTGCAGTTTGGGGGGAGGGGGGTGTAAATGAAGGTGGAACCTTGCTGCCCACATTGCCTTGGATTGTTAACTTTTCTGCCAGGATTGCAGTTGCCTAAACTTCTGTTCTACATCTACTGGCCTGAGAGGAAGAAGGAAAGTGTCGTAAACTATGTTCTTGTTAAAATATTCATTCCTAACTAGATCAGGCCTCTTCTGTCACAAGTAATATGACCAGTGAGTGAAGGCCTACATCCCATATTGTTCTGTGGCTCTTGAAAGCAAGTGATTGCAGTGAGGGGGTCAGGATTGAGGGTGGGAAAAATGCAAGTTCCTGAGCGAAGGGGTTCGAGATTCCCAAATGCCCAGTTTGGTGTGTGCTCGCTTGGCTACACTTCTGTGAGTTCACCAACAAGTGGAAAGTGAGCCGGTGAGGGACCTGCGTCTGAACAACTGTTCGAGTGACATGAAAGTGTCTGTTACTGCATGCGACGTGCTCTTGAGTGTTTGTATGCTTTTCCTTTCAATCCAGGGAGGTCGCTTGTCCCGAAATTTACGTTTCCTTTCACAAATTGTGTACAATTTCTACTGAGAACTTGGTGTCCGTGATTTTTTTTAATTAAAAGATGAAAAAACCCTGAAGTCTCTGATCTGTTTTCGCTATTTAATTGCTGAGCGCTCTGGCTAAACGTACTGTTTCATGTACCAGACGCTAAACTCTTGGTTGTGTTTGACTCAGTACCACAGTGGGTAACGTCTTTATGCACTTCACAACCACAGGATTTGGCTTCATTCCTTGTTTCTCTTCTTCTCCCTCCTCTTCCTCAATTTACCAGCACTGACTTTCTTAGTGTTCAGAAAGCAACTTAAGGATCCCAGTAGAGACAGACAGCTTTGAAGCGTGTTGAGTGGAGCCTGACGTTAGCAACTGTGCTCGAGTTTGTTGAGTTTTAGAGGCAGATCTGCTTAAAATTCTTCAACCACAGAAAGTCTTCAACACAAGCTTGTGACTTGGGCATTGTGTCCATAATTAAAAACTGATTTCAACATTATTTTTGGTGCTGGGATAAGAGGGGACACTCGGTTATTTAATTGGGAGACCAGAAGTTCCGTCCACAGTGAATTGGAAATGAAATGTATGCATACTGTCTCTAACTGTGATCTTCCTGATTTTCGCTCAAATCTAACATTCACCCTAGGTTTTACATGCCTGATCTCACTCTACATCTGTTATACATTCATACCTTCGGCAGATCTTCAAGCCTTTTTGTTCAAAGGAACCTTCTTATATCTTCTAGTCAAGGCCTGTCCAGCTCCCATTGGTTCAGATGTTTGAGAGCAGCTTGGCTTCAGTTCCATTGTAGCCCTTGGGGGTGTAAAACTGCCTGCCTTACATCTTGTAAGATACCCTTGTGGAGACTTTCAAACTGCTTAGTTTGAAGGGGAGTTCATATATGAATTTCTCTAGACTCAATGCTGAAATAATGGCTATTGTCTGCTTACCCCTTCCATAGTTCGTTCTCCTCTCACCTATATCTCTCAATAAATCCTGGCGAGAACATCAATGCTGACTTTGTCTAATGAGTCAATGTCCAGTGTATTAGTAGATGGACTATATGCTTGGTTTATATGAATCCTGGTCAGCCTTTTATGCAATTGATCATACTCTTACTGAACGGTAGATACGCAAGTGTATTGATTCACAAGTATTATTTAAATTAGTTTCATAATACCTGCTGAAATGGGGGCACCATCTAAAAGAATGATTAATCAGAGTGTTGCTCAAAAATGAAAATGGAACTCTTGTGTAACTTAAAGTTGGGATCACCAGATATGGGATCAAATTGATGTTATTCCAAGCCAGCGGGCAAAGGCAGAACAAAAATAAATGACAAGTCTTATGTGCTACACAGAGAAATAATCAGACATCAGAGCATAACATAGACTGTGCCTGAATATAAGCACTTAATCACTACAAATGTACCAGTGTGGCAACAGCAGACCTCAGGGCTCAGCGACGCAGCAGCCAGCTTCAATAAATTATGCAATTATCTGTAGAAACTACAGAGTGGATTGTGTGGGTGAAGTCCAGGCCTTGAGGTGCGTGTGGGGAGGTTAGGAGAGGATGAGAACAACAGCAGTTACCTTATCAGAGAAAAAAAATCTGAGACAACTCCAGTCTGTTCCTGGGGTCATTGTCAACTTGGTTCAATCGGTCATGCTTAATTATGAGTTCAAACCCCGTGTCAGTACTTTGAGCTCACAGGCCAGGCTGGTGTTGTGTTGTCCCAGGTGCCGTCCTTCGGATGAGATATTGAAACAAGCTCTTGTCTGTGGCTGTTCAAGTAGATGTTAATTCATGTGGCGTTAATAGAAAAGAGAAGGGAATTTCTCCCATTTCTTGGGCAACACCACCGCAGATAAAATTTGTTCTTCACTTGATGGGTTGTTTGTAGGTCCTTGGTGAGTGCAAATTAACCACTGTGTTTTCCTACAAATATATAGTCACTGAACTTGACTCGCAATTATCTGTGAAGCACTTTGAAATATTTATAGGTGTAATATTCAGATTCATGGTTTATTGTTAATGTTATTCTCACAAAATTGCAAGGAGAAGGAAGGAATGTATGACAAAGAAACTGTTCTCAATAAAACACAGTCGCGTAATTTTATTTTCCTCTTGGTCTCCATTTGCCAATTGCTCATCATGGAGTGGTTCAGATGAGAAGCTCACAGTTTGGGGGAGTTTCACATGCAGACCCACATCCCATTACTTTATGCAGTGGCAGTTTTATTGACTCATCCCATTAGTTACCTAACAGAAACCAGGAGCAAAAAGCCCGATGGTACATTGGGAAGAGCAACTACTTGCATCTCAGATTAGAAGGTTACCGTTTTAGCCCCGAGGCAATGTGACATTTTATTTTGTCAGTTCCAATTAAGGGTTGAGGTCCAATGTAAGTTCCCTGAAACAGCACAGAGGCTGGGAAACCCACAACTGGGTTCACAGAGGATCTCTGCCACAGTTTACACATTGGGCCGGTGTCATGGATACCATCCTTAAACTCAATTATTTTCAATAGCAACAAGACGTGAATAAGCTTGTTTGAAACACTGGACAAAGAGCAACTGATATATTTGTCATAAAGACTTCAATTTTTGTGTTGTTTGGCCACAGAAGAACTTTCCACTTCTGATCTGCAGCATCAGCAACAAGTGTCGCCTTTTGGAGATAATAATAATAATAAGCCTTGCATTTGATATAGCACCTTATCACTTTTCTTTGAGACGGGTCAAAGCGCTTAATGGAATATATTGTAAAGTGGATTTACTGTGTATTTTGGGGCGAAATGTGGCAACAACAACAAAATACAACAACAAAAATACATTTATAGATCGCCTTTCACGTTGGGAGGACGTCCCAAAGGCAGCCAATTACACACACAGCAGTGTCCCACAAACATCCACAGAAAGCTTACAGTGTTAAATTAGGTCACTCAGTCCATCTTGTCTGTGCTGGTGCTTACATCTCCCCTGGAGCTCTCTAACCTTTGTGTCTATTTATTCTTTCTTCTATAGTGTCTGTTCTCCGAGCACTTGAGTTGGCTTTCTCAATTCAAGTTAAATCTACCATCATCTTCATTCACAATATTGGTGACGGGAGAGAGAGAAGGGTCTGGTTTATGCTGGTCCTTAATCATAATGATATAAAAGATAAAGCAAAACAGATGCTGATTTTAGCCACATAAGCTGAAAAACCTGTGAAATGCATGTGACAACTTTTACAAGCCAATCCTGCCCTTGTCTGCTCCATCTGTGAGGGAAAGCATGGAGGCTGCTTGAGGTGACCAGCGATTGCTTTAAGGTTACTGGGTTAATGCTATTAGTAAATAAATTAACTCTGGCAGCTGCATACTGTGGAGATGAGCAGGAGGTGAGAGAGAGTGCGCCTGAGGCTGAAAGACAGCAGAACTTGGCAAAGAGGAGAAAAGAAGGGGACGCAAAGCGAAGGCAGCAGAGGAGGTCAGAGGGTTGAGAAAGGAAGCATGAAAGCTATTTGGACACAAGTGTGAGGATCTTGAAGTCGATCCGTTCGGTGATGGGGAGCAGGTGGAGCCTGGCCTGAACTGGTGAGATGTGGGTACGGAGTTTGGTCTGGTTAAGTATGCGAGCAGCAGAGTTCTGAATGAGCTGATCTTGTGAATGGTGGAACTGGGGAGACCAGCAAAGGATGTGTTTGAGTAATCCAGGCGGGAGGTGACAAACGCACGCATGAGGGTTTGGGCTGCATTTGGGGTAAGGTACAGTCGGAGGCGGGCAATGTGGCGGAGGTGAAGGAAGGCGGTCCTGGTCAGGGACCGGGTGTGGGGGATGAAGGACAGCTGGGGTTTGAACCGAACACCTAGATTGTGCACTAGTTCGGTGAGCCTGAAGGAGAGCCCAGGGAGGTTGAAGACTTTAGATCCGCGGGAGTGAAGATGTTGACGGGCGCCAAAGTGTATGGCTTCCGTCTTGTCCACATTCAGCTGCAGGAAGTTTGCACTCATCTGGGCCCTGATGTCTGCCAGACAAGCTGATACAACATCGAGGGACCTCGCGTCGATAATGGAGGAGGCAAAGTAGAATTGTGTGCCGTACGCATACATGTGAAAGTTCACCTCGTGTCTGTGGATGACATTGCCAACGGGGAGACTGGTTGACTGTGTTGGCCACAGGGGGGCGAGGATGGGAAGTTGAGTGACCAGCAGCTGGGTGTGGAGGGGGTCAAGGCAGCAGGTGCTGAACTTCATGCGGGTGATTGTGATTGAGAGGGAGGAGGAAGAAATGGGGGGCAAAAGAGTGTAAGGAGGGGGTAGCGTCAGGAACCGTGGCGGAGGGAGAAGGTGGAGTGGATGCTCCGGGTGGGGTGGAAGGGGACAATGAGGGTGGTGGGGGGGGGAGGAAGATGATGCAACCAGGAGTGATGGATGTTTTCAATCTTTGAGGTGAAGAAGTCAGGACCTCTTCGCACTTGATGTTTGATAGCTTTCAATGCAAAAGCAGGTGAAGCGGGTGAATGTATATTAAGACAAATTCGGGGCTTTCTTATATATAAATAAAATAGATATAAAAAAAAACTGTTGGGATTAGCTATTCAAATTGTGTAAAGTGTGTCAGTGTGTAAAAAGTGAGTGGGTTAAAGTTTTGTAGGGAATTGGGGGGAAGTTTGGACCCAGTGGTTTTGGTGAGATGGTGTTTTGCTGAGGAACACTTTCGGTTTCTGTTCTGAGGAGGAATGACGCCACTCTTTATAGGTTGTATTTTCGCCTCTAGTTCTCGGCGTCAGCTATAGCTCAGTGGATACTTCGTTTATTGCAAAACACTTAACAGCCCCGAGTAACATCGGGACTCGTGCCACGGGCGCTGTCTGACGTTTTTTTTCAGTAAAAATTTTTTTTCCCCCTCAATATTCTTTATTTTTATACCGGATAATGTTTTGACTATTTTGGCGTTTAACTTGTTCGCAACAAAAAGCAGTACAATGACGAGGAAGTGGAGCACCACTGCTGATTCAGTCACACCTGTGTGTGTGTGTGTGTGTGGGATACACAAGAACAAGTGAATTACCCATTCACTTTTTGAACCCCTCGAGTCGGGTTTCC